CGGGAAGCAGCATATGTTCGTCGGCACCAGGCTGCTATTTTTGTGCAGCATGTTCTTTCCAAGAGTGAACGTTCCAGCAGCTCTGACGCCCGGGGACAAGCCAGCCCTGCCCATCACTGCCAGGGGGGGGGGTCTCGGAATCCCAGGAGACAGAGGCTGGAGGGGCTGAGGGAATCCTCTGGCCCTTCACTAGCAAGTGGCCGCTCAGAGAAGGCGGTGAGGGCTCAAGGTCACTCAAAGGTCAAGGACAAGGCCAGTCTGGGAACCCAGTGAGTTCACACCATGCAGGCTGCCCTCGAGCCCATGTCCCGGCCAGGCGGCCTCACTCCATAGCCATGCAGAGCCTGGGCGTGCTGGGCCTGGGGCGGCGAGGAGGAGGACCCCCACCCTCCAACGAGTCTGGGGTCAGGTGGGCTCACCAAGCTCTGAGAGCGGCCCAGACCCTCGGCGAGGGCAAAGGTGCCTGGGGCTCACAGGTTCCCCAGGGGTTGGGAGTGGGAGAGAGGGACCTCTCACGGGACAGCATGTGAAGAACCTGGGATCCAGGGCTTCCCTAGGACTGTGGGTGTGTTTCCTCCCTGCTGCCCCCCAAGCCCTCTGCAGTGCCCACCCCCCACCCCGAGGCCTGCCCTCGCCTCCCAGTGAGCCCCTCTCAACCGTCTGCCTGTCCACGTATCCTGACGCGTCTGTCTGTCCATCCCAGTGGATCCCACTGGGGCCAAGTCACCAGCAGGGCTGCTGGGAGAGGGCTGCAGCCTCCATGAAAAAAATACCTGGCGGGCCCCCAGCTCGAGGCTGGGACTCTGTCTGACGCCTGTGCCGCACCTGCTCTGAGGGACCCCAGCAGGGGCATCTGCCTCCCCCACGCCCTCCGGGGGCCCAGTCACTCCCTCTCAGGAGCGTTCTGTCGCAGGCCCGGGCCTCTTTGCCTCCACGCCTCCCTTCACCCTGCTCTGTGGCCCACGAGAAGCCAGAAGATCCTGTAAGAATATCCGCCCGAACCCACTGGGACCCCCTTCCCGCTCATAGGAAAACCTAGGTCCCCGGCATGGCCAAGACCTCCCTTGATCTTCCCCCAAATCCCCACTCCTCAGCCCAGCCCTAAGACGCCTGCTCTCCCAGAACACACCAGATCGTTCCCACCCCAGGACCTTTGCACAGGCTGCTCCCTGACAGAAGTCTCCTCCTGCACCTTCCCGAGACAGCCTCTGACACACAGCTTCCTCCCCAGCACTCCCAGGCTCCCCGGCCGTGCAGGGCACTCTCTGTGCCCCCTGGGCTCATGTCCAAGCCTCCAGCCCCCACTCGGCCTTAACTGAAACCCTGCCTGGGCCCAGGCCACTCGGGCAGCTGCCGGCAAGCAGCCCCTTGGTCATCACCCTGCTCTCATGTTTGCGTCCAGCTTGCCTGGTGCTGTGCTGCGTGCAGAGAGCAGGGGTGAGGAACTGCCAGGAGCACTGGCACGCCTGGCTCCCTGGCCGAAATCAAACAGCAGCACAAGAGCCCCTAAGCCCCACTGTGATCCCTGGGGCCTGCCGGTTCCCCGGTTTCCCTGCAGCCCCTCTGGCCCCCTACTCCTGCCTGGCACAGAGAAGACGCACACCCATCCATGGGACAGAGGTTCTCAGCCACCCGGAAGCCGTCTCTCCTCGCCCCTGCCGCCCCTCACCCCCGCTCATTCAGCGCCCCTTTCCCTCCATGCATCCAACCTGGCCCCCCGTCAGCAGGACGTGGGGATGAGAGGGCAGTGCCCAGCACAGAGCCCAGGAAGCCAGCTCCGGACAGGAAGCCGCTCTGAGAAGTAGGCCTTGCAGGGCCTGAGCTACAAACCAGGGTTGGGTGCAGGCCTGGGAGGGCCCTGGAGGTCTGAGAGAGCAGGCAGGGAAGAGGCACCGTGTGGCCCCTAGGAGTGGGGTGGCCAGCCTGGGCACCCCCGGATAGTTCAGCTCCTGCTCTGAGCCTCAGATTCCTCCTCTTGAAAATAGACTACTGGGGCCCATCTCCTAATGTTTGCTGGAAGATTCTTCTTCCCAGTGATGACTGGGCCATTTTTAGAACTTCTACCTATGCCAGCACTTTACAAACACTTGGACTGGGAGAAGACCTCATGGAGGATGTAACTACCCCGTGTTCCCAATGAGAGGGCACATCCCAGGATGTCACGACCCCCAGGCCACTGGGCTTCGTGGGTGGGGTAGGGTCTGTGTCCACAGCCCCTGATGCTGCAGCCTTGCCCCGGGCTGTTCCTATTCCCGGTGGGTCTGTCCTCTGTGGTCACCAGGACCCATGCCCGGGAGGGCCCTCGGAGGTTCACAGAGCTGGGGCTGACACCGGGATGCTGAGGCCACACTTGGGGACAGCCATCAGGGCTGAGTTCTCCTGGGGAAAGGCAGCTGGCCGAGCTTGTAACTCAAAACAGAGGCCCGGGGCTCTTCCCGAGACCACCACGGTGGTGCCTCCCGCCCCTCACAGAGCGCTCGAACAGCTGGGTGCTTGCGCTGGAAGGAGAGCCCCGAGCCTCAGAGAAGCTGGCTTTGGCTGCCCTCGGCGGGGCGGGGCTGCAGGCGTGTGGCCCCGGAGACGCCCGTCACTGTAGCAGGACTTGGCGCTGCCGCTCCGATCCGTGCCCAAGCATCAGCCACTTTGCCTGTCACTGCTTTTGCACCCTCTGTGCAAACACCAACACAGAAGAGGCAAACAACAGCATCTGAGTGTTACCGTGAACGCGGCTTTGACCTGTGGCTCCCCTGACAGCATCTTGGGGACCCCTCGCAGGGTTCCACCAACCCTCACTTTCAGAACTGGGGCGCTAAGGTGGAAGCTCCCCAGGAGGGCAGGCAGACTGTCTGTTTGTCCTCCTGGAACAGCACCCAGCTCACAGGCTGGGCTCGCGGAGTGAATTACTAGCCCACCACACACACGAAGCCCGGAGATGATGGCACAGGGCCCCGCTGCGCACCAGCCTGGGCCAGGTCTCCGGGCTCCCTCAGGCACTCGCCCCGTGGGGCCCTATGCCCAAGGGCCGCTTCCCCAGCACCTCTTCTGCCCTCAGGCTCGCCGGCAACGTGGCATCACTGTGTCTTCAAAGAGTCGGAGCTGCCCCCTCACCTGGCAGCCCCCATCACCACCCAGGAGCATCTGCCCGTGTGTCCCCCAGGGACCTAGGCTACTGGAAGGCGGGTCAGCGTCTTGTCCACGGTGTGTCGCCAGGACCCAGAACCCATCGGCTCACAGCAGGTCTGAGTGAATGCCCACGGAAGGCCCAAGCCCACCACCCTGCACCAGATTAGACTCTGGCCTGCCTGGACAAGACCCTCAGTATGACCCCTGGCTGGCCTCCCCAATGCTCCTGGGTTTAGTTCTTCATGGGCTTGGCTGACGTGAGCAGGGACCCATCCTTGAGACTCTGGACCAGCTTGCTCATACATTCAGAAAACTTGTGATAAAAGTCTCCTGCCTTCCAGGCTCAGAGCCCAGAGCCAGAACTACAAATGGACAACCAGCCACTGTCCCTTCTTCAGGGGTTCAGTGACCAATGAGGACAGACTGAAGCAAGAAGTGCGCCCTGGATTCCCAGCCCGTCAACCAGCAGGGCCGGTAGGAGAGCAGGCTTGGAGAAGGCAGAGGTGAGCAGGTGATGAGCTCAGTGTGGGATTCACGGACAGAAGAGGAGGAGGTCTTTGAGGTGGGAACAAGGCCCCCCGCCTGGCAGCGCTGAGGACATATCGAGGGAGGGAGAAAGAGAAGGAGTTCCTGAAGCCTTAAGCCTTCCACTGGAGACACCAGCAAAGGGAGTGAGGTCGTTGGTGTCCAAGGGCTCAGTCTGTGAACACGCTCTGCGTTCCGCTCATGTCTGGGATGAGGGCTCAGATCACGATCAAGGTCAAAGCTCAGTTAGTGCCCAGGATGTGGGCTCAGCCTGAAATAACAGTGGGTGTTCAATGTGTGGCTAGGATCAGGGCTAAGCCTGTGGTCAGGGAGCAGGGTTCAGTGTGTGGCCAGGATTCAGCTCAGTGTTCAGCCAGGGATCAGCACTCATTCTCTGCCCAGGTCAGAGCTCGGAAGTGAAGGTCAGCGAGGGCGGCCCAGTACCAAATCCCTGCCAAGCTCTGGCATCTGTCAGCCGTCACAGCCGTGTCTGCGAAGGGGGGATCCACAGAGTCTGGCTGTCGCTTCTCATGGCAAACCACGCTTGTTTTGCCTGATTTTTTTTTTCTCCCTTCCCTTACCCTCAGCCCAGCCAGGCAGCAGAGAAGGTGTAATTAAAAATCAGGTTTGTTAACACGAACACAACGTACATAATATTTAAAACATCCAAGAGCCTTTAACTCGCTACCGACATGCATTTGCTCATTAAGCAGGAATTTTTTTTTTTATGGCGACAACACTGCAAATAGCTCTTATTAAAATGCTCAAAACACCATCTGGTCCTTCACTGAGACTCCAAAGCGTTGCGGAGGTGGCCCCACACGCCTGGAGACCTGGAGATTCCCAGCAGGGATGGAGGCAGGACCGGTTCTGCCACCCAGCTCCCTGAGTTCCCTGGGGTCCCAGTCAGCAATCTCAGACTCCCCACCTCTCTTGGTGTTGCACCACCCTCGTCTCACAGAGGCTCGGTGGCCAGGAGACCCTCGCCCAGACGGCACAGCTAGTAAGGGACATGGCTGGGTGTGAGCCTGAGTCTCTCTGAGGCCGGGGCTCCATGCAGGAGGCAGGAGGTGAGGAAGGAGCTGGCCGCCCCAGCAGCACCTAGACCAGGGGGAGGGGAGGATGGATGCGGAGAAGCTGGGCCGTCACCGTCAGGCTGCGAGGCACTTAAGAAAGGACACGACCGCCTGGGGCCTGAGGCCACTTGCTCCTGAGCTGACTGTCCACACTGGGTACCCCAGGACTGACAGGGCTGTTGGGCCTCCTGAGTGGCCCTAGGGGTCTGGGAGCTGGGCTAAGCCTGGCAGGCTCTGCTGGGTACCCAGGCAGGAGTTTTCGCGCTCTCATCCTACCTGCTGGCTCTCTGGCTCCAGAATGGCTGGGGCCGGGGCACCGTTGCCAGGAGAGCCGAGCGTTGCAGGGCCCGCCCGGGGCCGCCCAAGTGCCAGCACGTCGGCTGGAGGAGGAGCCGGGAGCCAGGTGAAACCAGCGCGGGCAGGAGCAGGGCCAGCTGCTCGCCATCCTCACCCTTGGGGCCAGCCCCTGCGGCCCCTCCTCGGCCTGCTCCCTCCTCCCTCTGCCCTGCCCAGCCTTCCCCTCCAGCCTCCGTCAGCCACTAGGCGAGCTCCCGGCTCCAGGCCCTGTGCCAGACTTACAGACGTGAGAGCCCCTCCCGACCTTGGCCTTCAGGTGGTGTCGGGGGGGGAGGGGGTTCACCCACAGCAGACATTGCCAAGCCACCAGGGAGCACATCTGGCTGCGCTGAGCACTCGCTTCAGGATCTCGACACATCAGCAGAGCAGGCCTGGACCGATGGGCAGCATCAGCCACAGTGAGGAACCTGCCTGCAATCCCCCCAGGGACGGGGCAGGGGTCAGCGTTGAGGGCAGAGCCGACCTGGGCCTGAGGTTCCAGTCCAATGCAGGAGACCTCAGGGCATTTGCTTTGGCCCCACACACATGGACACACAGCACTCAGCCTTTCCAGGAGCAGACAGCACATGGTGGAGCAGATCACTCAGAGTGACAACAGTCCCGGGGATCCCAACCCAGACTTCAGGAGGATCCAAGGAGGCTTCCTGGAGGAGGTGTGCAAAGTGAGCGAGTGTGACGGGGAAACCGCCTGTGCCAGAGAGGTGGACAGGACAGAGATGCCGGGTGCCCAGTGGGGGGCGTGGTGGTGAGAGACAAGTCACTGACCCCCCAGGGCCATCGGCAGACGGGGCCCAGGAGGACAGCAGCTGCCCTTCGCCTTTGAGCCTCGGTGGGCTCCGACTTGCTCACCCAGGGGCACAGGCTCAGAGGCGGGAAGACAGACAAGGCGGGGCTGGTGAGAGGGCCCAGGACCAGCCAGGAGAGAAGGGGGAGACGGGGGAGGGGAGGATGCAGGAAGGGCCGCAGAGCCTGTGTCCTGGCCCCAGCCCCCAGCCCCTTCAAGCAGCAACTTCCGTACCTTCAAGGGGGCCTTGTGGACACAGTCCCAGCTAGGCTGGTTCTCCGCTTGGGAGCCTCAGGAGAGCCCTTTAAGCCCTCACAGCCTCAGTGTCCTCATCAATAAAATGGGCCTAAAATCACAGAGCTCAGAGAGTTGGGGGGAGTAGAGGGAGTAGGGGGGCTTCAGGACCTTTGAAGACCCCTTTGTGTTGTTTGTGTACAATGACCACAGACACACTCAGACAAAAGCCTGCATATGCACGGATGCATGTGCACACACGCACACGGGCCCACATCTGCACACCCACACACGGGCACATGCATGTTCAGCCTGTGCCCACCTGTTCTCATGCCCCGGTATTCGCAGGTGTGGCCTCGGGCAGGATTAACAGACATCAGACGCCGTACTCTGGTTATAAGAAAATACTGATCAAATATTCCAGTTAATAAGCTGAATTCAGACCCAATAAAAATGAAAACACAGAAGCAACGTTCAGCATGTGAGACGTGCAGAAAGCCCTCAGGGCCTCCTCTGGGTCCCGGGAGGTGGGCCCCTGGAGCCCACAGCTGCGGCCCGCCCCTCACCTCGCAGGTACACCGCCCAGCCTGACCTCCCAGTAGCGAACCTGGAACAGACAGGTCCTAGCGGGCAAGCTCTGGGCTGGGCCTGGGGGTCGGCGAGCAGGGGTCTCCCTCCTCTGCTCCCTCCCCAAGCAAGAAGTGGCAGTTTTTAGTAAGTGTCAACTTATTCCCAGCTGTTGTTGCCAAAAAGGGAAAAAAAAGAAAAAACACTCCTCGGTTTCAAGGAAACTCACAACAACTTTAGAAGACCGCGTGAACATGATGGATGCGTTCATTCCCCTGAATATGCATCAGAGGCCAGAGGCCCGCGTTTGTCACACGCGGTTTGGAGCCACTGGAAGTGGGCCGGGTGGGCCGGGGCCCTCGTCCTGGCCTGGCATTGTTCCCCCGGGGCCAAGGCCAGCGTTCCTGAAAGGCAGCACCTTTTCTTCCTCTTTATTCCCAGAAATAATGGCTCTTGACATAAACGACTCCCGCTAGCAATTAGCGGTGATTAATGAAGAACTCGCTGCAGAAGTGGAGGAAGTTCGCCTGGAGGGGGTGGGCAAAGATGGCATATTCATGGATTTGTGACAAACGCGTGTGGAACGGAAGGAGGGTGCTCCTGGGGGCTTTCTCCAGCGCTCTCGGGCCTGGGAACCAGAGGAGGCCAGTGTGGCCACGGACTGATGACTGGGCTGGGGTCAGAGGACACAGGCCCCTTCCAGGGAAGCTGGCTCATCACAGACCCAGGTGCCTCGGGCTCCAGGCGGGAGGCCTCAATGGCCAGGGGAGACCAGCCGTCCTGCAGCCAGAGCCTGGCTAAGCTCGGACGCACGTCCACCCTTTCCTACAGTTACAAGCTGACCCCACACAGTGCACCCGTCCCTCTGTCCCACAGAAGAGGAGACCAGGGACCAGAGAGGTCAGCGAGCTTGGCCTCGGCTCAGGGCCATCAGAGGAAGCACGGACACTGAACCAGGAACCTGCTGGTCACTCTGCCCGCCATGGTGGCAGACCTGAGTCTCCCCAGCTGGGAGAGCGGGGGACGATGAGACTGCCTGGTCTGGGGCTGGGACGCTCTGGGGCAGGCCCTGCCTCCCTCCTTGGGCCACAGGAGCCAGCAGAATGACATGAGCCTGAACGTCAGAACACCCTGCAAACTTCCAGCCCCCGGCCCTCATTAACACCACCCCACCGCCCGCCCCAGCCTGTCCCCAGGATCCCCATCAACTCCGTCACGGCGGGGGAGAAGGGACGCTGGCGGTCAGCTCCTCTTCTTAATTTAATTTCAGGGCTCGTTAGCATTCAGTAATTAAAGGCCATGAGAACACTCAACACCCCGGCAACAGCCCAGCTCTGGGGCCTCAAACGGCCCTCAGCAGCTCCTGCTGGAGACAGTCCCTGCCCCACAGAGAAAAACCAGGCTCAGGCCAAGTGACAGAGTGCCAGTTTCACAGATGAGAAGCCTGAGGACCTACCAAGCCACGGGACTCCAAGTGCACCCTTCCTCGGCCATTCAAACATCTCAGCCAGCACCAGGCAGGTCCTCCTTCAGCACTGAGCCTGGGTCCCCAACACACCCATCTGTCCAAGGCCTCCGCTGAGCTGAGCCTGCTGCCGCCACTGCGGTCCACCAGGCTCCTCAGATGGCCTCCTCTCCAGCCTCCCCATCCCAGGGGATAGAAGTCCAGGTTTCCCGCGGCTGCCCCTGCCCAAACCTCCCTGATATCTCTCCTTCTCTAACCAGAAGTTGCACTGGAGCTGCACCCCCTCCCAGTTTCCTCTCGGATTTCCAGCACGGCTCATCTGGATTATTGCAATTGCCTCTAGCTCTCCTGGGCTTCCCTGCTGCCTCAGATGATAAAGAATCCACCTGCAATGCTGGAGACCTGGGTCCAGTCCCTGAGTCAGGAAGATCCCCTGGAGGAGGGCATGGCAACCCACTCCAGTATTCTTGTCTGGAGAATCCCATGGACAGAGGAGCCTGGTGGGCTCCAACCCATGAGATTACAAAGAGTCAGACACGACTGGGCAACTGACACTTTCAATTTTTAGTGCCTCTGTGGAAGCCGCACCCAAATCTATTTTCAACCCATAACAGCAAACTGATCCTTCTAGACCAGTGCTTCTCAACCTTTCTTTCATTTTCTGCCCCTCAGCACCTAAGGAGTCTTTTTAGACATGTCTTCCTAGTTTGCCCCCCACGAAATTTTAAGACCACAGATGAACTGTGCATCTCTGTGTGTGTACTTTATGTGTAGCTGTGCTTCAAACTTAACAAGTAATATTTCTTCACTGAAATCTTAAGAACCAGACTTAAGAACCCCCCAAGAACCAGATTTTCCCCTTGGGGGTGAAATCAGCACCACCCCTATGAATGCAGGCTTTAAAGAATTATGAGACGCTGCATTGCTCTGCTCCAAGCCCACCAAGGAACAAGCCAAAGTTCTGTTAGTTCGGTCCTACACAAGAAACGGGCGTCCTTCACCTCCTAGGCTCCCCTCCTCAGAGTCTGCCCCCCACCCCTTCCCTGGGGGCTCTGATCAATCCCCTCTGGTGGCCTCCCTCCCCTACCTGCCTGACACCCCTCGAGCCTCTCTGCAGCCCTGCATGGGAGCACTCCCGGGGCCTGCGACCCCCACGCCCAGGGCACATCGCAGAGCAGAGAGCCCGTCTGAAAAGGAGCAACAACAGCTCAGCGGCTCCATGGAAAGCAGCAGAAGGCGCCTGAGGCCGGGACGGGAGGGCGGCAGGCCCTGCAGGACAGAGGACTGGGAGGGCGGCCCACGCCCTTCTCCTGCCGCGGGTCCCACAGAACCTGCCTCCACGAGGCCTGCTCACAGCTCCCTCCTCTCGTTCTACAGGGTCTGGGGCCGGGGACCTGGGCAGTCACACTCCAGGGCCGGTTTAATGCTCTGCTGTTGTCATCCTGCTATTTTCCTGATTTTGAACAAGGGCCCCTGGTCTCATCTGGCTCTGGGCCTGCACAGTCTCGCCTGCAGAGGTTGTATCAATCGGGAGGCGCTAGACCGAGCCACGGGAGGAAACAGCCTCCGAATCTTAGGAGCTGGGGCAACGATGGGTGATTCTCACTCTCGCTGCAGGTGCCTCCAAGACACAGGACGGTGGAGGAGGCACTGTCTCCGGGGCCACGGGTCACGGGGCAGAGGAAGGAAAGACTCCTGAGGGTCTTGTCCCAGCAGGAAGGCCTCTGGCCCCGAAGAGACGCATGTCAAGGTGACCAAAACTCTCTGGCCAGCACTAGTCACAGGCCCCACCTAAACACAGGGGGCTGAGAGAGCAGCCCCCACGCAGGGAAATTCCAGAAGCAGGAGCAGGAGACACTGGGTGAAGTGCATGCACCAGGGACCGCAGGGAGCCGCTCGGCCAGCCCACGGCCCCGCTCCTGAGCCAGGGCCGAGGCTGTGGCCCTGACCTGGGCTGGGAGCTCTTCATCAGGTTGGCTCCCGCCAGCCTCCACCCGGCCCCCCTCATTGTCATTCCAGGCTGAGCACAGGCCACATCTAAGGGGGGAGGGACGCAAAGTGGTCCTCGCAGCAACTCAATTAATCCTCCATCGGAAATTCTAACATGATCAATTTGGGGAGCCGGCCGACATCGCAACACAGTAATTAGGAACAAGCTTCAACTCCCGGCTTCCTTTGAAGATTGTAATTGCAATTAATTAAACATTCTCACTGTTCCTAAGAGTCTGTTCCCGAGGAAACTGGAGCAGAGGCAGGGGGTGGAGGGGCCCTGACCCCTGTTCCCAGCAGTGCAAGGATCAAACGGGAGCCATCTCCTTGGAATATGGAAGGACATGGAGTCTCCAGTCTCCCTGGGAATGCTGTGCTGGCTGGAAGGCAGAGGGAACCTGCCTCGGGTTCCGAGCTGACACCCCGACTCCTGTCCTCCCCTGGGGGCCCCCAGGATACCCAGCTTCCCTGCTCAGCAAGCTGACAGCCCCCAGTCACATTCATAACATTCAGAGCAGCCCCCACAAGCAGGTTCTAGGGGCAGAGGTCCCGCGTGACTACTGAGGGTCACACCCTGCCCTACATGCTGCTGTACCAGCGGTGGTGTGGGTGTGAGTGACCTGGCGAGGCTGCTGGTGCCCCGAGTGAGGGATGTGGAGAGGAGGCATGCGCTGGGCTCCAGGGTGGAGAAGGACAGAGGGGGAGATCCCACCCTGGGTTAAGACAAGGGGAGAAGGCTAGCTGCCAGAGTGGACAGTCCCAGCGGAAACAGCTGACCCTCTGCAGCTGTCACTGCATGCCAGGCCGACCCAGGGGCCTGAACAATGAGCTCTCCCACCTCCCCCCACAGTGTCCCACCCAGAAGCACCGTGACCGTGCTCCCACCTACCACTGAGGACCCGAGGCCCTAGATAAGTGCTGACCGAGGGCTACAGGGCCGGTGCATAGAGGACCCAGCTTTCTGGCAGAGGTATGTTGTCTCCCGAAGCCTGGGAGGTAGCCACTGCCCACCCCAGTGAGTACCAGGGCCCAGTGTCACAGCAGTTAGCCCCTGACACAACACCCACAATATTCAGTGCAGACCACCAGGCTTGGCTCTGAGAATACAGCGGAATCTTCTGGCAAGTCAGAGGGGGTGAAACGGTCTGCAACATTCAAAAAAAGGTGTTTCTCTCCAATTTCCAAAAATAATTGGAAGCATCATTTGTAAGATTTTATCCCCTTAGCCTAAGACTCGAAAGCTAGTCCAGGATAAAACAGCGAGGCCAGAAGTTATAGGCGCCCCACCTGGGAGATCACGCCCGAGGAAAGCTAGGGCAGAGAGGCACAGGTGGGCTTTGAGCTCCTAGCAGCCAGAGCAAAAAGGCCAGGCCAGGGCTTCATGGCTCTGTCTGTGAGGAGGGCAGCAGGAGACCCTGCATCCCAGGAGGGGCTGCCCAGACACTCATCCAACGGGCAATGAGCAGAGGTCCTGAGGTCTCCCAACACCCCCGCCCCCACAGGTTTCTTGATGCAGGAAGTCTTCCACCCCCGAATGCCCCGCCCCCGCACTGAGTGGGTGGTCAGGAGACAACTTAGATGATCAACCTTGCTTCACATGAAAGAGTAGAGGTCCCGCTGTGGCCATTTCTGACCCAGCTTCTCTCCAGGAACAGCGTACTTAATTGGAAGAGAAAATGCATGATTTAGCAAAAAAAAGTCAACCCAGGGGCCACAGCCCAGGGCTCACACCTCCTGGCTGTGATGGACACGGGAGTCACCTCCCCAACATCCCTTCCATTCCCCTCAAGCTGATCCAGGATACTGTTCCTGGCCTTATTCTTAGAATCCAGTCAGGGTAACCCCACCCACTGGTCATAGGGATTGGTTCAGAAAACACATGCCTAGGTCAGTGAGTACAGGATACTGTCTGATTTAGGACTAGACACGTGACCCTACTGGACCAATGGGCCATTCAGGGAGGCTTCTTGGGGCTTGAGATGGATCCATTCTTCCATGAGAGCTCTGGGAAGTCAGTGGCCTCTCTCCTTGTCAGTGGCCAGGGAGAATGAAAAGTCAGGAGGTGCATCAGGCATGCTGTCATCATTAAGGAAGCTAGTCTGAGGGACAGATCCAATCTTGAGCTCCTGGATCAAACCTTACCTGAAGCTCAGTGTATTTCTGGATCTTCCAGTTACATGAACCATTCTTTTTAACTTTCTCCCATTTAAGCCTGTTGTAGCCAGGCCTTTCGTGGCTATAATGTGGAGTTCTAATAACACGCTGGCTTATGCTCTTGGGCACGTCCCTTCCCCTCTCTAGGCCCCAGGGCCCTCTTCCACCCACTGACCTCATGGAACTTCAGGGCGGATGAAAAGATGCAGTAAGCATGAAAGGGCTTTGGGATCCTAGAGTCTTGTGGGGAAAGAGTCTTCCCCATAAATGGAAGGCTATTTATCAGACAATGAGAGTCTCTTCTTGCTCATTGTGCTCTGGCCTTGCACCCGCTGCTTCCCGTCCTGTGACCTTTGAAGCTTTATTTTTAATTGCTCAGCCTTTGCACAGTCTGTCCCCTCTGCCTGGAGCCCCCTCCCCAAAAGTTCAAGTGACGGGTCCTCCTCACTCTTCCAACCTCAGATGTCACCTCCTCCAAGAGGCCCTCATGACCACTTTGTTTGAAATAGGACCTGTCCTTACTCATTTTCTTCATAGTACTTACTGCTGTTTTTATTTTTTTAGTCATGTTTGTTTCATTAGTAGGTTACTTATTTCGTTACTTATCTTTCTCCCCTTGGTCAGTACTTCTCAGACTAGAGGTGGTAAAGGGCCACGTTTTTATTTCCAACATGTCATAGACAAATACTTCCATGTGTGCATGCTAAGTCGCTCAGTGGTGTCGGACTCTTTGCGAGCCCATGGACTGTAGCCCACCATGCTCCTCTGTCGATGGGATTCTCCAGGCAAGAATACTAGAGTGGGTTGCCATGTTCTCCTCCAGGGGATCTTCTGGACCCAGGAATCAAACCCGCATCTCTTATGTCTCCTGCATTGGCGGGCAGGTTCTTTACCACTAGTGCCACCTGGGAAGCCCCAATACCTCCATGCTGCTGCTGCTAAGTCACTTCAGTCATGTCCAACCCTGTGTGACCCCATAGATGGCAGCCTACCAGGCTCCTCCATCCCTGGAATTCTCCAGGCAAGAACACTGGAGTGGGTTGCCATTTCCTTCCCCAATGCATGAAAGTGAAAAGTGAACGGGAAGTTGCTCAGTCACGTCCAACTCTTTGCGACCCCATGAACTGCAGCCCACCAGGCTCCTCCGTCCATGGGATTTTTCCAGGCAAGAGTACTGGAGTGGGTTGCCATGCCATAAACTACATTAAAAATACATTTCTAGAAAAATTTCTATTTCAAGAATATACTAAATACAAACTCCAAATTCTTATCACACTTTACAGTTATAAAGCTACTCTGGCACCTTATAAAAGTTTCTAAACAGTTCCTCCCCATGTATGCTGTTTTTGGGTGAATTGCAGGCTCGGTCCCCACAGTACAAGGGAGGCAGAGTTTCAACACTGGCTTCCCTGTCCTGGAGGCGGGCTGGCGGTGCAGCAGTCCCCATGCGGCCTACCAGGGTTCCCAAAGGGGCTTCCATACACCTGCAGGCCTGGCTAGCTGCACAGCCGCCCCTCACTGGCTTCCTTCCCTTCTCTCTCTCACCTCCTCACTCCCCTACCTATGTTGCCAAGGATCACCTCCCGCATCAGTCACCTGCACTCAAATCCACGTTTAGGGCCTGCTTCTGGGGGAACCTGAACAATTAGTATTCAACACAGGGATATTGATAGAATCCCTTAACAGAATCATTTCTGCTACCCTGTCAGGATTCACACGCATGAGGACTGCGGTGTAACCACCGCACATGTCTATAAAATTGGAGAGATGGGACCACAAGTGGAAAGGAATCTGGAGCAGGGTCAGGGGTCTTGTGGGGTCACCACCAGAGAAGGGGGAAGCTAAGGACCCCTCTTGCAGAGGCTGAGCCCCTGTCCTCCAGAGCTGAGCATTTCTTGTCACTGGTTCTCCTGCACACCAAGCAAGACTTTGGAAAAACCATCTCTGCCCACCACCAGGAAGCTATAAATAACTCCCGGATTAGAAGAAAGGGATAAAAAAAAAAGCTCCTATTCCATCTGTACTTGAGTAAGAATGCGCCCTCCAGCCCCCTGCCTCCTGCACGCCTCGGATCCAAGCCCCCAACAAGAGGAAAGCTGAGCCTTGGCCGGCAGGTGGGAGAAGAAGGTCACCCAGGTCCTGCGTCCAGCGGCTCTGCCCAGCGCCAGGAGTCCACGATAGACTGGCCTCTGGCAGGGCTTCTCACCTACAGAGGGAGACACCCAGGATGGAGGCCAGGTCATCAACAGCCTCAGCCAATCTCTCAGCCCCATAAGAGGGGTGGGGGTGGGAGTAGGGGGCAGGAGGACCCTCTTCTCTGCAGAGCCAGCACAGAGGGCTGGCAGGAAAGCAGCGGCCTGGGGACTGGGCTCCCCGTGTGATGCTTGTGTCCTGGCGCCTATTTCCCTATCACATCCTCCCCGCCCCCTCCTGCCCTGTGCTCCTTCCCTCCCATCTCTCCATCCGCGCCCCTCACCCGACCCTGGTGCCCCTCTGTCCTGGAAGACAGGACCCCTGCTGAACTTGCAGTCACACTGGAACCAAATCGCAGCTGCTCCCGGGAGCACTGGGACCCAGGGTCCTAGCCTGCAGTATGGGGGCGCTAATGCCCACCAAGAGGCTGTGACCAGGGTCCCAGAGGGCCACCCACCTCCCCACTATCCCAGGTCCTCTCCCCCCCACAGCCGCTCCCGGCCTAGCCAGCCCATCAAGGCTGCCACTCTGCTTCCCGCCTTGATTCATTAGCCACTTGGGACAAAGTGGACATCCCACAACGCCGCGGACGCGGCCCCCGGGGCTCTGTGGGCACCAGACGCCCGCCCAGGTGTGTCTGGCAAAGAGCCTCGGGGCGGGAGAAGCAGAGGCACTGCATGCTTTATTGACAATCTCGGGACTGCGCTAGCCCAGCCGGGGGGCGCCCCCGCTGGGGGAAGCTGCCTCGGGCCCAGGGAAGGCGCTGCCCGCTGCGGCGGGCGCGGGCGCCAGCAGCACCAGGCCGGGCCCGGGGCCGGCGACCGCGTGCGCGTAGCTCAGCGCCAGCTGCTCCAGGCGCCGCTTGCGCAGCGCCGCCTGCGCCGTGCTGTGAAGGGGCCGCAGCAGCGCGGGGGGCGGCGCGCCCGGGCCCCGCAACAGGAAGTCGAAGCCCGAGCGGTCGTGCGGGTCGTAGAAGAGCGGCCTGCGAGCCGGGTCGGGCCCCGGCGGCCAGGCGAACGGGAAGGGCAGCGTGAAGTCCTCGGTGAGCACGCGGATGGCGAAGTCGTCCTCCTTGCCCAGCGCGCGGTAGGCGCGCCCGATGCCGCGGAAGTGGGCCTCCCACAGCTGCGCGTCCCCGCCGTAGATGTCCGGGAACGGGGGCTCCTGGGGCGCGGCGGGGCCTGCGGGCAGGGATCGCGGAGCGGCCAGAGATAAGCGACTCCCGCAGCCACCTGCGCTGAGCCAGAGAGGCCAAGGGGGGGCCATGTGGAGACAGAGAGGGGAGGGGTACCAGAGAGGGAGACTAATTTCCAGGGACAGCGCTAAGGAGCCGTGAGAGGCAGAAAGGCCCGGAGGGGTGTGTTAGAATATAGCCACTACAAACTGTTAGGGCTGAAAGTTCCAGAAGAGGAGGAGTCTGGATAGCTTTGCGGGGACCTCGCAGAGCCTGCTGTGGACCTGGGGTCATCCCCAGAGAGCAGGGGTGACCTGATGACTCTCAGTGGAAAGTCGATCCTGGGCCTGGGCAGAAGACGGACCGCGGGGGAGGGGGACAGAGCCAGGTCAGGGTGAATTCGAAGGAGGACTCAGCAGGGCCAGCATGGAGGGGCCAGAGCCGGCCTTGTGTCAACAGATGGGGGGAGGGGGGAGCCCTGCCTGGGCATGGGGATCTGGGACCCAGGGGGCTGACCAGCTTGACCAGCTTCACCAGGGAGAAGGATCCGGTTGGAAGCTGGGCTGGTGCTGTGTCTGTGGGACACCCCCCTTCCCCCTCACTCCAGGAGCATATTCCAGGAGAAATGGGGACATGTCTGATTGCTGACTCACACATGGATTCCCAGGAGGCGGGGGTCTGGTGAAATCCAGGGGTCCACTCTCAGATATCACGTGTGAATGGACACAGCACTGTGCCCCTGGGTGGGGGCCTCTGCACCCATGAGGCCCATCCATCCATGATCCCAGGCGGCAGCCCAAGCCGCCACTCCAAGCCCACACCTTCTATGAGCTGCTAGGAGAGACCCTTCCCCCTTGTCCCCTTCCTTCCTTCAGCAAAGTGCTTAGCTCTGGGGATACTGAACTCAACGATGCAACCATGGGCCCTCCCTGGGTATAGATAAGCCTCTGGGGACACAGGACCAACTGGGCAGCTCCTTGGAGACAAGGCAGGACTCAGGGGGAGGGCCTGGGAGGAGGTGATGGATGAACCCATACAAGGCTCTGAGCGTGAGTTCTTAGGTCCTCCCCCCACACCCTTGTGGGGGCAACAGCACTCAGCCTGTTTTCCTGCTGAGAATGCAGACCCAGAGAGGCCCGCCCTGAACTGATGGCAGCAGGAACGCCCCCGTGCCCACCCTCCTGCTAGGGGCCCCTGGACGATGACCTTCCTCCCCTGGTAAGTACCCTGGGGCATCTGCTGTGCGCCAGGCTCCGCCACAGCTGTGTACCGCACACACTCGGCTTCTCCCAGGCCAGGGACAGGAGCCAGCAGACCTGGGTCAGAGGTGCTTCCTTCACCTGGGAGAGCGTGGTCTGGGTTCTGGATTCCCTGAGCCTCAGTTTCCCCATCTGAAAAATGGAAACAGTTGAGCCTGTTCTGCCATCCTTGTGGATAAGAAGGTCATGAACCTTTGTGAACGTCTTTGTCAGGTCCTCCTGTGAACCTCTTTGTCAGTGGGAAGTGCCTTCCTAGCTCAGCACCAAAGCGGTTGCTTCCAGAATCACAGACCCAGGTGGACTGGCTCTAAGCAGGGTGTGAGGCCAGAGGGGCTGGCTCGGGGCCCGCTGCACTCAGCACCTTGGAGAGGTCCGAGGCAGCCTTGCAGGAGCCTCAGATTTGGATGGCAGAACGGCTGTGCCCCCACCCCGGGCAGCCTGTCCTGTCCACCGGGACACCTCCTCCCTGAAGGCCTCCAGGGTGGGTGGCCAGAGGCACAGCACTGCACTGGTGTCCACAGCACTGGCCTGGCCTCACACTTAGTACCAGCAGGCGGTGGGCTGTGCAGAGGCGCTTTGGGGTGTTGCTGTGGGCCAGGGGTGAGAGTTGTGGAGAAGAGGGGAGGGCCCCCGGGGGGCAGGAGAGGACTGACCATCCCTGACTGGCAGTTAGCCAGGTGGGTCTGGTGGTTGCAGAGGAGACAGGTGAGGGGCAGGGGCCGCCATACAGACCACAAGGCGGCCAGGGCAGCAATCCAGGGCAGAGGGGCTGGGGGCTCAGCGGAGAGAAGTGCTGCTTCTACGTGTGTCTTGAAGACGGAGCCCGCAGGCTCTGCCGATGGAGGGGCTGGTGGGGGAAGGGGAGGGGAGTAAAGGGAAGACTCGCAGTTTCTGGCCTGAGCCACTGGAGGAAAGGAAGCCCGATATACTGAGAGGAGCACCTTGGGGTTAGGGGCTCAAGAGTCTAATTCTGGACCGGTGATGCCTTCAGACAGTCCGGGGAAGAGGTGCAGAGGAGAGTTAGCTAGAGTCTTGGCTTGAGGTGGGGGGCTCCAGGCTGAAGACAGACAGACTCCTGGGAGATGGTGGCATTTAAAGCCACAGGGGATCCCCCGGTGGTCCGGTAGTTAGGACCCATGCTCTCACGGCCTCAGAACTGGACGTGATCGTGAGACAGAGAGGGAAGAAGCCTGAGCAGCCGGCCTGGGCCCCCAGCTTCCCCAGGTCAGGGAGAGAAGGTGGAGCAGCAGCGATGCGAGAGAAGGGCGGGCTCTGGCTCTGGGAGTCAGCGGGGAGGGGGCCCTGGGCCCTGAGCTGCCCCTTCAGATACACTGCGTGTGCCCGGCTCTGTGCCTCCCCATGGACCGTAGCCCGCCAGGCTCCTCCGTCCATGGGACTCTCCCATGGAGAAGGGCGGGCTCTGGCTCTGGGAGTCAGCGGGGAGGGGGCCCTGGGCCCTGAGCCGCCCCTTCAGATACACTGCGTGTGCCCGGCTCTGTGCCTCCCCATGGACCGTAGCCCGCCAGGCTCCTCCGTCCATGGGACTCTCCCATGGAGAAGGGCGGGCTCTGGCTCTGGGAGTCAGCGGGGAGGGGGCCCTGGGCCCTGAGCTGCCCCTTCAGATACACTGCGTGTGTCCGCTCTGTGCCTCCCCATGGACCGTAGCCCGCCAGGTTCCTCCGTCCATGGGACTCTCCCATGGAGAAGGGCGGGCTCTGGCTCTGGGAGTCAGCGGGGAGGGGGCCCTGGGCCCTGAGCTGCCCCTTCAGATACACTGCGTGTGCCCGGCTCTGTGCCTCCCCATGGACCGTAGCCCGCCAGGTTCCTCCGTCCATGGGACTCTCCCATGGAGAAGGGCGGGCTCTGGCTCTGGGAGTCAGCGGGGAGGGGGCCCTGGGCCCTGAGCTGCCCCTTCAGATACACTGCGTGTGTCCGGCTCTGTGCCTCCCCATGGACCGTAGCCCGCCAGGTTCCTCCGTCCATGGGACTCTCCAGGCAAGAATGCTGGAGTGGGTTGCCGTGCCCTCCTCCAGGGGACCTTCACAATCCAGCGATCAAACCTGTGCCTCTTAGGTCTCCTGCGTTGGCAGGCGGGTTCTTTACCACTAGTGTCCCCTGGGAAGCCCCTGAACTGCTGATGGATCATGTCAAAGGGCACCTGAGAACTGGCCGCAGGTTCAGCAGCGTGGAGGTCACCCCTGACCCTGACCAGAGCTGCTGTGGCCAACTCCAGGAATGAGGGGCTGGGTCCACTGCATTCCAGAGCAAATGGGAGGGAAAGACTGGGAGGCAGCACGTACATATAAATAACCTTCTCCAGGAGTTTTGCTAAAAATGGGGAGCAGAGAAATAGGGCAGTAGCTACAAGGGAAGTGGGGTCAGGAGACAGGATGTGTAGCTGCATGCCTTTATGTCGATGAGAAAGATCTCGTAAAGAGAAAATGTCAGAATGCGGGAGAGGAGGGTGGAGAGGTGCTGGAGTGACGGCCGTGGGCAGGAGGCCAGGCCGGGCCTCGGCTGGGAGGGGGTGGTTCGTGCAGGAGCAGGCGGGGGAGCACGGGGCCCGAGGGCCCAGGTGCAGTGGGCAGCCCCGTGCCCAGAGCCTGTGGGGGTCCTCTCTATCCTTGAGAGCGGGAGCAAGGCCAGCAGCTGAGTGTGCAGAGGGAGAGGGGGGTGGGCGCTGGGAGCGGGGGTGCGAGGCAGTTGCTGGGAGAGAGGAGGGACTGGGCAGGAGGAGGGATGCAGTGGGACCCTGGCACGCAGCCCTCCCTGCAGCTCGCCACCAGGAATGTAACAGGAGCATTAGCCTGGTGAGCTGATCCCCAGCTCTGCTCAAGCTCAGCTGTGCGGGTGCCCGTGAGGAGTAGGCAGAGAGCTGGGGCGGGGGGCGGGGGGGTGGGTGCCATCAGATGGGAGAGGGCGCAGGGCAGGAGGGTGTGGTGAGGGTGTGATGATCACTGCAGAGCTGGATGGGGGCGTGAGGGGGTGGGACCGGGGGGAGGAGGCAGGAAACAGGCTGCAAACAGTGGACTACGGTTCTGCCCACGGAGTGTTGGAGTCCTGGTCCCCAGATTGGGGTCAGCGCCGGGCTGCAGTTTGGATGCTGGCGAGACACGACCACCGCAAGGGTGGCTGGGGGACACGTTTCAGAGAGGTGTCTGGGGGACTGAGGGGCAGGAGGAGAGATCGCCCATGTCATGGCAGCACAGGTGGAGACAGGGTCAGGGCCCAGGCCCCAGAATCCACGGGGCGGGGGAGGGTAAGAGCCCGCCCCGTACGCGCAGTGGGTGTGTACCTCCTTTTGTTGTTGTTGCTGACCACGTGGCACGCGGGGTCTAGTTCCCTGACCAGGGATAGAACCCACGCCCCCTGCATTGGGAGTGCGGACTCTTAACCACTGGTCCACCAGGGAAGTCCAAGAGTCTACTTCTGAGGAGCTGGGACTAGCCCTGGGCTTTTACAGAGGTGGGGGGACGGGGTCGGAGAAGGAACTGGAAGGGCTTTGAGGAGTGAGGAGGACCCTGGCCCACGTCCCGGCTCAGGGTCCATGGGCTGCAGGACCCTGGGGAGGGCTACAGGACAACAGGAAGGAGAGCTCTCAGGGGATGGGGTGCTTGCCCCCACCCTGCCCTGCCCTGCTGTGTGACCCTGGGGAAACCCCCCCAGGAAGAGGTGGGGGCTCTGCCTTCTCTCCCACGTCCTCAGAGCCCAGCTGCCATGAGCACCCCCTTCTCCTCCACCCCGAACCCATCCGTGTGTCTCACCTGGAGTGGCTACAGGGCACGGGGGCAGGCCTGCCGGGCTGGGGTCCCCGGAACAGGGGGAAGCCATGTCAGCAGCCTGGGGTCAGGCTTGTTTACCTGGCTGCCCAGGAGACTGGGGGAGGGGCCTTCTGGGGAGGAGAGAACCTTGAATTTAAAGGGACCCCACCCGGAAGTGCCCTGGGGCTGGGGGGGGAGGGTCAGCAGGCACAGGGGCCTCTCCCCTGACCCCCCATGGCTCACCTGGCCCTTCTCAGGAGCCGTGGGGACCCCACCCTGGTGCTCGGAGACCTCCGTCCTCACCCCAGTGACCCTCCCAGGTTAATCCCTCCCTGCTAGCTCTGAACCTTGGAGCCCGGCAAGAGGCTGGACAGCCTCCAGCTCTCCTCTGGAAGCCCTGGGGAGCGTGTTTTAGCTCCACTAACAAAACGACGGGGGCAGCACAGAATACAGAGAATCCCCCTGTGCTCCTCAAGCTGGCGAGAGAGGAGCACACGGCCCCCTCCTGTTTACCCCCGTGTGAGCCCACAGCACAGCTCCTGACCCACGATGGCCAGGTGCTCTGGGCACAGGCATGTGGGGACCATCTCCTCCATCAGGGAGACCTGGTCCCGAGTGCCGGGGGCGATCCTGAGAAGCGGTGACCCAGAGCCCAGGTGGCTAGTGGTAAAGAGGTAAAGAGTGGTAAAGAGTCCTCCTGCCAGTGCAGGGGACTCAAGAGATGCGGGCTGGATCCCTGGGTTGGGAAGATCCCGTGGAGCAGGAACTGGCAACCCGCTCCAGTATTCTTGCCTGGGAAATCCCATGGAAAGAGGAGCCTGGCAGGCCACAGTCCATGAGGTCACAAAGAGTCGGACACAGCTGAGCACACACACATCGCCCTGCCTGGCACGCACCGCATCCCACCCACCAGTGCGTCCGGAGCCCCTGGCCAGGAAGGCGTGGGGTGGGATGGGGGGTAGGCCGGGAAGGCTGAGGGCCTGGCCCTCGTGGGACTGGTGGGCGGGAGCACGGCCAGCCCTTGGGCCTCAAAGGCAGCTGAGGGATGCCTGTGTCTCACGGACCGGCCCGCTTCCCAAGGTCCTGTGCTGCAGCCACACAGGCCACCAGACGCCAGCTCTCAGGGCAGACGTCGTACCAGCTGAGCCCAGCCCGGTGACCCTGGGCAGCTGCTTGCTATCTGCATGGTGGGGACAACGCAGGAGAAAAACCTGACACTGACATTCTACAAATGGCCACTGAACACTGCGGACAAGACAGGCCTGTTAATAGCCACTCAAGGCCTGCGTAATAGGGTAACCGCCAAACCGTGGCAACAAAGAGCAACTTCAGAAAGGTGGTGCCTCCAACGGTCCAGGCCCACCGGCAGCCATCCAACTGTCCGGGGCTCCAGGGCAGGCCCGGCTCCTTCCGGCTCGCTCCGCCCCTTGAGGGCGTGGTCTCATCCACTGTCGTTTCCATCTCCTCTCCACCGGGAAGAGGAGGATGGGGGACCCTCTCTGGCCAGCAGTTTCCCTGGTATTTCAGCTGGTAAAGATTCCTCCTTCAATGCAGGAGACCCCGGTTCGATTCCTGGGTCAGGAAGGTCCCCTGGAGAAGGGATAGGCTACCTATTCCCAGTAGCCTTGGGCTTCCCTGGTAGCTCAGATGGTAAAGAATCTGCCTGCAATGCAGGAGACCTGGGTTTGATCCCTGGGTCAGGAAGATCCCACGGAGGAGGGCATGGCAACCCACTCCAGTATTCTTGCCTGGAGAAACCCATAGACAGAGGAACCTAGTGGGCTGCAGGCAGAACCTGGCAACCATGGGGTCGCAAACAGTCGGACGCGACTAAGCGACTAAGAACAGAAATTGTACACTTCATTTCTCAAATGCCAAGGCTGGAATTAAGTCAGCTGGTTGCCCTTGGCTGCAAGGGAGGCTGGGGAATGTAGTCGCAGCTGGGCAGCCAGGATTTGAAGGGACAGCTGCTGGCTGGCCTGCCCCCACATTAGGACAGACCCAGTGTGCGGTAGTCCGGTCTCCCCCCGAAGCACGTTGTATTGTTTCCTAGCGCTGCTGTGACAATCACCACAATGTCGGTGGTTTAAGACAGCATCACTAGGATGCAGTCAAGGGCCGTGCTAACCCCACGGCTCCCAGGAGAACCGGCTCCTCCCTCTCCCTGCTCCTGGGGGCTGCCAGCATCCCTTGGCACCCACCCCCCAACCCCCATGCCCACCTCTGTGGGCACACGGCCTCCTCCTCTTCTGTCTGATAAAACTCCCCCTACCCCTCTCCATAAGGATGCAAATGGTTGCTTTAAGGGACCACCCAGATAATCCGGATAATCTCCCCATCGGAAGATTCTTAACTCAATCACAGCCACAAAGCCCTTTTTTTGCCTTATAAGGTAACGATTACAGGTTCCAAGGATTGGAACACAGCTCTCTTTGGGAGGCCATTATTCAGCCTCGCTCCTGGCCCTAAGGAACGATTTGAGGACAGGGCTTGACCCCAGGGCACATGGTAGGGACAGAGGGAGGCGGGTGATTCAGGTTAAGTGGTCATCTCAGGGAGCCACTGGGGCTCAGCGCCCCCGCCCAGGCCATCCTGTCTGAAGGTGAGGGCCTAGTCACCCACTCACCCTATCAGTCATGAGTTAAGCACTGCTGCCCAGAGAGGTGATGCCCTGAATCTCCCACCAGCGGCCAGAGAACCCTTCCGACAAAGAAACACAGGGGCTGGCATGGAGGCCCCGGGACAGGAAGCGCCCGGGGCGTGGGAATGGGGCAGACCCATAGCTCCCCAGCCCCCACCTCAGGGAGCGCACAGCCTGACTGCACAGAGGGTAGAGGTCAAGCCCATGAAACAGACACCCGTGGGGATGAGGATGGGAGAGGAAACTCTCAGGGACCCGTGGGGTAGCGGCAGCAGGGGTAACCCCCGGAGACCATCCCGTGTCAAGGTCAGCCTCTTGGAGAAATGACACTAACGCTGAGAGTCAAGATGGGATGTCACGTGGAGGGACGGAAGGAGGGCCCGAGGACGGGCCCTTACAGACACCCTGTGGCGGCCGCGAGCACGGCACCCGGGGATGAGCAACCGCCCGGAGGGGCCAGGCAGTGGCTGAGCAGGGAGTCAAGGGAGGGGCACTGAGGAACTGGGGGCCTTCTGCAGCCTGGGGTCCCGACCCCAGCGTTTCCACCTCCTCCATCTCCACGGCCACCTCCCTTCTCAGCAGCTCGCTCCCCACCCCTGGCCCCCCACTGCACAGAGGGAAGGGCAAAGTGAGGGGGCCAGGCTGAGCGTGGCGTGGGCACAGGCTGCTGGCCGCAGGCAGGGCACCCGCCAAGGAGGAGGCGCGGGGAGGCCCCCGCAGCCCAGGCTCCCCACGTAATCCCCTCCTGGCGCTGCACCACCTCTTGGTTATTTTTAAAATCTCATTTTCAGAAAGTGGAGAAGAAAACCTCTTTCTTTGGCCTTTTTCCCCTTTTTCCTGTGAAAGATTAGGAGAGGGGTGTGGAGGGAGGAGGGAGCCTGGAAGAGCGGGAGGCACCTCTGGCAGCGCGCCTGCTTGGGGGCCAGGGCCTCTGCTGAGTGCTGCCCCCACCCCAGCGGCCCTGGAGACACGAGGCGGGACCCCTCCTTGGGCAGCCAGGTCTCAGCTGCTGCTTTCGCCCAGAGGGCGCGTTGTTGGCGCCAGCTTTACGCTGGAGCATGGCAGGGTGGGGGTTCCGGGTGTCCACCCTCATGGGGTGCAGGGCCTGCGGGGAGAGAGGGCCAACAGAGCTCCGCCCCCGGGCTGGGAGGGGGGGAGGGGCAGGAACTGCCTGGAGGAGGGCCCGGCAGAGGGCAGGGAGGGTTCTAGAGGCGAGGACTGCACGCACGGGCAGAGCCCGGAGAGCCTGGGTGGCTGGCAGGACACGGACTGACCTCAGGGGCCAGGGAGCCCGAGGGCCCATCAGGCAGGTGCCCTCACTGCTCCCAGACAGGACACCCCGCAGGGGAGGACTTCCCTGAGCTGGGAAGGCCTGGAGCCTGGGACTGGACTCCTAGCTGCGCTCCTGAGGCTGGGCCTTAGCTGAGCCTGCTAAGTCACTCCCAGTTCTAACCCTGTCGACTGTAACCCGCCAGGCTCCTCTGTCCATGGGATTCTCCAGGCAAGGAGACCGGAGTGGGTTGCCATTTCCTCCTCCAGGGGATCTTCCCGACCCAGGGATCGAACCCGCATCTCCTGCATTGCAGGTGGATTCTTTACCACTGAGTCACCTGGGAAGGTCGTGGGCCTGCCGCACTCAATGGCTTAAACACCTCGGGAGGGTGTCAGGTGGTCTGATGGAGCCACTGTGCTCCTGGGAGCCCATCCTCAGGGGGGAGAATTTGTCTGCCCGTCACCTCCCGTCAGAACCCCAGCCTGCATCACCCCACCTCCCAGAACTCAGGAGTTCCTGTTGAACCAACCTCTGCAGGGAGAATAAATGCTCTGGGAGCCCAGAGAAGTCAGGAGTGGTGTCTCAGAGGAGGTGACTTGGGCTGGGGTCCCCAAGGGTGAATAAGAGAGCGCGGGATTTTCTTCAGGAAAGCAGGGGTGTGGAGGGGAGGGGGTGACACCCGGTGCAGACCAGACTCATACGCGTGCGGTTATGGCTGCAGGTGCAGAGATGGGCCGTGCAGGGGGAGAGACCGGGCTCAGCTCTTAATGCAGTGGGGGTTTACAGCCAAGGAGCAGGGCGGAGGGGGTGGAGGGGGGTCAGTGGATGGAAAATAACTAGCAGGAGGTATCGGGGGTACGGAGAGTCTAGCTAGATCCACCTACCAGGATTCTCGCTGGAGGCAGGCCTCGCCTGGGAGCGAGCAGAGGATGAGGACCCTGATCAGAGGCAGGGGGTGCGGGGCAGGGGACACGGAAGAGGAGGTGTTCTTGCTAGAACTGCACTTCATGAGGAAGAGCAAGCATGGGCCCAGGAGAAGGTTCCGGAGCCCGGCTGAAGTTTGGTCCAGCAAAGACTTTGTCAAGGGCATCCCAAAAGGAAGGCATTGCAGAGCCTCAGGGCTGGGGTGGGCGTGGAGGCGGGCAGACAGAAGCGGCCTGGGTAGCAGGGCAGGGGCTGGGCGGCTGGGCCCTGGGTCAGGCCCGTCCTCTCTGGGGCAGTAGCAGCAGCCTCCTCCCCTAAGGGCCCAGGCCGGAGCCCGCGAGCCGGGGTGTGCCGGGGGCCTGCGCGGTGGGATGCCGAGGCCCCCTCCCCCCGACCTGCCGTCTGCGCTCCGGAGGGCTGTGGCCCGGGCGAGCCCGGATCTGCCGGAACGCCCCGCCGGCCCGCCCCTCGGGTCCCCCGCCTCGAGTCCTGCCTGGGCCCGCAGCGCCATCTGCCGGCAGGACGGGAAGGCTCGGGCGGAACTGACCCGAGGCCCCTGGGGAGGGACGGGTACCCTGCAGAGGTGGGTGCGCGATGGTCCACAGGCCTCCTGCTCACCCTGGAGCGAGCCATGAGGGCCTGGTTTTGAAGCTGGCTCCACCGTTGGCTGCTGTGTGACCTCCAGCCAGTTCCTGACCTTCTCTGAGCATCATCCCACTCGCAGGGAGGTGAGCACACCCAGCCTCCAGGTTACTGTGAAAAGTAGCCATGAGGCTGGGAGCCCACACGCGGCAGAGGTGGTCCCCCCTGGTGCTGAAGGTGCTCCCCAGTTCCTAAGAGGATCATGGAGGAAGCAGGCAGGCGGCATGACCCAGCCGGGGACCTGCAGACCTGATATCTCACCGTTTTCAAACGTGGTGAAGGGTAGCACAAGATGGACAAGGATCAGACCCCAGGTCTCAGTGTTCCCTAGGGCTGACACGTGTCCCCAGAGGAGGCTCATCCACTCCCACCCTAACATCCAGCCCCCCTGGGACCCTGCAGGAACAGGAGTGCCCCCTACCCCAAGCAGCTCATCCATTGTCCATCTGGGGCTTGCTGGAAAGTTCTTCTGTGGAAAACCTGTCTCCCTGTAATCCAGGTACATTCCAAGAGCCCAGAAGGCTCATGGGGAAGTTCTGGGGCCAGGACCCAGGAACCGACCCCCACCCTGGCTCATCCCCTTGGGGGCCAGCCTCTCTCTGTACCCTACTATCTCCTCCCTTCTGCCTGGAGCCCTGAGGAGGGGTGGGCAGCTATAGAGAACCCCAACCCAATGCTTCCTTCTTGGCCCCAATTCCAAATTCCTAAGGGGAGGAACTGGTTGGCCCACCTTGCCCGGTCAGCCTGGTCGATGTCGAACAATGGCTCACCAAAAAAGAAGGAAACCAAAGGCCCTGACTTGCAGCATCGCCCACGACCGTGGTGAAAAGGCTCCCACCACAGCTGGTGCCCTGCTGCCCCTGTGATGGATGGCACACAGAGTCCGGTGGAGATGCGCAGTACCGTCCCGTATACAGACAGAGAAACATAGATACCTCTAGGACACGGGTGACAGTACAATGTAGGCAATAAGCAAGAAGTGATGAGCTTGGGGCACTTATTACCTCTGTTTTTATTAGCGTCCCTTCCATTGTAGACTTCTGTGGTGGTATTTAACAAGTAACCCTCAACATTGCTGATCATTTAAGCACTAATCACACAAGTCTGTAGGCCACCAGACAGAGTGGCTATAAGGGGGCACACCTGGAGGCGTGGGGGCCCAGCCCTGAGAAGGGTCACTGCCAACACCTGTTCTGGGAGCTCTGTGGGATCCTCCTTCATGATTCATGGATTCACGGACCCAGTTTTCAACAGTCCCTTTCACAGTGCTGAAGGATGGGAGAGGGCAACCTGGGCTCCGAACAGGACTGCCCACACGCCCCCGTCAGAGTGAGCTGAGCCGAAGGCTTGGGGAAAACCCCATCCCCCAGCTGCCTGGATGAGAGGACCCTGCCCGCTCCTCACTCCCAGCCTCAGGCTCCTCCCCGCAGAGGGTCAAACCCAGGAGCCCCGTCTCGTGGGTTCAGCTGCAGTTAGCCATGGTGCGGCTAGCCACCGAATCAGACAGCTGTGCTGCGCTGGGCACCTGTCTCTTACCAAGCCCCTTTCAGGGAAAAGTGATTTAAGTCTCAGAACCAGCTGGGGAAGGGGCATCATCAGCCTCTGTTTCTAAAGAGGTCACAGCCTCAGAAAGGTCACCTGCCCGGCAGAGCCAGAGCGGCGGGGCTGACCCCCAGAGCAGCTGCAACGCCCGCAAGTCCTCGGCGGTAGGCGGTTGCTGTCCGTTGACTGTCTGGCTTCCTGCACGTGGCCAGGGTCCCACATGTGCATCTCCACGACACAGGGGCTACGGGCACAGGCCAGCTGCGAGGGCTCCCCGAGATCAGGGCCGGCTGGGCACGGGGGGGCCTGGCCCCGGAGCACCCCAGCCCGCCAACAGGTCCAGACAGCAGCCACCAGCCTGGGGCCTCCTCACCGGCAGCCCCTCCACACGGGAGGACCCTGGGGCCTCTGGCGAGGAGTCCGCTGACAAGGGTCCCTGCTGGGAGCCCTGGTCTGGCTTCAGGATCCAGCTCCCCTGTGGCCATGCAGTTGGACCAGGGACCACGAGCAGGAAGCCGCCACGGACCCGCCCAGAGGGCTTCTGCTGGGAGGCCATTCAGTCCCAGCTCTGCCTGCTTCTGGCACGGAGCACACAGGAAGTCATCCATCGCTGGAACAAACAACCGCAGACTCAGGGACTTAAGACTCCACTCGTTTCCTGCCTCACAGCCGCTCGGGTCGGGAATCCAGGCGGGCTTTAGCTGGGCCTCCTGCCTCAGGGGGTCTCCAGGGTTACGCAGGGTGTCAGCCAGGTCCACAGGTGTCTGGAAGGAGACAGCTGAGAACCAGAGGTGGAGGGACATGCTGAGGGCATAGGTGTACACACGCGCGCGCACACACACACACACACACACACTCACACATGGGCTCTGCCCAGGACACAGTGTTCGATTCCTCAGCCCTGTCCTTGCCAAGGTGCTGTGGGTGCTGCAAGCATTGTGACCTCAGGGGTGAGCTCAGGGCTGGCTAGGGCGGGGGAGGGGGAGCCCAGAGATAGAGCTGCTCGGCCGGGCGCGAGGAGAGAGTGAGCAGCACCTCCAGACTGTACCCGAACATGGACGCGCAGCATTCAGAAAAGCCACACAGCCACGCCAGCATGAACAGGACCTCCTCAGCCAGGTCCCAGAACTCCAGGTCAGCCCAGCACTGGGCAGGGGCCCCCCCGCAGGGCAGGGCAGCAAGGGGCGGGCCCCCAGAGCCTGGGCCCAGGACGGAGGGGTCCTGCAGCATGCCGGCAGCTGCCTGGAGTGCAGGAGTTGGGGGTGGACTCCCATCTGGCAGCCCTCAGGGTGGTGGAGAGGAGGCTGGGGGGCAGCAGGGCGGGATGATGGGGTGCGGGGAGGGGGGCTCGAGTCCAGCACGGCCTTTGCCATCACACTGCCTGTGGCTGCCGACGCTTGTGGAGACCAGCGGTGTGAAATCAAGTGGACGGATGGACAGACAGTGGGCATGCTGTCCCTCTGCTGCCCGGAACCTCAACCTCGTCGAGAGGGTACAGCAGCCTGTTTCCTGAGAGATGTGAGGGATGTGCACAAAAGGAAGGTCCTCTGTGGCCTTCAGTCCGGGGGTCCCCACACCCCAGGTGGGCGCAAGGACACTCCATCTCCTGAGTCCAGCGGCAGGTCAGAGGCTGGAGGGCAGGCTTCCTCTCTGGGTCCCCAGACCCCCCAGGCCCACAGCGCGCCGCGTGGGGACTGGGGCAGGTCGGCTCTCCAGGCTGTCCCTGGGGGCTCCCAGGCGGGGTCCTCGCCTATGCTTCCATGGTCATGTCTGTCCCCGAGGGAGCTGCCCGACCCGCCTCGGAACGCAGCCCTGCTGTTCTGCACCGTCACTTCTGCCTGCGTGCTCAGGACGGTCTCCCCTCTGCCACATCCCGCCTCACGTCTAGGGTGAGAAAACGCTCGTCCTGCAGCTGTCTGCTAACTGCCTTCCTATTCTCCTGTCTCTCAAAATACACTCAATCCTGGTCGCCGCGGGACTGGGAGGCAGGTTTGGGGTGAGACACAGATCTCACTTGTGGCTGTGGTCAACCCTGACCGACCAAGGCCCCTCCAGGGTGCAGGAGGGGCCAGGCTTGGTGTGAAAAGCTGAGCCCTCCAGGAGCTGCACGAGAGTGGCTGGTTTTCTGAGAGGCCATAGGAAGGAGGGGGCTTCCCAGGTGGCCCTGGTGGGTAAAGACTCACCTGCCGATGGGGGAGACTTAAGAGATTCAGGTTCGATCCCTGGGTCAGGAAGATCTCCAGGCGCGGCAACCCACTCCAGTGTTCTTGCCTGCAGAATCCCATGGACAGAGGAGCCTGGAGGGCTACAGTCCATAGAGTCACAGAGTCAGACACGACTTAGAGTCTGAGCACGCACATAGGAAGGGGGGCCTTCCAGGAGGGGCGGTGTGTGCTGAGCCCCAGTGGTCACATCCCTGGGATGCAAGCTTTGGAGTCAGAGCCAGTCTGAACGGATGCTGTCCTGCAGAGGTTGGGTGTCCTGGGATGGGTCGCTGAACCTCTGTGTCTCAGCACCTTGTGGGGTTGGTATGAGGACAGGGCAGACCGGATCAAGCTCCTGACACAAACCAGTCCCCATTGGCAGTGGTGGGGGCGCTGGTGAGGTGTGTGGTGGGCAAAGTACAGCCGGGAAAATCCCCTGCTGACCACACAGTCACTGGTCCCCAGAGAGGCAGATGGTGGGGAGGGGCAGAGGGTCCTCAGGCTGGACATGGCCAGGGAAGGGGAAGGCCCCCACGCTCCAGGCAGGAAGGCCAGCTGGGAGGGGAGCTGAAGGTAGCAGCTCCAGGTGGACGGGAGGACGGTCCCACTGTCCAAGGCTGACCTTGGCTTCTCCCAGGAGCACGCCCTCAGCAGCATCCACTCACTCACTCTGTCACTGAGCCTTCGCCCAGGGCCTTCACTGGGACACCCAGAGACAGCCACCACATCCCCAGGGGAACTGGGAAGGAAAAGGCCCGGGGGGTGGTCAGTGGAGCCACCAGGGTTCCTGAGAGTTCAGGGGGGCCAAGGAGGGCCATGAGTCATCAGGGGGCTGGGGGACACACCCCCTACCCCAGGACACGCTGACCACGGCGAGCAGGCTGAAGGTGACTTCACGTGGCCCCCGCAAGGGGTCGAGGAGGGCAGGGGCGGAAGGTCACACGCTCTGGGCAGACAGGAGAGCAGAGGCCCGAGGTCAGCCGGAAGGTCTCAGGCAGCTGATCTAGTGTGGAGGCTGTAGATGTCAGACCGCCAGGATCCCAGTGAGCTGGAAGGGCTGTCCCAGGGCTGGACCCAGAGGCGCCCGGCGGGGCTGATGGCTGCTCTGGACACATCACTCCACTGTTCTTTCCACAAACATTTGCTGAGTCCCTGCTAGGAGTACCAGGCGCGGTTCCAGGTGTGGGGGACACAGCTGGGAACAAGACATGAAGAGCCCTGTCTCCTGGCTTACATTCTGGTGGGGGAGACAGCCGATAAACAATAGACACGGTCCATAGAATTATGCAGTGTTACAAGGTGGGAAGGGATGTGGGAGGAAATCGATAGGTTTAGGGAGTGGAGAGTGTGGGTCGAGGGTCAGATTTTAAAGACGTTCATCAAGAAAAATACAACTGAGCAAAGAAGTGAAGGGGGGCGGCGGTGAGGGGCTGAGCCGAGCAGTGCTCACCAAACTGGAACAGCCAGTGCAAAGGTCCTGAGGTACAAGTGTGCCCAGCAGGTTCAGGAGCAGCAGGAGCCCTCTGCACCTGGAGTGGGTGGAGTGAGCAAGAATAAGCCAGAAAAAGGGGCTTCCATGGTGGCCCAGAAGTTAAGACTCTGAGCTTCCACTGCAAGGGGCATGGGTTCCATCCCTGGTTGAGGAAATAAGATCTTGAATGCCCCAAGGATCCTGCATGCCATGAGGCATGGCCAAAAAGTAAAAAAAATAAATAAATATTTCAGAAAAAACAAATAGTAGAAAGAAGTGAGATGGGGGGATCATTTTTGTTCTTATTTCTTTTGTTTTTGGTTTGTTTGGTTTTATTTTAGCTATGTTGTTGTTCAGTAGCTAAAGTATTTCTTTTTTTATTTACATGCAGTAAAGTTCACCCTTTTCAGTGTCCAGTTCTACAAGTTTTTTTGTTTTTAAATAATTTTTTTTTTTGGGCCATACCGCACAGCATGTGGGAACTTTGTTCCCTGACTAGGGATCGAACCTGTGCCCCCTGCAGTGGAAGCTCCAAGTCCCAACTGCTGGACAGCCATGGAAGTCCCGGTTCTAGATTGGGACTCATACAGTGGTGTATCCACTACCACACACAAGCTCTGAAACTGTTCCATCTCCCCCTGCAAACTCCCTGCACCCCTTTTCATAATCAATCCTCCAGCAACCCCGCTATCCCCAGAAACCACTGGTCTGTCTTCTGTCTGTATAGTTTTACCTTTTCAGAATGTCACAAAAATGGGACAAGGAAGCACGTGGCTTTGGGGATCTGGTTTTTTTCACACAGCGTGATGCACGTAAGCCTCCTCCACGTGGTCTCCTTCATCAGTCACTCCTCTTGTTACTGCTGAGTAGTATTTCTATGGATGTAGCACAGTTCTTTGTGCATTCGCCAGTCGAAGGACATTTGGATTTTTTCTGTTTGTGGTTATTATAAAGCCACGGTAAACATCTGTGTACAGATTTTTGTGTGATGTTGTCATTTCACTTCGGTGAATGCCTAGGAGTAGAATATCTGAGTCGGATGGTAAATGTAGGTTTTACTTTCTAAGAAAGTGCCAAACCACCCTCCACGCTGGCTGTACCATTTTGCATTTCCGCGGGCAATGATGGAAACTCTAGTTACTCTGTCTCCTCACCAGCATTTGGTATTTTCTAGTTTTTCTTTTCTCCATTCCAAGAGATGTGTATTGATATCCCACTGTGGTTTTAATTTGTTTCTCTCATGGGGAATGGTGTTGAGCAGTTTTTATGGGCTTATTTGCCATCTGCTTTTCTCCTTTAGTGGAATGTCATTTGAATCTTTTTACCTGTATTTTCTTAGGCTGTGTGTTGTTTGTAAGGTATTTGTATATTTCAGGCATAGTCTTTTATCAGGTGTGTAATTTGCAAATTCTTCCTCCAAGTCCAAAGCTTATCTTTTCATTTGTTGTAGCTGTCTTTCAAAAAGCAGACATTCTTAATTTTGGTGAACTTGTTCACCGATTTTTTATTTTATAGATGGTGCCTTTGGTGTCACACACGGGACTGCTTCGTGCAGCTCAGGGTCACAGAGGTTTACTCCTACATGTTCTTTGAGAAGTTTTAGAATTTTAGGTTTTACTCTAAGTCTGTGGTCAGTGTTGAGTTAATTTATGTTTGTAGTGAGATATAAATTGGGGTTTATTTTTTACATATGTTTATCCAGTTATTGCAGCACCATTTATTGAATAGACTATCCTTTCTTAATTGAATTACTTTTACACCTTTACCAAAATACATGTGGGTCTTTTTCTAGACTCTATAGTTGGCTCCATTTGTTTCTATTTCTGTGCTTTCATCAATACTGCACTTCGTTGATTACTATAACTGTATAACAAACCTTCAGATCACCAGTATCAGTACTCCAATTCTTCTCTCCAAATTGCTAGGCTATCTTTATTCCTTTACTTTTCCACATAAATTTTAGGAACAATTTGTTGGCTACTACAAAAAAAAAAAAGCTTCTTGGATTTTGATGAAAATTGCCTTGAATATTTAGATAAATTTAGAGAAAATAGACAACAACATTGAGTCTTCCAATCTGTAAATATGGTGTGTTGCCCCATTTATTAAAGTCTTTATTTCTTTCAACAGTATTTTATATTTTACAGTGTATGGATCTTACAATTATTTGATACATTTATACCCAAATATCTCATGATTTTTAGTGCTATTGTTTATAGTACCTTTTTATTTTAATTCCCAGTTCATTGCTGGTACATAGCAACATGACTGATTTTTGTATGCTGACTTTATATTTGCCAATTTTCCAAATTCACTTTTTAGTTCTGGTAGGGTGTTTTTTGGATTCTTTGGGATTTTCTATTTAGATAATACCAGTCTCTCGGCCTCCACAGCACCTCCCTCCGTAAACACATGGAGCCATTCAGATACATACACCCAAGTCCTCTTTTCCCTTTCAGAACCTCCTCTCACATCTCTGAACTCACAAAGAACCAGGCCTACATGACGGTGCCTCAGAATTCTGCCCAAGGGGACAGACAGAGGCCCCCCACCACCATCCTGCTCTGCAAGCCACAGACCAGCCAGGCCGCCCTGATGCCCAAGGAGCACAGGACGTTCATCGAGGAAGCCTACAACAAAGGTGACCCCGGCCCTGGGGCTCGGCTCCAGCAGACCCCATCAGTCCCTCCACCTGAGGAGGTCCTGGGGCTGAGGGCCAGAGCAGGCCCACCCTCCAAGACCCTGGGGTGACAAGAGGCGTGGGGAAGGGGGTCAGAGCAGGCCCACCCTCCAGGACCATGGGGTCTCAAGAGGCGTGGGGAAGGGGGTCAGAGCAGGCCCACCCTCCAAGACCCTGGGGTATCAAGAGGCGTGGGGCCGAGGGTCAGAGCAGGCCCACCCTCCAGGACCATGGGGTCTCAAGAGGCGTGGGGCCGAGGGTCAGAGCAGGCCCATCCTCCAGGACCATGGGGTCTCAAGAGGCGTGGGGCCGAGGGTCAGAGCAGGCCCACCCTCCAGGACCCTGGGGTGACAAGAGGCGTGGGGAAGAGGGTCAGAGCAGGCCCACCCTCCAAGACCCTGGGGTGACAAGAGGCGTGGGAAAGAGGGTCAGAGCAGGCCCACCCTCCAAGACCCTGGGGTGACAAGAGGCGTGGGGCTGAGGGTCAGAGCAGGCCCACCCGGGGTGACAAGAGGTGTGGGGAAGGGGGTCAGAGCAGGCCCACCCTCCAGGACCATGGGGTCTCAAGAGGCGTGGGGAAGAGGGTCAGAGCAGGCCCACCCTCCAGAACCCTGGGGTGACAAGAGGCATGGATTGGTGCAGCTTTCATCAGGGCCTCCTGCCCATCCTCTTTGGCCTCTTCACACTTCCTAAGACACCATCGAAAGCCCAAAATGCCTTCTCTCAGCCCTTCCCTCCGCCCTCCTCCAACACCTTTCACACCCTAGAACCTCAGCTCACACCCGGCCCTCTCACTGGAATGCTTTTCCCCTGCCTTCATCCTTGTAGGCAAAGCTAAAATGCCACCCTCTCTGTGAAGCCAGTCCTGACTACCTCTCCATCTTAGGATTTATCACCCCTCGCCTCTCTGTGCCCAGGGCCTTTTGTACAACTTCCCCACAGAACTCAAGTCCGCTGATACTGGGGATGGCTCTCCTGGGCTGGAGACTCCTCCAGAACAGAGCCAGGCCCTGACTCCCCTTGGAGCCACACAAACAGTGTTACAGTAAATGAACACCACTGAATGTTGGGTGACTGGATGGAGGATGAAGGGGTGAGGAAAGACCAGATAGAGGGATGGATGGATGGATGCTTAATTTATCAACAGATAGGTGGGTGGATGGGTAGATGAATTTTTTAATGGGTGAAGATGGGATAGATAGATGGATGATGGATAGATAGATAGAAGATGGATGGATAGATGGATTTAGGAATGGAAAGTTGGATGGACCGAAGGTGGATAGATGGATAAATTTATTAATGGATCGACTGATGAATGAGCATAAGGATGAGTAGGCAGGTGGGTGGACCGGTGGGTTGAGGGATAGAAAGACATGGATAAATGATGGGTGGATGGACAGATCGACAGACACATGGATGATATATGTGTAAATGGATGGGTGAAGAGGAGAGTAAGCCAATGAATGGATCGAGTACTGCACGCGTGAACAAGAATGCATTCCCTGCTTGCTTTCTTGCTCCTGATCTCAAAAGGACAACAGAGCGGTTAGGAGCCCCAGGATTTCCCAGTGTGTTCAGTTCCCCAACCCTTCCTGTCAGATCGAGGCTTCCATTCCCAGTCCCACCCTTCCCCGCCCACCCAGCGCTGCTGGCACGCCGTGGTCTTCCCATGGCGCACCCACGCGCGCGTCTTCTGCCTCAGCCATCTGCTTCAAGCTGCTCTGGGACCTCAGTAGTTCAGACTCTGTCCACCTGAGGTACACCATCAAGAAAATCAAGAGCATAACTCACGGGGCCCCCAACCTGGTGCTGGAAACCATCGGCGACTACTTTGTAAACAACCAGCAGGTGGGAGCTGTTCGGGCTCTTCAGGGCGGGCATGGGGAGGGGAGGGCTAGACCCAAAACAGATTCAGACCTTGGTTCCTCCAGACAACAGAGCTGTGATTTGGGGCAAGTCAGCCTCCCCATGTGTCCAGCAAGCCAGCAGGGGGTGGGTGGAAAGTAGACCAACATGTGTGGACCATCCTCTGAACAGTCTCTCGATAAACTGTCATGATTCCCAGAGAGGAGAACGCTGAAACTGAGAGGGGGGAAGTGATTTGCCTCACAGTGGAGGGATGGCTGGGTGGATGATTAGGGGAAAGCTCTATCTGGACTTTTTTAATGAATGGGTGGATAAAAGAATGAATGGATGAATTGGTAGAATGCTCTTTAGACCCCCTTGCAGTTCCCTGAGGATGGGGACAAGTGTTTATTCATCTGTCTCTGCAGAACCTAGCTCAGGGCTGTTCACAAAGGTGTTGCTACATGGATGGCCAAATGCGTCCACTATGCTATCTCCTCACTGGCCTCCTTACGCACCCCCCCCCCACTGCTGCTCCCATGGCGACTCCCCACTTAATCAGATCCAACTAGTCTCTAAGCCTGTGTCCACCCTGCCGCCCACAGATCTCCACCTGGCACAAGTTCCGGCTCTTCCACGTCCTAGAGGCAGTCATTGGAGCCAGTGAGTCCCTGGAGAAGACCTGGGAGAAGTCGTTCATGCAGCTGGCCCTGGAGAACATGACCAAGTCCACAGTGAGTCTCCCCCCCCCACCCCCAGCAAATAGGCCATTCCACAAAAGCTTCTGGGGTGCAGGCAGCTGCCCCAGGGACCCAAAGAATGCTGGGAATGCCCAGTCTTGTGGCTGACCGAGAGATTCTACCCATTTTCTCATTTTCTTACCACCAGCCCCTTCAGAGGGACATCATGCACCCATTTTACACAGAGAAAGGTGAGGTTCAGAGAGTTCTTGACTGGTCTGTGCATCCCACCCATTCCCCAGGCAGTAACTCAGCCCTTGGCTGCCTGCCTCTGGGTCCCTGCCTATTGAAGACCAGAGGTTTGGACCTGGACCGCACATCCCTCAGCAGGTGGGGGCAGGTACTTCTCTGGGTGCACAAGCTGGTCCAGGACTCACAGGGAGAGCAGGTGCCTCCTGGCGCCTCCATCCTGCATAACGCCCAGCACGTGCCTGGCTCTGGGTCTGTCTCAGCCTCTGTGATAGGCAGTCCTGCATCCTTGCAGTCCAGCTGCTTGGGTCCTTTGCTTCTGGAAGACGCTTCCCTGATTCCCCAGGACATCGTCCCCTGTGTTTCTCTGTACTAGGCTTTAGGAACTCTCAGACCCAGAGCTCTCCAGAGTTCCTCATACTCTCATCCCACCTCTTTTTGTAAGGCATAGTTCAAGCGAGGCAGAAAAGGAAAGACGACCTCAACAGAAGTAGGTTACCTTTATTCAGGCAAGGAGGGGCGACAGTCGGCCTAACGACCAGGCTGAGCGCCGAGAGGGATCAGGGAGGCTTCATACTTCCAGGGAGGTTTGTGGAAGCGATAAGGGAAACATCAATCAGACGGGATATTTTGAGTATTCTTTTGTTGAGATGACATTTGTAGTTGGGCAAGGGGTGATAAGTCTTCTGGGCGGGTGTAGGGGGTGGAAGGTTTCCGGACAGGGGGTGATAAGTCCCAGATAGGTGCAACTGGCCTGGAGCGTCAGGGTGGAACTAAAGTTATGCTTTGTTTTCTCCGCAGTTAGATGATTCAGCAAGGGGCCTTTGAGACTGTTGTTCTCTTTTCTAGGCCCAAAAGACTCCTTCACTTTTTCCACCTCTCTGTCCTTCATTCTCCTTTCTGAGGAGCCATCATCTTCCAAATCTTTGACTGCATTTTCTATGCATATCCATGAGCCTTTAACTTTCAAGACATCTTGGTCTTTGTCCTCAGAATGTTCCCATTTCATCCTGTTAATAGCTTCACAGATGCAGTGTTTTCCCTTATCTCTCAGGATATTAAAGGGACTGTTTTGCTTCAAGCTTTATCTCTCTGCTTGGCCTCTATTTCCTCCAAGTAGCTTTTCTCTGGGTTTCATCGGGTTTGTGGTTTTGGCTATGGTTTTGGTCCCTCCCGCATCTGTGGCCTTCTCTGTGTGGCCATCTGCCTGTGCTTACGAGCTGCTAGGATGCTCTGGGCGCACAGGTGGGTGATGAGATTGGGGGTCCACTGCAGAGTTACGAGGTGAGCCCTCTACTGTCCTCCGTGTGTTCCCGTCCCCATATCAGCACCTCAGTGTCGTTCCTCTCAGGCCATCCAGATCTCCCGGGGAAGACCTGATCTGGGGCTCAGCCCCGCGCGGCAGAGTGGAGAACCTGACCCAGGAAGTGCCTGTCCCCGGCACTCGCGGGCCCGGCCTCCCCACCCAGAGACCCTCAGCCTGGCCTCTCCAGAGACCCTGCGGGTGTGCAGACTGGGGAAGGGATCTGGGCGCTTGACTTCGCACCCACTCTGCCCTCTCCCCGGCCCCCCTAGCTGTAAGCATCTGGGAGATGCACCCCCCAGGATTTCTACCAGGCCACGTGTGGTGTCAGTGGGGGCAAGTTCTCAGCTTGCCTCACCGCCTGCTTAGCGCTCAGCCCAGTTACCTCACCCAGAGGGGTGGCTATCACCCTTGGTAAAAACCTCCTAAATGTAGAGTATTTGAGGTCTTTTCCTGAAAGAGCAAAATCAGATTCAACCTATCATCTTAACAAGAAGCCCTCATAGTCACCCTTTGAACAAATCATGAATGATGTAACGATTTCACATGATGCCCAGACAGCACTGAGAAAAGCCCTGAGTGTGGCAACACAGCGCTAGGCGGTCTGAGGCTGCCCCTCGAGCAGAGCGTGGTGGGCCTGGCTGGGGTACAGGGAGGGCAGGGGGCTGGCCAGCTGGGCCTCTGCCCCCGGGACGCTGACACCAACTCCTCAGGCCCGAGATCTCGGGGCAGAAGCAGAGACTGTGCTTCTGAATCCCTGGTGGTTAAGACTCCAAGGCTGTGATGTTGTCCTAAGCTCCCAGGAGTTCCAGAAAGAGGTGACATCGAGTAGAGCCTTCAGGATGTGTGTCCAGAGTGTAGGCGTTGGGGCAAGCTTTCAAAATGGACTAGCATTTGGACAGACAGGGCGAGTGGGCACTGTGTTCCAGGCGGGAGACAGCATCTGTACAAAGGCTCCCCAGCAGGGATAATGACGATGGGCTTCTGGACCAGGAAGAGGCCCAGGGATGTGGATATTCACATGTGATCCTGAGCCCTGAGGATGAGCCTCACCTTCACCCACCCACTCTGCATGTCCGGCTTCCTCAGCCTGTGTTCTATCCAAAACCTGGGTTGACAGTAGATGTCTTGCCCACCAAACCAGACCTCGTGTGTGAGATGTCAAGGCTCCATCTGAGCACCCATTCTTCCTCTCCACCCCCCACCCAGGAGCTGGAGGAGGCCTACCAGGACGCGGCCAGCAACGTGCTGGTGGCCATCTGCAGGCACTCGTGGCAGGCAGTGGCCCAGCATCTGGAGACCGAGGTCCTGTCGGGCGTCTTCCCGCACCGCAGTCGCTTCTACGTGATGGGCATCATGACCTTGGACGGTATGTCCTGCCCTCGGGGCCTGGGCCCAGCTACCCTCTGTCTGCAGGCTAGCAGGGGGCGGCGGGGCAGGCCATGAAGAGAGCAGGAGGGGCCGGCAGGGCTGCTGACCCGCGGGACACCCTCGGGACCGAGATCAGCTGCACAACAGGGAAGCCAGCCAGACGGCCACAGGCTGCGGCCCGGACACCCCCACGGCCCGTGTGTGCCTCCCGTCCCCACAAGGCCGCGCTCCTGCCCTCGGCATTTCAGCCGCAGGCCTGGACACAGCCAGGGCGGAGCGCGGGGGTTCCAGGAGGGAGGTCTGCTCTGCCGCGTGCTCCGCGGTCCTCTCCGCTGGTTCCCAGCAGACAGGCTGAGCTCCCAGACTGTGCGACAGGCCTGGGCACCCAGCCGCACGCCGCAGGCCCGGGGGCTCCATGTTCCTGTGCCTCCTCCGTGGCTGCTGCCTCTGAGCCACTGGAAGGGCCACCTTGGATAGTGGGGGGTCTCTGAGGACCCCAGGGAGGACTCACAGGGGGAGGTCTTACCAGGATGAGGCTCAGCTAACACTCTGAGTTCCTGTCGTGTGCCCGGCTCTGCCATCGGGAGCTCACAGCCTCGCCAGGGAGGCACACTCCACCTCCCATCCGTCACTCATTCATTCATTCACAAGCATGAGCTGAACTCACTGCTGTCTGCCCTGGTGGCCATCAGGGAGGACTTCCCAGAGGAGGCAGCCAACTCTGAGCCATGCCTTGCTGTAGGGGTTTGAGGAGGAAATGGTGTGAGTACACTCCCGGGCCTTAGGGAGGAGCTAGTCAACAGCCTCAGCGGAGGGGTTGAGGTGAGAGGGAAAAATGGGTGTGGCGGATCTGCTGTCTCCAGGGCAACCCAGAGGGGAGGCCTCAGCACCTGCACTTGCTAATAAGGCTGGGAGGAGGCAGGCCTCAGCTTGGCTCGGCTGTGCACCCCTCCCCTGGAGCTGACAGGCTGGGTGGAGGTCCCTCTGTGCCTTGGGTCACCTCTGAGACCCCCCCAGAGCAATCCCCAAAGTGGCCCCTCTTTCTGAGGTTGGGTTTCCAAAGCTCCATAAAGGCTTTCCAGCCCCAGTGTGCCCCTCTGGGCCTTGTTTTCCCACCATTGAGGAGACCCAAGCACATCCCAAGGGACCTTGCCCAGAGGGAACCCTCTATTCCACTGTGGGTGAGCCTGAGGCTCAGAGAGGGAACTTGACCCACCTGAGGTCACACAGCAGGGATGGCAGGACCACGACACCAGCCCAGTGCTCTGGACCCCCAAGTCCAGCTCACCATCCTCGGAGCTCACCTCCCCCAGGGAGCCGGACAAACCCAGGACAACGCAGTCCTGACTCAGTCATGTCCAAGGGATGGGGGAGATGGAGCCCAAGACCCAGCCCCGGCCGTGGACACAGGACCTGGCCTCCAGTGACCGCCACCTCCGCTCTCCCTCAGAGAATCTCTTCAAGGAGGGAGAGAAGGCTGGCTGGGAAGAGCAGCTGACCAAGGTAGGGAGGGAGCCCAGACACGGGGGCCTTCTGTGGGGCTGATGGGGGGCGAGGGTGGGCACGCACTCAGCCCTGGGGGGACGGAGGCGGCTCAGGACGGGAGGTGGAGGGCGGGCAAGGCTGGTACCGAGGCGCTGCAGGGTCCCTGGGAGTGAGGATGTGAACTGTGGTCTCTAGACACCTGGCACAGAGCAAGTGTCCAGCACACACAAGGCCCTTCCTGCCCACCCTGGGGTCTGGGTCCATGACTGAGGGGCCCAGAGAGGACGCGGAGGCCAGATGGGAGAGCAGAGGGGCAAGGAGGAGGGCGGTGGGGACTGAAGGCGCCACAGGGAGGACGGGTGTCACGCTGCTCCCGCTCCAGCCACACCCTACGTGGCCAGGAGAAGGGACGCCGGGCCCTGGCCTGCCTGGATTCAAGTCCAGATTCAACCAACCACAGCTGTGTGCCCTGGGGGACCTACTTTGCCTCTATCAAATGGGGGTGAAAGTACCAACCTCCAAGGCTTGCTGTGAAATGATAGGAAATAATCTACACAGTGTCTGGCACTCTGCGTGACAGATAGGAAGCCCTCACTCACTTCATTAGTTATTATTATCATATAGTAGCAGCAGAATAGTTGTAATTAAATAGCATTTAGTGGAAATAACACCGCCAGCAGCAGCAATACAGGTAATTAATAGAAAAATAAGACAGAAAATCACTAAGGACATAGAAGACTTGAACAACATAATTAACCAAATTGATCTAATTGACGTTCTTTTCAAATGTAAGTGGAACATTCACCAAGACAGATCGTTTGCTGGGCCATATATCAGGTTTCAATAAATTTAAAAGGACTGAAATCAAACAGAATACATTCTCTGCCCAGAACATCAATTAGAGATCAATACCAAATACATCTGGACAAATTCCAAATGTTTGGAAATTAGACAACACTCTTTTAAATAACCCACAAGTCATAGAAGAAATCACAAGGAAAATTAGAAAATATTTTGAAATGAATATTAAAGAAAGCACAATATGAAAATTTGAAAAATTTGTGGGCCTCAACAAAAAACAATGCTTAGAAGAAATTTATATTCGTAATGCCCATATTAGAAAAGAAAAAAGATAAAATCTATTATCTAAACTCCATTTTAAGGAGCCATCCCCCAAAGTGCAAATTAAGCCCAAAGTACAGGAAAGAAAATAATAAAAAGTAGAGGAAAAATCAAATTTTTTTAAATGGACAAACAACAGTGAATAACACCAAAAGTAGGTTTTTCAAATATATTAATAAAATGATAAGCTCTTTGATAAGCTGATCAAGAAAATAAAAAATATTCATTATCAGTAAAGATGGAGTATCACTGAACAACTTTAAACATGGAAGGGTAATAAAATATGATTCCAATAAATTAAGCAATTTAGATTGAATAAACAAATTCCCTAGAAAACACAAACCACAAAACTGACAAGAGAAGAACCAGAGGACCTGAGTAGCCCTGGATAAAAGAAACTGGAGTCATATTTTATAAACCTTCCCACAGGCTTCGCTGGTTAATTCCGTCACAAGTTAAAGTGTTAGTCGCTCTTTGGACTGTAGCCTGCCAGGCTCCTCTGTCCATGGGATTCTCCAGGCAAGAACACTGAAGTGGGTTGCCATTCCCTTCTCCAGAGCATCTTCCCAACCCAGGGATTCAACCTGGGTCTCCTGCTTTGCCGACAGATTCTCTATCGTCTGAGCTACCAGGGAAGCCCGTCACAAGTTAATGCAGAAATATTACCCATTCTGTCCAAATTCTCTCAGAAAATAGAGGAAGAAGGAACAGTCTTGAAACCATCTTATGAGGCCAGCACAACTCCAACACCAAAGCCAGAAGAAGACATTACAAGAAAGCTATAAACCAATATCTTTTATGAAGATGACCTCAAAAATATTTAGCAAAAGATTAGCAAGAAAAATCTGCCTTTTTGTTCACCTACCTGGAATCTCTCTCATCCCAGCCCTTTGGAGTTTTTACAGAGACCTTGTTGATAGGTGTGATTCACGAAACCGCTGGCGGCTGATAATTAAAGTCCACCTCTCACCCTCTCGCCTCTCTGAAGGTTGAGAGGTGGGTCAGAGTTCCAACTGTCGATCCAGGATTGGTTCTCCTGGCAACTCGCCCTCATCCTGGGTGGAGAGCCAGGGGCTCTCCAGAAGTGGAGCCAGGCTTCTTGTGAACGACAAAAGACACATTTACTGCTCTCCTCACTTAGGAAAGGGCTTCAGAAGCTCTGTGCCGGAAGATGAAGGCCACGTGTATGTTTTTATCATAAGTCACAGCATCACACTGAGGAAGGCTCCTCACAGAGCAGGAGCAGGAGGAAACTAGCATCTATGGAAACGCCGCCACTCACATACCTCATGATGATGAGTGACACCTTCCTACTGAGATCAGAATGAGGCAAAGAGGTCCACAGTCACCATTTCTGGTCAACAGTGCACTGAAGTCCTAACCAGGGCCCAAGGTAAGAGACAGCTGAAAACAGATATACGGATTGCAGTGGAAAATGAAAAACTGTCTTTCTTTGCAGACAACATAATTGCATACACAGAAAATCTCACGGTTTTTTAAATTCTGGAACTATTAATTACTAATAATTGAATTTAGCAAGATCTCAGGGTAGAGAATCAATACGCAAATGTCAACTGAATTTCTGTGTACTAACAATAAACAATTGGAAAATAAACTTCTAAAAAACTATGATGCAGTCACATTTAAAACATGAGAGACTCAGATTAATTTAACAGAATAAGGGCAAGATCTTTACAAAACACTGCAAAAAGAAATTAAATAAAACCGAAATAAATGCAGATAAATGATCATGGATAACGAGAGTCAATAATGTTAAGATGTCAATCTAAAAATTGATTTGTGTATTGCCACTGTGATGCCAACCAACTTCATTACAAAAAAAGGAACTTTAATGCCTGCCTCGAAACATTCACAAAAGTTAATCTGAGATGGGCCCACGGCCTAAATATTAAAAACACAAAAAACTTCTTGAGGAAAACACTGGAGACAATCTTGCCTTTATCTTGAGGCAGGTGAATATTTCTTGGAACCCAGACACCATTCATCATAAAAAAATTTTTTAATGGATAAATTGGATTCCATCTGAATTAAAGCTTCTGTTCATCCAACAATACTATGAGGAAAGTGAAAAAAGGGAAATCAGAGACACGAGAAAATATTCACAAGATGTATCTCTGGCAAGGGATTGTATCCGGAATTAGTGAAGAACTCTTCCAAAATCAAGGAGAAAAGAGAAAGAGCCCAATTGCAAAAGTGGACAGAAGAGTTAAGTAGGCATGTCACAGAGGAAGGCAGATGAATGACCAAAAGCCAAAGACACAATGGTCAGCATCTTGAGTCCTCAGGGAAATGTCAGTTAACATCCGAGAGCAGCCTCCACCCACCCACGGACAGAGCTCAAAGGAGAAAGAAAGGCTTGGCCAAATGCTGGTGGTGAAGTGCCCGCTGTGGGTGGGACAGGGAAACCTGCTTGGAAAACTGACATTTTCTTATACAGTTAGGACCCGGCAGTTCCACTTTTAGGTACTAACCCCAGAGGCATGAAACACTCGTACACAAAATTACACACACAAGCATGTTCCCAGCAGCCTCATTCATAAGAGCCTCAGACTAGAAACAACCTGTACTGGGCAGACTCATCCCCTCCCAAAGATCTGGAATCAGTTACTTGCTCACCCACCTGAGGAAACTGCAGAGAGGAGAGCGAGTTACACCAAAGCTGAGCAGCAGAAATGAAATAATAAAAATCAGAGTCAACTGGAACGAGCGTGCGACAGCACGGTGAATCTCAAACACACACTGAGGGCAAAAACAGCAGACGCAGGGCTTCCGCGGTGGATCCGGTGGTTAAGAATCGCCTTGCAATGCAAGGAACACTGGTTTGATCCCTGGTCCAGGAAGATTCCACATGCCCAGGAGCAACTAATCCCAAGTGCCACAAATACTGAGACTCCTCTCTGGAGCCAGCGAGCCATAGCTACGGATTGAAGCCCGTGCTCCTAGAGCCCGAGCCCCACAAGCAGAGAAGCTACTGCAGTGAGAAGCCCGCGAGCCGCAGGTAAGAGGAGCCCTCAGCTAGAGAAAGCCCGCTCGCAGCAGCCAAGACCACAGCCAAAGAGTGAATCAGCACGTCTCTTTAAGAAATACCAGACACAGGAAAGCTCACACCGCACGATTCCAGTCACACGAAATTCTAGAAGAATTTTAACCTTATGGCAGGCAAACTAAATCAAACCGGTCTTGTGGGGATGGAGGTTAACTAGGAGTGAGCATGAGTGAGCTTTCTGGGGCAGTCAGAAATGGTCCAGATCTTGACGGGATAAGACATTACTTTGCCAACAGAGGTCCGTCTGGCCAAAGCTGTGGTTTGAGAGTTGGATTATAAAGAAAGATGAGTGCTGAAGAATTGATGCATTTGAACTATGGTGTTGGGGAAGACTCCTGAGAGTCCCTTGGACTGCAAGGAGAACCAACCAGTCAATTCTAAAGGAGATCAGTCCTGAATATTCATGGGAAGGACTGATGCTGAAGCTGAAACTCCAATACTGTGGCCACCTGATGCAAAGAGTTGACTCATGGGAAAAGACCCTGAAGCTGGGAAAGATTGAAGGCAGGAGGAGAAGGGGACAACAGAGGATGAGATGGTTGGATGGCATCACTGACTCGATGGACATGAGTTTGAGTAAACTCCGGGAGTTGGTGATGGACAGGGAAGCCTGACTAGCTGCAGTCCATGGGGTCAAAAAGAGTCAGACATGAATGAGCGACTGAACTGAAACAATCATACGTTTGTCAAAATTCATTGCACTACACACTGATATGTGTCTCCCTGTAAGTTAAACAGACCTCAATATTATAAAGAAAATTTTGGAAACAGATGTGTTTCAAATTTCAAAATATTTCAGGTTTTTTAAAAGAAATATGGACCCACCTTATATATTCTGCAAACATTCTTAGCAAGGTCTAGGACTGATGCAGAATCAGATAGATGACTACCTCTGCTACGGAAACATGCAGAATTCACACTAATTCCCATAAATAGTGTCGCAGCAGTTTGGGCTCCGCTTTGGCCACTAAATGCTGGTACATGCCGCCATGAAAAAGACACCGAAGGTTTTGGGAGAGGGAACAGAAGCCCCTGGTGCTTCTGGAGAAATTAGGGGCTTCCAGGAGGCTGGGGTTCCCTGGGCATTCGGCAGACACCTGTCCTGTTGGCGTGTGGGAGAGCCACCCAGGTCCTGCTGCACCCCAACAAATGCACCAGGTGTGGGGCACAGCCGGGGCAGGCAGGCTCCTCTGGATTCTGCCCTGGTGTGCGTGCATGCTAAATTGCTTCATTTTTGTATCTGACTTTCTGCGATCCTGTGGACTGTAGCCCACCAGCTTCCTCTGTCCATGGGATTCTCCAGGCAAGAAGGTGTAGGTTGCCATGCCCTTCTCCAGGGGATCTTCCTGACCCAGGGATCAAACCCGCATCTCATTGCTTCCTGCATTGGCAGGCTGGTTCTTTACCACCAGCACCACCTGGGAAGCCCTGGAGGAGTGGAGATGGCCAATGTGCAGTGAAAGCATTAGTCACTCAGTCGTGTCCCACTCTTTGGGACCCCATGAACTCTAGCTCGCCGGGCTCCTCTGTCCGTAGGAATTTCCAGGCAAGAGTACTGGAGTGGGTAGTCATCCCCTTCTCCAGGGGATCTTCCCGACCCAGGGATCAAACCCAGGTCTCCTGCATTGTAGGCAGATTCTTTACCATTTGAGCCACCAGGGAAGCCTTAGGCTAGAGCAGTTTCCATTTCCAGGTCCAAGAGTGCATCACCAGAGGGGGTGCAGACAGTCCTGCCGGCAGGCGGCGCTCTGGGCAGGTCTTCTGTCCCAAAAGTCTGTGGGATGGATGGCCCTGCTAGTGCTCCTTTAGGGTAGATCCCCAGAAAAGGAATTAATTGGGGAAATGGATGTATATAAACTATAAATTTTAGTTTACATTGCCCAAACCTACACTTTAATGTGATCCAATCACCTCCAAAATGGTGCTGTTACTATTTCTAAATCTTGGCCAAAATGATACATCATCTTAATTTCCATTTCTTAAATATTAGTAAGGTTTAATTTATATATCTCCATTTTTAAGTGGATTGTCATCTTTTTCTTATTGGTTTATAAAGTGCTCTTTATCAATGATATTAACTCTTGGCAACAGATCACAGAAAGAAAAAAAAACTACTGTGTGTTTCAACTTAATTTATGGTGATTTGGCTAAACAAACTTCTTGAAATGCTTATCTTCACATTTACCAATCTTTTCTTCTTTTAAGGTATTTGGGTTGGGAGCATAATTAGGAGTCTCTCCACCAGAAAGAATCTTAGGATCAAAATCTTAGACGACTTGTATTGTGGAAACCAGGAACACTGAAAATAGAGAGGCTGTGTATTTATCATCATAAAATGATGCAGTGTTAGAGCTTTTAGGACTTTATGTTTAGAAGGGACTTCTCATTCATTTATTTGATCGTTGGTTCATTTATTCCTTCATTCAAAAATACTAACAGTGTCAACTACTTGTCAGGAACTGTTTTAGGTGCTGGGGAGACAGCCATGGGCAAACAAGACCAACCTTGCCCCCCAGGCACCCACACGGAGGTGCAGCCACCTTGAGGGGACGCGCCACTGGGCCTCTATGACAGCCGGGCCCCCGCCCAGCCCTGGGTACATAGTCAGGCTCCTGGTTTCCAGCCCCTCCTGGAGAACTTCCAGGGAGGGACACCCTGAAGAATGAGTCTTGTCCCCAAGGGCGAGTGAACAAGTCAGAGAGAGGGCCTGGAGCCTCAGGAGAGGGGCGTGGGGAGGAGGACAGCAGTCAGGACCCCCAGTGGCTGGGGGCGGGCCAGGCTGGGGGAGACTCACAGGGGGGAGACAGAGACCCTCCGCCCACCCACCCCTGTCTGCTCACAGATGGCCATCAAGTCGGTGCCGTTTCTGAACACAGAAGCGTGGTCCAAGGAGCTGCTGGGGGCACTCACCAGGCCTGACCAGACACAGCAGGAGCAGCCCCCGGAGAAGGTGGGCCACCCGCATCCCTGGTGCCCACCGCACAGGCCCAGGGCTCTGTCCATGGGACCCACACCCAGAGCAAGCCCCAGGCCCCCAAAAGAAACAGAGGGCGCGGGCCGAGCCGCAGGACTTGCAGCCACACCCTTGACGCTTCACCACCAGGCCAGGGATTGCTGGTCACAAAGCAGAGGGGCGAGAGGGCCTGCAGGGGAAGTGGCAGGCCGCCCGGAGGACAGGGGTGCAGAGAGGTGGTTCAGGCTCAAGACAGGAAGCTGAACCCTTCCCCAGGCCTTCCTGTTCATCTACTACGGGCTAATACTTCAAGCCTCAGAAAACGGCACCACAGTCAGGACACACCTGAAAACCCTGCTGGAAACGTCCCACCAGTGGTCCAAGCAGAGGGAGGTAAGGCTGCAAGGCCACTCAATGCCAACGGCCTGACCCTGACCACAGGATTAGCCTGAGCCTGGTCACACTCCGAGCCCTGACCTGAGCCCTGACCCTGGTCATACACTCTTGAGTCCTGAGCCTGGTCACACTCTGAGCACTGACCCCGGTCACACTCCGAGCCCCACCCCTGGTCACACTCAGAGCCCTGATCCTGGTCACACTCCGAGCCCTGCCCCGGTCCCACTCCAAGCCCTGACTCTGGTCCCACTCTGACCCCCGCCCCTGGTCCCACTCTGACCCCCGCCCCTGGTCACACTCCGAGCCCTGACCCCGGTCACACTCCGACCCCTGACCCTGGTCCCACTCCAAGCCCATCACAGCTGTGTCCTCTTCCTTGTCTCCTGGACCCTCCTTCCCTGCTCTGGCGTGGGGCTGCTAGACCTGGGGATGGGGAGGCAGCAGTAGCTGGGCTCCACAGTGTCACCTCTTCCCCCACCCCACCCTCGCCTCCAGCCCCCATAAAGAGACGTCCCCACAAGGCTGGGCTCAGGCGTGTGTGTCCTCCCAGGCTAGTGGGAGGCAGGTGCCCTGTGCCCTCAGACAAGCCCCCAGCCCACGTCAGTGACCCTGGCCCCCGCCCCCACAGGGCATCGCGCTCACCGTGGGGCTGGCTGCCGCCCGCCACCTGGACCACGTCTGGGCCGTCCTGAAGCAGTTTGGCAGCAGCACGCCCGTCAAGTGGAGCCTCAACAGCTTCTCCCCCAAGGTGCTGGCTCTCCAGCGGCTGGAGGCCTGGGCTGCAAACAGGGATGCTTGGCCTCTGTGGGGTGGGGGCTCCTCTTACGGGGAAAGGCTGTGGGCCACGCCCCCAGCCTCTGGCGCACCTCTGCAACAGCGCGCGTGGCCCCCGCGCCACAATTTACCCCTCCTGGATGGTGCTCCCTCTTTCCCACTGGGCTGCAGGGAGCCCAGCTGTGAGGCCAACACAGCGGGGGCTCCAGGGACAGCTCCCGCGTGGCTGCCTTCCTGCTGCGTGGCGGCTGGTGGCTCTCTGATCCTGGGCCTCGTCCAAAGCAGGAGACCAGGGCCCGAGGCCAGCCCCGGGGAGGTCCCAAGGGGGAAGCAGTGGCAGTGACCCCAGAAGGCAAGCCGGGATAGGACAGAGGGGGGTGAGTGAGAACCAGGACCACAGCCGAGGTCCGGCCTCCTCGCAGTGCCGCACCCGGCAGCTGGTAGGGCAGCGGCTGGGACCCGAGGCTCAGACCCCCAGAGAGGGTCTGGTCACTGACGGGCTGCAGGATCATCGTGTCCTCAGGGGACATCGAGGGCCCCACTCTCTGGGTCTCGCCTGGAGCCAACGGGCCGGGTGCCCCATCACTGTCTCTCTAGGTCCAGAAATGCCCCTCCCAGGCTCCCAGAGCCTGAGGTGGGACAGACGGGGGCCAGGCCACCCCAAGGCCAGAAGGGTGCGGGGCTTAGACTCCAGCCCATTCTCGCAGAGACAAGGACCCCCGGGTACACCTCCAAGTGACCCCACGAGACCCAGCCCTCCACCCTAGGGAGACAGCCCCATCTCCCCATTTTCCTTGTGAGATAAACTGAGGTCTGCCCTGCCTCCAGGACCCCGCTAGGGCCTGGGGTACTTCCCGTCACCACATCCCAGGGGAAGGCTCAGCAGGGCCCCATGCACCTGACCCACCCCACCCTCACCCCACTGTGCCCAGAACTCGGAGGACCTGCGGTGGAAGTGGGCCAGCAGCACCATCCTCCTTGCCTACGGCCAGATGGCGGACAAGGCCAAGGCCCACATCCTCCCGTGGGTGGACAACATCCTATCCCGCATGGTCTATTTCTTCCATTACAGCTCCTGGGTACGACTCCCGGCCCCTCCCAGAGCCCACCAGAGCGAGGGCAGGATTAGACCTCCCAGGGCCCCAGAGCCAACCAGAGTGGGGTCAGGACTCTAGACCTCCCAGGGCCCTGGAACCCACCACAGCAGGGTCAGGATTAGACGTCCCAGGGCCCCGGAGCCCACCTCCCCACCCCACCCCAATTGGCCTGGCCTCCTCCTCATCCTTCCCACCTAATGCTTCATTAGACCCCAGCCCTCTGCCTTCCCCCTGAAAGCAAGCCCTGGGTTCTCACTCAGGAGAACTGGATGCCCCGTGATGACAGTCCCCTGACCCTGTACCCTGGGAACAGTGAGGGGCCAGGCAGCCCCTTGAGGCCACTGCACACTTGATCCTTGGGCCTGGGGTAGCCACATATCACAAGAATCTGTACACTGGGCTTCTTACAGGCACCTCCTGATGCTTAAGCATCATCAACTATTCACACTGTTAAACAAAATAACATGGGTCCTCCCATCCTGGGGCCTATGCAGCCCGAGTCGGAGATCCCTGCTGCCATGCATGACAGTGACCCTCCTGCTCTCCCACCCCTCTGGTGCTCCCACTCCCCGAACCATCCCCTTGCTCCGCTGTCTGACCCCAGGACGAGATCCTGAAGCAGAGCTTCCTCACGGCCATACTCATGCTGGTGGGGGCCATCAGCCGCAACGAGGGCGCCCAAAGCTACGAGTTCTCGCAGGTGTCCAAGCTCCTCGAGTGTCTGATGGTGAGTGCAAGGTCCTGGGGCAGGGGAAGGGCTCCCCAGGGATGGACCAGCACTTCCCTCAAACAGCAGCACCCATGAGAGGCACCAGTGGAAGAGATGGGCCAGCTGGACTTCTAGAGCATAGGCAAGCCCCTCACAGGCTTTCACACCTGGAAGCACATCCACGGCCCTCACGTGACTCGCTCCCTACAGTGACCCTGAGCTGGCCAAGGACATCCACCACACAGCTGATGTGGCTGAGACCCGGGAAAGCCAGCACCATCCATGCTGCCAATACTGACCTAGCTTGCACCACTAGTTACTAGGGGTTTGGGCCTTGCAGAACCTGTGGGATAGTGGAGGAAACACAGGAAACACACAAGTGATTAAATAATTATGCAGTAACAAAAACAAAAATAACAGTTCTCATTTTCTGAGCCCCTCCTGTGACCAAGACATACTGCTTTGCATGCCTTGATTCCCACCTAACACAAGGGCAACGGCATCATGTTACCTGTGAATACACAAAGCTCAGAGTAGTTTGGAGGTGTGCCCAAGGTCACGCGAGCTCATGTGTGGGTAGCTAGGATTCAGGCATGACCCGTCTGATTCTAAAGTCTATGCTCTAATTGTCTAAGGTGGCAGGGGGACAGCGGGCGTGGGTGGGGGGGTGGGGTTCAGATCACAGAGGCCCCCTGTGAGGATCCAGAGCAGAAGCAGAATCCTGCAGGTTAGAGAGGTGCTGGGCACCCAGGCCTTTAGGCAGGAAGGAGACTTGGTGTCAGAAGTGGGACAGGCCCAGGTATGCGGAGAGACTCAGCCTTCACCCGGGATTTGCAGCTTCTGATGGAGAAGGAGCCGCAGGACATGCTGTGCACCACGACGCGCCAGCAGACCCTTAACATCATCTCCAGTCTCTGGTAGGCTCCCCGGCCCCACACGGTGCCTTGCTCAGCATCCACCCTCAGCCTCACAGCTCAGGCTTGGCGCCCCTCAGGACAGCGAGGTGGGAGACATCAGGCATCAAGGCCCTCCTGGGAAGGGCTAGGGACCTGAGCCAGCGCAGGCCACCATGGGAGGCGGGTGGCCGTCTTACAGAGGGCCCCGCTCTCTCTGCCTTGTTCCCCACAGTAAGCTGAGGCCACCGCTGGACTTGGAGCAGAAATCTCGGCTTCTGTCCATCAGCCTCCACAGCGTGATGTCCCTGCCGCAGCTGGAGGTCCTGGAGAAACACACCTGCCTCTTTCTGGAGCCGCCCAACATACAGGTGCGAGCCTGGCACCTGCACCCCTTCCGGAGGGGGGCCCCTGGGGAAGAATGTCCAGTCCTGCACACTGCTCTGGGATTGGGAGGGGGCCCCTGAGGCACCCGCCTCCCACCGAAGGCCAGGGCTGGGGCTGTTTCTTTTAACTGTTCTGACCCCACCTGTAAAAAGGGGATGATGATCCAAGAGCTAGTGGCCCTTAGGACTGAAGCTGAGAGGAGACCCTGGGTGTCCCACGTGTGGGGCAGAGCAGCGCTCTGTACATAGAATGGGCGGCCTCCCTGCCTCTTGCCGGCACTGAGAGCGTGCAGCTCATTGTCACCCACGCCGCTGCTGCAGCTGGTCTGGTCCTAGTGGCTGCAGGAAGGAGCTCTGATGTGCGCTCCACGCCCCTGGCCGGCCGCCCACTCTAGCTCTGTACAAGGGAAGCCGCACTGCGGGGAGATGCCGGCCATTGCGGGCAGCCGCCACCGGGGGGCGCGTGCAGCCTCACGCGGCCCCGCCCCCCCCGGCGCCCCGCCCCCCCCCGGCGCCCCGCCCACTGCAAAGGGCAGGCAGCCAAGTGAGCACCAGCCGGCGCCAGGCCCACCCCGCATCTGCGCAAGCTCAGCTTCCCAGCAGCGACCCGTCCAGAGAGTGAGGGAGCCGGCTCAGAGAAGCGGAGGTGTCGAGAGGGAAAGTCAGGGCTGGTCTCCGCCCCTTGCCCCTCGGCCGGGCTCTTCAGGCCACCTCCACAAGCTGAGTCCAGGGTGGAGCCAGCAGATAGACAGCTTGGGTGGGGGTGAGAGTGAGGGGCCCCTGGACCCAGGGCGACACCACTGCAGCGGCTCTCCAGAAGGGAGGCGTCTGCCTAGACTCCAACCCTGCGGGAGTGCAGGGTGCCCGAGTGACCAGGTGAGGACCCCACAGCCGGACCCTCAGGGAGTGCAGCCGGGAGCCAGGCGCTGGGCTGGGGCTTCCTGTGTGTTCTCACCCTGTGTCCACGTCCACCCTGACAGGGGCCTGGCTCCAGCCCAGTTCTCAGGTGACAAAGGCAGGCTCAGAGAGCTGAAGTGGCCCCAGGGAGCTTACAGCCAGCGCCCCAGGGCTCTCCTCCAGTGGACACTCCCTGTGGCCCTTCCCTCACTGAGCAAGCCTGACTCGCCAAGTGGCCAAGACTGAGGGTCTCCTGTGTTTGCAGGACCAGTGCAAAATGAAAACGGGGGGCCTTTGTTTAAACCTTTTTTGAGAATTTCAAGATGGCAATGGCAAAGCGTTCAAGTAGACACGAGAGCCTTCCAGGCCAGGTCTTGTGCGGGTTACACGCTTGTGAATCTTCCCGGCCACTGAAAATCCTGTGCCCTGGGGCAGGCCCCAGACCACCCCAGATCACCCATGCTCCACAGCTGCCCCGGGGGGTCCTGGGGGGCCCTTCCTGGGCATGATGTGAGCTCGCTGGTGTGCAGCCCATCCTGGGGAGCGTGCAGGAAGTGGGCAGCGAGAGGCTGATGCACACAGGCTCCCCAGGAGGTCTCAACCATCCCTCTGGCCCTGGGGCTCAGCTGCCCACTGACCTGCTCCACGCCCCACACAGACCCTCTACAAGGAGACCGCAGGGGCCCTGGAGAAGATGCTGCAGAACTTCATCATGCAGAACCCCACAGCCGAGGAGCTGCACTTCCTGCTGTCGGTGAGGGCGCGGGGCAGTGTGGGGAGGGGACGGGGGGCAGAGGACTCAGGGCCTGAGCCAGGCATGGGACTGGTCTAGATGAGGGCTGTCCATCTCTAGGGATCACCACGGTTTAGGACAAGCGGGGCGGGCAGATGCAGTGAGCACAGCCTGGTGGCAAGTGGGCCATGAAGGCCACAGCAAAGCAAGTTGGTGAGGAAAGAGGCTGTGGCCCTGCCCTGGAGGGACCTGCCCTCCTTCCCACTGAGAGAACCACCGCTGCAGCAGGTTCCCGGCTTCGAGGGCATCTCCCAAGCCTACCACCCCCACTCTGTCGCCGCCCTCCAGCGTCCTTCCCTGATAGGAGGGAGAGCAGCCAACAGAGTCAGGGGAGGCCCAGACAGGGGAGGCTGCCTCTGCTGGGAGGGCGGAAGGTCAGGGCCAGCAGGCCTCTGCAGAGGAGGGCACACAGGAGCAAAGCTGAGCAACGCCAGCGAGCACACTGGGCCGGAATGGAGGGAGGGTCTGCATGGCTGGAGCCTGGGGTGGGCGCAGAGGTGGGGGCAGTGGGTGAGAGTGAGGTTAGGTCAGCAGCGGCCAGGACATCTCAGGCTTGGGGCCCAGTGGAGCTGAGGGGAGCCGCTGCAGCAGGGACTGCCGACCTGGGGTGCACAGATGGAAGTCAGGGTGGGGTGTGCGAGCCCAGCCAGGAGAAAATGTTGTCACAGGACACAACCGAGTCACAGAATCTCCCAGCACTTCATCCTCACGCAGCGTCAGAATCGTCCATCCCTGTAACAAAGAGACTCAAATGCGGTTTAAGAAGTGTTCAACCTGTCTCAGTATGAGTTTGAATTTCTTTGTAACTCTGTGCCTTTACGGTGTGCACAGGAAAGCATTGTTCTGGAAAGAATTACATTGCAGAGAAACAGGTTAAGAACCTGGCGCCGCAAAAGACTTTTAGCAGGAGGGGCGTGTCAGCTACAACAAAAAAGTAACACCTCCTCTTGGGTCGCAGTGGCGGCCTGGAGCAGAGGGATTAGCGGAGGCAGTGAAAAGAGACAGGAAGGCTGGATAGGGCCAGCGCGGGGCCGGGACTGGGAGCGTCCTGAGCCGTGGGTGTGGCTTAGGGTGTGGTCTGGGCTGGGGGCGGGGCCTGCCCGGAGCTGGGGTCCCAGGCGGCCGCGCCCCTCCCTGCCCCCACCACCTGCAGCACCTGTACGTCTGGCTGGCGTCGGAGAAGGCACATGAGCGGCAGCGGGCTGTCCACAGCTGCATGGCCCTCCTCAAATTCCTGAGCCACAACCTCTACCTGGACGTGAGTACCGTCTCTTCCAGCCCCAGGCCCACACCCGCCAAGCCGCCCTTCTCCCCGAGCCTGCCAAGGTGCATGGGTCCCTGCCCCCAGGACAGGCATGATCCCCGATTCCCCTGTGGCCTGGCCAGGCACTCCCCCTCCTCACACACAAGGAAACAGCCGGGGTTGGGGGTTCGGGGGGTTCCGGCTGAAGGCCTCCCAGCTGAAGGCTGAACCCAGGCTCCCTGACGCCTGACCCAGGACGCTGGGCTTTTGCCAGCACAGCTTGAAGCCTCAGGCAGGTTGTCCACCCTGAGCCTGTCTCTCAGGGAAATGGGAGGAAAGGAGTCCTCCTCGGAGGGACACAGGGGGCGTCAGATGGGAGACTGAGAGTGCCGCCCTGCTCCAGACTAGGGCAGGCAGCTCTGTGCGGGGCAGCCACTGTCCCTCTGCCCTCGTCCATCACCATCTCCGTCGTTTCACGGATCACAGCTTAACCACCACCTGTCACTAAGGCCCTTGGGTTGAGTGAACATCAGCACATGTTCAGGGAGTGAGTGGTTCTGCATTTATCAGCCAAAATCAGCATCGATTCCTCAGGGAGACTCACAGGGAGATGAGGAAATTACTTCCTCGGCCTGGTGCCCGGCGGGCGTGCCTTTCTAATGAAGGCGGACAGGCAGGCGGGCAGCTGGGAAACAGACACATTCTGCCAAAGGCAAGTTTTCAGTGTTCAGACCCCTCCAGCATTCCTTTGGTGAGGAGGACCCCTCTACAGGGGCTCAAAGGGTCTTCCGTTTACTCAAAATCAACTTCTGCAACATAGGATTGGGTCTGGGAGAGACAACTCAGGCACTTGCTAGGGCACAACACTTGTGGAGGCGCTTAAACACTCTGCAAGCAAGATAAATATTTTAATGGGATGCCTTAAACAATCAAATCAGCAAACTGTGGCCCTTGGACTGGCCACCTGTTGTTGTGAATAAAGCTTTATTGGAACCAGGGCTGGAATTAGGGTGAGGTGAGCGAGGCAAGGTCATGGACATGCAGGCTCAGATCCTGTCTTTATTTAAAATTTTGAAACTTTTTCATGACAGATTATTTAGTATTCATTTTTATTTTGATAAATATTACATTAAGATAGTTTTCTCTTGTGTCCTGAGCTTTTCTGGCAACCCCTAACATTTTGTCTGGGGGGCTTTCCCGGTGGCTCAGTGGTAAAGAATCCGCCTGCCAATGCAGAAGACACAGGTTTGATCCCTGGGTCAGGAAGACTCCCTGGAGAAGGAAATGGCAACTCACTTCAGTATTCTTGCCTGGGAAATCCCAGGGACAGAAGAGCCTGGCAGGCTCCAGTCCATGGGGTCACAAAAGAGTCGGACACAACTGAGCAACTAAACAGAAATATTTTGTCCAGACCTGAATCCCGGCCCTGCATAGAGTTTGACGGGATCCTTTCTGACGCCAGCCGTGCTGGGGTGAGTGCGTGGCTGCTAGGATCTGTGTAAATGGTTCTCTGCACTCTCACTACAGCCCAAAGAGGACTTCAAACGAATTGGGCAGCTGGTGGGCATGCTGGGGATTCTGTGCCAGGACCCAGATAAGACTACCCAGTGCTCCAGCCTGGAAGGAGTGGCCTATCTCTACAAGCTCCTCATGCACCAGAGAGGTGAGCCTCTGAGGGTCCCCACGGAGGACCCATTCCCACTGCAGCCGCAGCCTCAGCCCAACCCACACCAGCACTCCTGAACCCAACTCCCCCAAGACCACCCCCAGACCCAGCCTCTAACCTCAGCCATCAGCATAGTCATGGCTTTGTCCCGACCTGCAGACTCACTGACTCCCCACCCTAAACTTAGACCCAAGCATGACCCTGACTTCAGAGGACCCCACCCCACCCACTGCAGGTCCTGCCCTAGACCCCAAGCATGCCTTTGCCCACCCTCACCCCTGCCCTATCCTACCCCTGACCAGGAGGAAAAGCTTCGCAGGAGCAAGCACCAGCCCCCCAGGAGCCTCCCCAGGCCAATAAGGAAGAAGCCGTGCTCGGGAGCGGCGGGGACCAGGAGGCTGCTCCCCCCAGCCCCTGGGAGGTGGCACTCTCGAAGCCCAGCAGCTCCCAAGTCAAGGTCAAAGCCTTTAGAATCCTAGGCAGATCTGGGTGGGGGGATGTGGCCATGCTCTGCTCTGACCCCCACAGCTACCCCTCTGCCAGGGCTCCCACTGAGGCCAGGGTGTGAGTATTAAAACGGAGGCCAGGATCTCACCTGCATCTCTGGTGATTAACTAGAGCTTTGGAGGACCATGTCCCCTGGGAAGGAGGAGTTGGGGGAGGAGGGGCTGGAGATAGACGCTGGGGTCAGCAGCACAGGCTTGAGTCCCAGCTCCATCTCTCACGGCTGTGCAGTCTTGAACAAGCTCCTTCTGTCTGAGCCTCATTCTTCCTCGTGAAATGGGCAGAGGGATGCCAACGAAGTTCCAGCCGCCAGGAATTCCTAATAGACGGCGCTGGCTGGCTAGCTCCCCAGGTGGGCGTCCTCTGAGGCTCCAAACAATGTCCTTCTCAGTGACCCTCTGCAGATACAGCCTCAGCTTTCCCACTTTCCCGAGCTTTCTCTCCATCCTCTGAGAGCCAAACCCTCCTCCTTTGAAGGCATACTGTGTCTCCCCTCTGCCGCTGTCATCTGCCCTCCCGCAGCCAGGCCCTCCTTAGTCAGTGGCTTGGGGTGCCCAGCAGCTCCCCGGCTCCCTTTCATCATCTCAGTGAGATCCCGAGTCTCTGTGACCGTCCGTATCTGTGTGAACTGTGTCTTTTCTGAAGATGAGAGAGGCTGGGACCCCGGGTGTGGGCTGGATGCTGGCGTTGGCTGGACTGGCCGTTTCCTGGAGCCTCACGTTCGGAGTGGTCAGTTCATGATGTCTCCACTTTGGTGGCCCCTCTTGCTGTTGAACCCATGACTAATGAAGACCCCTGTATGGGGTGTGTTTGTCAGTCTCCCTATTAGACCTCCAGGCCAGAAGTGGAGTCCCACCTGGGCCCAGCACAGGTTCTGGTGGTAGAACCAGGCTTCAGGAAACACCCATTCAGTGGAGTCAGGTTGAACCAAACGATAAAGTGGCAGAACCTGGCTAGTAGGTGCCCAGTAGGTTTTGAATGCAGCCCTGCCTGACTCCAGAACTGTGCTCCCCGCAGCTGCAGTGGCTGTCAGCCCGCTGAGGCCAGTCAGGAAAAGTTTAGCAGGGAAAACCTAAAGCCCTGGAGCCAGTACATCAGGTGTCCGGGGCCAGGATGGGGAAACCAGGCAGGGCTTCTGTTTACACCTGAGGACCTGGACTAGGGGAAGAGACAGGGCTGGAGGGAGGGTTCCCTGGGGCCAGCTCAGAGGGGCCCAGGAGTTAAGGGGTCCTGGAGCTCTGGGGCTCTCAAGTGGACGGAGTGACTCGGAACATAGGGGCCAGGACCTGGGAAGAGCAGTCTGCCCCACTCGGCATGGTCCCCGGCACACAGCAACAGGGCACTCAGCTCAGGAAGCAGTGATGGACAGAGCACAGGTGGGGGAGAGGATGGGAGGGTCTGCTGATCAAGGGATGATGGTTCTCAGAAGGTTTGGGGTGGAGAACAGACCTGGGTTCTTATCCCAAGTCTGTCCTGCATTCCCCATGTGGTCTTATAAACACTATAGCCTCATGACTACCATGAGCCATCTCCACCTTCACCACCACCTCCACCAACAGCATTTCTGTCACTACCACCACCACCATCCCCACCAGCAGCACCACCATCACCGCCACCATCACTAACAGCACCACCACCACCACCATCACCACCACCACCATCAGCATCACCACCATCATCACCACCATCACCATCACCACCACCATCACCACCATCACCACCACGACATCATCATCACCACCATCATCATCACCACCATCATCATCACCACCATCACCATCATCACCACCACCACCATCATCATCACCACCATCATCACCACCACCATCATCACCACCACCACCATCACCACCACCACCACCATCAGCATCACCACCATCATCACCACCACCACCATCATCACCACCACCACCATCGACATCACCATCATCACCACCACCACCATCATCACCACCACCACCATTGACATCACCATCATCACCACCACCACCATCACCACCACCACCATCACCACCACCACCATCATCATCACCACCATCATCACCACCATCATCATCACCACCATCATCACCACCACCACCATCATCACCACCATCATCACCACCACCACCATCATCACCACCATCATCACCACCACCACCATCATCACCACCACCACCATCACCACCACCATGACTAACACCACCACCATCACCACCATAACCACAGAACCACCATTACTACCACCTCCAGCTCACATTTTTTCATGCCCTGGACTAAAATAAGATACTCACAAGTACTTAGCAAACCTGAGATTGTAGTATTCTGGGATTCTGAGAGTCTAACCATCGTTCTAGATTGAATTTTTTCAAAAACACTCTAATACTAGAACTGTAACCAAAACTTACCATTTTAGCTAACAATTTTAAATGCAATCTTAAAATAAATGATCTAACCAGATTTATATAGTAGTCTAATATTCTAACACAAAAAGTTACTTTTAGCTACAAATATGCCAATATGCAGGTCAAGAAGCAACAGTTAGAACTGGACGTGGAATAACAGACTGATTGCAAATTGGGAAAGGAGTCCGACAAGGCTGTATATTGTCACCTTTCTTATTTAACTTATATGCAGAGTACATCATGTGAAATGCCAGACTGGATGAAGCATAATCTGGAATCAAGACTGCAGGGAGAAATATCAATAATGATATGCAGATGACACCACCCTTATGGCAGAAAGTGAAGAGGAACTAAAGAGTCTCTTTATGAAAGTGAGAGGAGAGTGAAAAAGTTGGCTTAAAGTTCAACATTCAAAAAATGAAGATCATGGCATCCAGTCCCATCACTTCATGGCAAATAGATGGGGAAACAATGGAAATAGTGACAGACTTTATTTTCTTGGGCTCCAAAGTCACTGCAGATGGTGATTGCAGCCATGAAATTAAAAGATGCTTGCTCCTTGGAAGAAAAGCTATGACAAACCTAAACAGCATATTAAAAAGCAGAGACATTACTTTACTGACAAAGGTCCATATAGTCAAAGCTATGGTTTTTCTAGTAGTCATGTATGGATGTGAGAGCTGGTCTATAAAGAAAGCTAAGGGCTGAACAATTAATGCTTTTGAACTGTGAAGAAGACTTTGAGAGTCCCTTGAACAGCAAGAAGATCAAACCATCAATCCTAAAAGAAATCAGTCCTGAATATTCATTGGAAGGACTGATGCCGAAGCTTCAAGACTTTGGCCATGTGATGTGAAAAACTGACTCAGTAGAAAAGACCCTGATGCTGGGAAAGATTGAGGGCAGGAGGAGAAGCGGACGACAAAGGATGAGATATTTGGATGGCATCACCGACTCAATGGACATGAATTTAAGCAAGCTCTGGGAGTTGGTGATGGACAGGGAAGCCTGGCGTGGTGCAGTCCATGGGGTCACAAAGAGTCAGACACTACTGAGGGACTGAACTGAACTGAACAAATATGCCAGTAAAATTATCCTCCCCTCCTAATCAACAACTGGTAAACTAACATTCTCACAAACATTTTACCAAAATTTTAGAACAGTAAGATTCTGTTAATAATAAATATTCCAACATTCATATATTTTTATATCTGATGTACATGCAAACACCCTAACACACTTTCAGACATCTCAACAAATACCCTGACATGCCCAGGAACATTTTACCATCCGACCATCTTTGCAAGCATTAGCATGTTCGGTCAGCCTTCCCAAGTATGACTCCACCACCAGCATTCCGTCTTCCTTTGGTTATCAGTTGCCCCTGGGCTGTGGCTGGCTCAGAGAGACGTGCAGGAGAGCACACTGCAATATGGGAGCACTTGGGACCCCAGAGGTGTGGGGCTCGGGTGTCTGGCGGTGCTTAGAGACTTGGGGAACCTGGAGCGTTGAGTCAGGGTACGAGCGCAGCCAAGCAGGCGGATGCCCAGTGCTGTGGACCATGGTGACGGCCCTCCCTCCCACTGCTACAGGATATCATGAAGCATCTCACGACGGCAGAGCTGACCGACCTCATCTGGACGGCCGTCAACAGCCTGGGCTCCACCAGCCCCTTCCGCGTGCAGGCAGCCGCCGACATGCTGCTCACTGCCATCCAGGACCACGGGGCCAAGCTGGAGACTGTGAGGGCAGTGGGGCCTCTGCGGAGGGCCCACCAGGACCGGGCAGGGGGCAGGGGGGCGGGCTCAGCATCGGCACCCAGGGGTTAGGGCCTCGGGGCCCAGGCGGCATCCCCAAGCTTGGGCCTGAGGGGGGAGACCCAGACCCCCCCTCTGATGGGTTCCAATGAGTGAGTGAATGCAGGACAGAATGGCCCACCCAGGTGTCCCAGGGTTCACTGGGTCTGGGGCAGACATGGGCTGATGGAGCGGGGATGGGATGGGAGTTGGGGGAGGAAGGCGCAGCCCAGACCCTCCAGGAGCTCTGAATCTGACTCCAGACTGATGAGGAGGGGCAGCGCAGGCCCCTGGGGGGACCTCCAGATAGAGGATGACTGATGCCTCAGGGGGATGCTCTTGGAGCCAGGCATGAATGGATGAATAATGAGACCCGAAAGTGGAAGGGGAGGGGCCTGCCAGACATCAGAGCAGCAGGTACCAAAGTGATGACCAGGACACGATGTCATCTGAACATAAGGCAGACACCCTGTCCCCTCAACCCCAAGACAGGGGCTAGAGGCTCTAGCCCCTGGGTGTGTCTGAACCTTCAGCGATTGGGCAATGTTTAGACAAACTTGGACGACCCCAAATGCTGTGCAGATGTTGCTTGTCCCCCTATCAGCCCGAGAGTCCCCTTCTGACTCGTGTCCAGAGCAGAGAAGAGCCTTCCCATCAGACCTCCCTCTTAGAGCCCCCAGGGCAGGGCTGTGCTTCCCCCTCAGGAGAGCAGCTACCTGAAGGGGCTCCATGCCCACTGGGGCAGCTCCTCCCTCCCCGTTCAGGCTCCCCGGGGCGGGGGCTGGCCCCCTGCCCAGACCAGCCCTCTCCCCATACTCTTCCTCCCTGCACAGGTTGCCAGCCTGGGCCAGGCCATCCACCTGCAGCTCTGCTCCGTCCGCATCCCCCAAGCCAGGGAAAATGCCCTGCAGGCCATCACCCTTCTGGCCCGGAACCACACCTCCGAGCTGGTGGCCGCCTTCCTGGACTTCTCCATCTCCCTGGACAGGTGCCCAGCCCTCCTTCCCTCCCCGCCCCACTGTCCACCGTCCATCCTCCCCCAGGCAGAGGGCACCCTGCTCTGCCCTCCTGCTTGCCCACTAACAGCCACAGGGCTGGGAGTCCAGAGGTAAATGGACTTCCCTGTTCATTTACTGTGCACCTCCCGGGGCCAGCCCTGGGGAGGCACCACACACCGTCCCTTCTCTCGGTGACCCTGTAAAACACCCCGCCCAGTCACCACCACCCATCACCTGGTGGAGAGGGGCCCGGGACCCTGGGTGCTCCCAGCAAGACCCCTGTCAACACCAAACCCCCCATCCTTCCTGCTCCTCAGGGACCCTCACCCTCCCCCCGCCCCCCAGTGGCACGGCAGTCCCCAGGCCCCTGAGCCTGGAAACAGTACTTTATCTCTGAAATCCCAGTTCTGAATCCCAGGTCTTCAGTCTATATCATCTGCTTACCCAGCCACCACGCACCTGCCCTAGGTCACTCCCAGAACCTTGAGGTTGTAGCTCCTGGTCGCCGACACCCTCTCGCTCACTCCCGCTGCCTTGATCTTGGGGATGCCAGCATCTTTTGCTCGCCCTGATGCCTCAACACCTAGACCTCCTCTCCCATCTCCCTCAGCCTCCCCCTCCCACAGTCATAGCCTCGGCTCAGTCACCTTCGATTTCAAGCATCTGTCCCCTACCCTGGCCCCCTGCCGCCTCACTCCGTCTGGTACCCACCCCCGACCAGTGAGCCTCTGCCCTGCGGGACCTCCACGTTCACTGCCTTGCCCACCTCCTCACGGCCCCTCCCCTGTCCTCACCTGCCTCCTTGCCAGCATAGAACCTGCCTTCCTCCTCACCTGCCTCCTTTCCAGCATAGAACCTGCCCTCCGATGTCAGAGTAGCTCCCTGCACACCCCAAGCCCCTTGGCCCCTTTGTCACGCTCAGCTTGCAAAACTCAACTGGCTCCATCTACTCCACACCCGCACCTGTGCGGCCAAGTGCGGGAAAGAGCCGCCCTCGAAATCCCAGCCACACACCAGCACGGAGCCCTCAGCGCGGCCCAGCACACATTTCCCCACCCTCCCCTCTCCTCCGTCCTCAACACCTCTGTCCCCGCCTCACACTCGGCCACGGCCTTGCTTCCGTTCCCCTGAAAAATCGTAAGCCAGCAGAAGAGAGCTCTCACAAGCTCCCAGCACCCAGGACCTGTTTCCAGGAAGATTTCTAATTTCCATATGGAAGGGACTTTTTGTTTTTATTATCAATGTCTAGCTTTATTGCATTGTGATCAGAGAATGTCATCAGATATTTCTGGTTTATGTAATTTACCTATCTTTTAAGCAATTTCTGTGAATATTCTATGGGCACTTGAAAGGGTGTTTCTTTTCTTTTTTTTTTTTCCTGTTATCGGGTGGAGGACTTGCTATAAAGATTTACTTTATTGATTCTGTTGTTTAGGTCTTCTACCTCCTTGTGTCTATTTGATCTGTCTTGTACTGAGAGTGGTGTGTTAAAGGTTCCTATTATTAATATGTTTCTATCTATGTATCCTTCCATCTCCTGTGGTTTTTATTAATACTTCATAAGGTTGTCATGTTATTTGGTGTATACATATTCATAAGTGTTATATCTTCTTTATGGATTGTGACTTTCAGCATTAAAAAGTGCCCTGCCTTGTCACATTTAATGCTTGAAGGACTTGAATTCCATTTTGTTATCAGAATCACGTCCCCCACTTTCCCATTTTTCCCCATTTGCCCAGTATTCATTTGTCCGTGCTTTCATTTAACCTTTCAGAATCCATTTGTTTTAGGTGTCATCATATATACAGCACATAGTTCGGTCTTGACCTATGATCAAATTGAAAATCTTTTGATTTTAATAGATGAGTTAAGTCCATTCACATTTATTGATATGACATTTATTGATGTGTCAAATCTCAGTTCTGTCATAATATTTTGTAATTGCATGCGTTTTATTTGCTACATGTTTTTCTGAGATGTGTATTCTTTGATCTTTGGCTGTTTTTTTAATTTAGCAAGAGTTGTATTTTTATTCTAATTGTTACCTTTGTACTCCTAACCTATTTTAGTGTCCTTAGTCTGTTTTCTTATTTAACTTTTTAACATCTGGTTTACCCATTTTTACTGATATCCTTAAACTCCCACCCATGCCCGTGTAACAACCAGTGAGATTATTCATCCCTGTCCATCTGTGTTTTCATTTGCACAGTTCTTTGTCAAAATTTGCACTGTACTCCTCCCACGTTGGTTTTTAGTGAGTACACACGCTCACCCTAAGTCCCTTTGCCAAAGATTTTAGGTCCTCCCGTAGCTTGACAAAGTTAATGCTCTGACAACTTCCTCAAGAAGGCTCATGGATTCAGAATGCCCTAGCTTATTTTATGTTGAAAGTTGTTTACTTGAAAGGTGGCTTGATTGAATATAAAATCCTTGGTTCACACTTTCTTTTATTAAGTTTCTGTGGGTTTTTTTTTTTTTTTTTTTTTTTTTTTTGGCCACACCATGCAGAATGCGGGATCCTAGTTCCCTAACCAAGGATTGAACCCAAGCGCCCTGCGTTGGGAGCCTGGAGTCTTAACCACTGGACTGCCCGGGAGTCTCTAATTTTTTAAAGTGCTGCTCAGCTGTTGCTTTGCTTTGTTTTTGAAAAGCCTCATGACAGTTGTTTTGTTTTGTTTTGTTTTGTTGTTTTTGTAAGTTATCTTTTGGCCTGGAGACTTTGGAAATTGTTTTCTTTATCTTTGAAATTCAACAATTTTACTAAGAAATGTCTAGATTAGACCGTTCTGTGTTCATTTTCCCAGGTACCTGATAAGTCTTTTGAGTATGTAGATTTAAGTCTCTAACGTTTCTAGAAAGTTCTCTAGGTTGTAATTATTCTCTTCCAGTTTATTGAGACATAATTGGACATACAGCACTGGATAAGTTTAAGGTATACAGGATAATGATTTGACTTACATATATCATGAAATGATTACCACAATAATTTAGTGAACATTCATCATCTCATATAGATACAAAAATAAAAGAAAAAGAAAAATTATGTTTCCTTGTGATGAGAACTCTTAGATTTCCTTTCTCCGTAACTTCCACACATAACATGCAGCGGTGTTAATTAATCATGTTGTATGTTGCACCCCTAGTCTTCTTATCTTATAACTGGAAGTCCTTTTGACTACCTTCATCTGATTCCCCCATCCCCACCCCTCACCTCTGGCAGCCACAAATCTGGTCTGTCTTTCTATGAGTTTGTTTGTTTGGAAGTATAACTGACCTGCAACACTGTGCTAGTTCCTGATGCACAGCATGGTGATTCTGTTTCTATACATTTCCAACTCTGTCCGCACACAGGCATTGCATTATCACTAACTGAATTCCCCACGCTGCACATCTCATCCCCATGACTTACTTTTTTTGAAAGTTTGTACCTTAGTGTCCCTCACCCTCTTCTCTCTTGGTTATAAGTTTAAATTTTGGTTCTGTCCCATTGCTTTTTTCCTTTTTCAGAAACTCCAGAGATTCAAATGCTGTTCTTTCTTCGCCTGTCTTCCGTTTCTACTACTTTCTCTGTGACCCTTAGTGCTTCTCTTAAATTCATCTTTATTGTCTTGGTGGTCTCTCTACTCTTCATCAATGTTCCTTCCTAAATTTTCACTTGAGTCGTATCTCTCTTGAGCACCTTATAATTTTTTTCCACTTCTGAGTTCAGTCAACTCTTTTTTTCCCTTTCTTACTAGAGGGTGTTTCTTGGTCCTTTTTGAATTTATAATTCAAGGTGGTTTTTCATGTCTTTAAATGCTTGCTTGAGTATATTTACCTGCAGGAGAGGTGTTTTCTTACACTTTTTTTCTGCATCATGATTGTTTATCAGGGGTTGAATTTTCTTATTGGATCTGTGTTTTCTGTTTTCAAGGGAAGGGTTGCAATAACTCTGTGAATCTATTAATTTTTCTCCTGTTTATATACAACACTATTGGAGTGTTTTGTAGGATTTCAAATTCAATGGCACCCTCTTCTGTCATCATAGCAAAAGCCAGATAACTTAGCAGATTTTTAGTTTTGGTGTCAGGTGAGAGGGCTGTGTATCCTCCACTCTCGGGGGTGCCCTTCTTCTCGTGCAGGTCCTTGAATTTTTCCTATTTCACACCTTTACCATTCACTAACCAATTTCAAAGGGTGCGTCTTTCTTTTCTGCCCTTTCTTTCCTCCCCAAAGCTGTGTGTCTTGAAGGCTGCCCTCCAGATGAGCGTCCTTTTCGGTCCCTTTCCTGGGATCCATGCTCTGATTTACTTGCTCTCCTTCTTTTTGTTGTTTCATATTCTCAGGCTTAAGATGGACCTCGTCTCCCTGAAGATGATTTAGATCAGCTCCGAGCCCTGTTAACAGCTCTGGTCTCCTGTCCTCTCCAGGGTTTCTCCAGCCTGCCTTTATCTGCCCCAGAGCTTTGTGGAGGAGCTGGGGTGGGTGGGAGAACGAGACACTGCAGGCTGGGCTGGCATAGCTCTCTCCTGCTTGCAGTGTCTCTCAAGGCGCACTGTGGTGTGGTGTAGCTTTACTCTTCTTCTTGCTAGATTGTTTCTCAAGGACATTTTGAGAGGTGAGGGGACCCCGGAAGCCACCGTTGTCCTCAGCTGCTCAGGTCTATAGATCAGTTTTCCCCATACTGGAATTTATATCTGGTTTCCTCAGTGCTAAGAAGCACATTTTTCATATGTCAACATCTATGCAGTGGGAGCACATTTTACACTGAAGCCGCCTTTACCTGGGCTGGTGGGGGTGGAGGGGTTCTCAGTCACCTGGGTGCACTCTCAGCCAGAGACCAGTGCAAATTTTGAAGTCCCTGCTGGAGGGTTTTTGGGGGGCCCACACTGGTGGTGTGAATTCAGAGCCCTGTGTAGGTTTTGTGGTTCAGATTCTCAGGCGCACCCTCCTTCTTCCCTTCACAGGCTGAGTGAGCACCGGGTCTTCTTGTTATTTCTTCCTGCTGGACAGGCTTTTTATCTTCTCTTGTTTTATCCTATTTACCTTGGGGTACACACAGCCCATGGGGTCCAGCCTTTATGATGGGGTCCTTATTAGACTCCCATCTTGGATTGCTGTCCTTTCTTAGGAGCACATGAAATAATGGTGGTATGTCCTAAAAGTATCAACCGAATTGTGTGATTTGTGCCCTTCCAGTATTCTATTGTTGTCTGGTTCCCCACCCCCCCAACATTTTGTGTTTAAAATTCATCCCGTTATGTTACCTATAGTTGGAGTTCACTCACTCTGAGTTGCCTTATCATGTCCCATCTTGGTAAACACCAGCTCCCCTTGTCAGTGTGGACGGACGTCTGAGTTTGGGTCTGTGCTTAACACTGCTGTGACACTGCACATGCGTGTGTCCTGAGACACACCCACACTCAGCTTCCTTGTGCAGACATGTCGCTCACCTAACATGATGAGAAATACTCCCGACATTTTTAGATCACCTGTCACACCCACAGTATTTTTATGTATGTGGTTCCTGTTACTCCATGTCTTCACTGACACTTAACATCAACCTTTTAGTCAACCATCAAAATTTTAGTCAATCTGGTGTGTGGTATTAATCATATTTCCATGTTAACTTTCATTTTGCTGATTAAATAATGAGGTTGTACATCTTTTCATGCAATTTTTGGCCATTGGGGCATCTTCTTTGGGATGCCTGTTCAAGTATCCTACAGATTTTTCTGTTGGGTTGTCCCTCTTTTTCTTATCAATTTCTAGGAATTCTTTATATAATCTGGATACAAGGTCTCTGTTGATTATTATATTACATATCTTCTCCACTTTGCAGCTTTCCTGTCTCTCTGTCACTAGATCCTTTCATGAAGAGGAGTTCCCAGGTCCATTGATTATTATATTACATACCTTCTCCACTTTGCAGCTTTCCTGTCTCTCTGTCACTAGGTCCTTTCATGAAGAGGAGTTCCCAGGTCCATCATTTATTCTCAGATGTTACCTTATAGAAGTCCTAGAGTGTGGGAACTTCCCTGGCGGTCCAGTGGTTAAGACTGCTCTCCCAGTTCAGGGGGCCCTCAACCCCTCTTCGAGGAACTAACATCCCACACGTCACATGGCACGGGCCAAAAAAGCACCCTAGACTTTGCCTTTCTCATTCAGCCCTCCGACTGCCCAACTGAGGGCCGTGTGCCGGGCCCTGCCTTCAGGCTCTCTGCCTGGCACTGCTGTCTGTGCCGGGCCAGCACCCAAGGTTCTCATTCCTACAGCTTTAGAACGATTCACCTTCCCAATCCAGAAAGCTCCCCCTCCTCCTCCTCCTGCAAGGCTGTCCTGGCCACTCGTGGCCCTTTGCCTTTCTCCGTAAACTTTAGAATCATCGCCTAGCTTCCTCGTTTTCTTTTTCCTCGTTCACCCTTGGGCGACTGGTTTTATTGGATTGGCCCTCAGAGCTGGACTGGGAGTAACCCTTGCTTGGTCACTCTCACCCACCCTGGCTCTAGGCGTGGCCTGCTTTCTTTAATTTAGTTCTTTACTCAGAACAGGGATTCTTCTCGGTAATCAAATGCGCACCTGGGAGGCCCCCGTCTGGACGAAAGCCAGGGCCCTGGTTATGAGCTGCACCTAAGGACCAGGCTGCCTACCCTAACTGGTTCCATCCCCTGCTCACCCACCCAAGGGTCTCCATTCTTTTCCTTTCATTTTATATAGTGTGTTTGCATCCAAACATGTTCCTAAAACATTTTAGTTGCAGTTTCTCTAATTTATATAAAGAGCATCACGATGCATATAGTCTTCGAAGACTTTTTTCACTGGCCTTTTTACACTAATGTAGATTTTTAGGTCTAAATTCTCTATTCTAACCTAAATCTAGTAACAGCAGTTCTTCTTTCTTTAGGATTGTATTGTATGTCTCTTTCCACTTTTTTTTTAATAGACTGTTTTTGGAGCTGTTTTAGATTTACAGAAAAATTAAGCAGAAGTTGCAAAGTTCCCATCTACTTCCCTCTCCTGCCAGGCTCTTTTCTTGGTAACATCTTGCCTCAGTATGGTAGGCATATTACACTTGATGAACCACTACTGATGTATTAACAAGTCTATAGTTTACATTACAGTCCGCTCTTGGAGGGGTACATTCTATGGGACAAGTGTGCAGTGACAGGTATTGACTATTATAGTATCAAACAGAGCAGTGCCGTGGCCCCAAGCCCCCTGTGCGCTATCTGTTCATCCCTCCCTCCCTCTAAACCCCTGGCAACCTCTGATCTTTTGACTGTCTCCATGGTTTTTCCTATTCCAGAATGTCATAGAGCTGGAATCATCCTGTGTAGCCTTTTTAGGTTAGCTTCTGTCACTTTCTGATAAGCTTTCAGGTTCTTCTATGTCTTCATGTCAACCACTCTCACCCCCAGTAACTCTTTCTTTCTTATTTCTTTTTTGTTGGGGGTGGGGGTGTGAAATGATCCCCACAGTAAGTCTAGTCAGCAGTCATCTTCATTCCTAGTTACAGATCTTTGTCCTTGTGACGAGAACTTGTAAAATGGCAAAAGTTGGAAATATGCAATACAGTGTTAGCAGTTACGGTCGCCCTGCACTATGTTACATCCCTGTGACTCATTTATGTTGTAACTGAAAGTTTCTGCCTTTTGATCCTCTTCCTCCATTTCGCCTACCTCTGACTCCTCACCTCTAGCAACCCCCAACCTGTTCTCTGTAGAGAGGAGCTTGTGTTTTGTTTCTTTGGGCTGGATTTTGGTTTCATTTAGATTCCATGTATAAGCAAGATCATGTGGTATTTGTCTTCCTCTCTCTGATTTATTTCACTGAACATAATACCTTCAAGGCCGATACATGTTATCTCAATTGGCAAGCTTTCCTTCTTTCTTATGGCTGAATGAGATTTCATTTTATACATACACACACACACATAGGCCTTCCCAGGTAGCTCAGTGGTAAAGAATCTGCCTGTCAATACAGAAGACGTGGGTTTGATCCCTTGTCAGCAAAGATCCCCTGGAGAAGGAAATAGCAACCCTCTCCGGTATTATTGCCTGGGAAATCCCATGGCAGAGGAGCTTGGCAGGCTACAGTCCAGGGGGTTACAAAAGAGTTGGACACGACTTAGCAACTAAACAACCACAGCATGTGTGTGTCTGTTGATGGGCAATTATGTCTTTTCCGTATCTTGGCAATTATAAATAATGCTGCTATGAACATGGGGGCTCACATATCTTTTCAAATTAGTGTTTTCATATTCTTCATATGAAGTCCCATAAGTGAGACCATGTGGTGGTCCGATTTTTAGTGTTTTGATGAATCTTCATACTATTTTCCATAATGGCTGTACCAATTTACATTTCCACCAATAGAGCATGAGGGTTCTATTTTCTCCACATCCTGGCCAGCACTCACTATTCCCCGTCGTTTTGATAACAGGTGTGAGCTGACAGCTCATTGTGGTTTTGACTCCCATCTCTTTTATGATGAGAGACGCAGAGCATCTTTTCATGGACCTGTTGGCCGTCTGTAGACTTTCTTTGGAAAAGTGTCTGTTCAAATCCTCTGCCCATGTTTTAATTGGACGGTGTGGGGAGCTTTTGTTTATTTTTGATATTGAGTTGTGTGTGTTTTCATATGTTTGGATATTAAAACCCCTTTTCATAAGTATGATTTGCAAATATTTTCTCCCATTCACTGTGTTGCCTTTCATCTTGATGGCTTCCATTGTCGTGCAGAGGAGTTTCAGTCTGATGCAGCCTCGCTTGTTGATTCTTGCTTTTGTTCCCTCTGCTTCTGGTGTCAGATCCAAAGACTGATTGCCAAGACTGATGTCAAGGGGCTTACCGCCTATGTTTACTTCTAGGAGTTACAGTTTCAGGTCTTACATTCAAGTCATTTAGACTTCATTTTTGTATTTGGGGTAAGATAGAGGTCCAGTTTTATTATTTTGCATGAGGCTGCCCAGTTTCCCCAACACCATTTGTTAAAGAGACTGTCCTTTCCGCATTGTATGTTCTTGGCTCCTTTGTCGTAAATTAGTTGAGCACGTCTCTGTGGGCTTATTTCTGGGCTGGGAATGCTTCCTTAACGTGGCTTTCAGACCCACACTTGCCTGACCCTCACTACACCTCCCTGGCTGCTACTGCTCAGCCTCCTGGCTGCTTCCTCCTGTCCCCTGACTTCTTAGCTCAGGGATTGCAGGGCTGACCTCAGGCCTCATCTCCACTTACACTCCTTCCCTGATGGTCACACCCCCAGACCAGGCGGAAAGGCCATGGGACTAGACACGCCTGACCTCTGGTTATGAGGCAGGGCCCTGATCAGGGTACACCTTGTCTCTAGTCCTCAGTTTCTTCATGTGCAAAATGGGCACAAGGTCTCTGCAAAGCCCTACACGCACCAGCGACGGCCCCTAAGTTGGCCCAGGTCAGGCCCCAGGGAGCTGGTGGTCCCCAGCAAACCCAGGCCTAGAAGGAAACGGCCACTGTATGGCAGGCCCTAAAGGCTGAGCAGGAACAGGCCCTGTGAGGAGGCCCAGAGGCAGGAGAGGAGGGAAGGCAGCCAGGTGCTGGAGGTCAAAGGGCAGGGGTCAGAGGGTGACAGCTCTGGGTACCAGCTAGACTTGTCCTGACTGTACTTGGGCACCATGGAGGGTGACAGAGTCAGCCATTGGGATAAGAGGGGCCTGAAAGAGGGAAGACCCCAGAACACGGGCCAGGGCAGCCAGCCCCACCTCTGCTGCAGGCCGCGGGCCGCACACACTGCAGTCCAGGCCCCGGCCCTCGCGCCCCTCCCCCATCTCACCCACCCATCCTGCCAGGTTTCAGCTCGGCACCCCGCTGCAGGCACCTGAGGCCCTGGACACAGTGGCTGCTGCTGTGACCCAGGCTGGGCTGGCCAGAGTCTCAGCACCGCCCTCACGGCCACCCTTTGCCTGCAGCCACACCTTCCGGTTGTGGAGGGCCCTGGGTGCCGAGCAACCCATGAGCCACCGGGTGCTGGCCATGCTGCTGGGCTGGCTGCAGAAGCGCCCCCTGCCCACCAGGACCAGCGGCGGCAGCCCCCAACCCAAGAAGGCTTACCTGCACTCCCTGGCCGTGAGTCTCTGCCCCCACCACCCCACGTGCCGGCCCAGCTGCCTGCTCGAGTGTGTTCAGTCACACATGGGTGTAAGGCACTCAGTGTGTGTGCCAGGCCCCGGGGAGGGGGAGCCCCATACTCAGCCTGGCCTGGACGAGGGGGCCTCTGAGGTGGCCCAGCTGGGAGCCGACCATACAGGCCCTGGGTCCAGGCCCAGCTCCCCACTTCCCGACCGAGGGCTCTGGACCCCTCCAGCCAGGTGCAGGCAGCGAGGAAGGGCATGGAGAGATTAGTGAACCCCTGCCCCCATAGTTGGGTTCTGGAGGAATCTTAGAGGCTGCCTCCAACGGCTCCCACCCTCCTGTAGGAGTCCACACCCATTCACCACCCCCCAGCTTTCCCCACAAGCCTAGACCCTGCTTGCACAGCCACCAGAACAGGGGGATCGCTTCCTAATGTGCCTCACCTGGGCTGGACTCTGACGGGGCCGCAGCTGTGCCCCAACCCTGTTTGATCCAGGGCTAAGCACCCACTCACACCCCCCAGCCCCTTGAGCAGTGGGCAGAGTCTCCTAAACAAGCTGCTGCCCCCAGCCGAGGGGTGTGACGGCCACACTCGGTGCCCGGGGAAGCCCACCCTGTCTCCATGCCAGCCCTCCATCAGCCCGGCCCCTCGACACCCCCAGACCTGGACCCTCCCTGTCGGAAACCAGACTCAGCATGGGGTCAGCAGGGCCACCTTCCTGAGTCCCGCCCTCCTCTTGTTGTCCTCCCCACCTTGAGAACATTCTGGACCCAGGCCCCTCTCCAGGTGTGGGAGGCCCCAGGGCTGCTGTCTGGTAGCTCCCCTTCCAGTACTGTGTCCCCTCCAGCATTCATTCATGGGCACCTGCCATGTGCCAGGGTCTGTGCTGGGGGCATTGCAGGGAGCACAACCCACGGGGCAGAGGGGCCAGACCCGAGGCAGTGACTGAGGGCGGAGGGCAGAGCGGACAGGGATGGTGGGCTGGAGGACCCACTGCAAGGCCGGCAATGGGAGGGGAGCATGCAGGGTCCAGAGGGCATGCCGCGCCCCCAGGAAGTACGTCTCAGGCCGGCTGTGGTCCCGGAGACAACGGGCAGACACAGGAAGGCGAGGTCGGCCATGGGTTTTGTGGGAAGGCTGGCGTGCAGGCCCGGCCCCCAGGCCCCCTCAGCGTTCCCCACCACCCCCGCAGGCCATGAACACTCTGCACGAACTGCAGTTCGCCTGCGAGTTCAAGCAGGCCATGCAGGAGGCCTTCCCCGAGCTCCTGCTGGCCCTCCTCTCCCAGACGCACTACCTGCTGCAGCTGAACCTGCCCGAGGAGCCCCAGCCTGGCAAGGGGGCCCAGGAGACAGCCCTGCTCGGCCCCCAGAGGTAAGGCCGGGCCCCAGAGAGGCGGTGCGCAGGCTCCCCAGGGCTGAGGGACAGAGCCCCACAGCTGGGCAGCCTAGAGCCCCAGGCAGGAGTTCTCGCATAGTGCCAGGGGCTGGCGCTCCGGATCCAAGGTTGGCAGAGCCGCGCTCCTCTGAAACCTGCAGGGGAGGCTCCTTCCCGTCTCCTGAGTGCTCCTGGCTTGTAGACGCCCCCTCCCATCTCTGCCTCCCTCTTCACTGTGTGCCTCTCTGTCTCAACTGCTCTCTTCTTATGAGGACGTGAGTCCTGTTGAACGAGGGCCACCCTGCTGACCTCATCGTAACTTGATTCCATCTGCAAAGACCCAAATGAGGTTGTGTTCCCAGGTACCCAGTGTCAGGACTTTGCTGGTTTCTGAAGACACAGTTGGATCTCCAATAGGTGTGATTCCAAACACAGTTGCCTCCAGCAGTCAGCCGGGAGGGCAGGTGGGCACCCTGCTTTCTTGTGACTGTGGATGCCTGGCAGCCAAGACACCCGGTGACAGCTGACTCACGAGGACTCCAGGGGCCCGCACGGCACACCATGTCTTACCCAAATGTGGTCCCTGCAGGGATTCTGAGAGACGAATGTTGTCTTTCCCTTTGACGGATGAGGAAACTGAGGCTCAGAGCAGGCCAGAGGCTTCCCCCGAGCCACACAGAGTGTCCGTGCGTTGCTGATCTAGAGCCCCTAGAATGGCAGGGGTGTCTGCCCAGCGACCACTTGGCCCTGCAGGCAAATGCCCACCAGGTCCTGTTGCACAGAGTGCTTGACCCCGACACCTTTTGACTCTGATGTCGTGGGCAGCTGTCAGCCTCCCCCAAGCCTGCACCCTTGATCAGCGTGGACAGGACTCGTGTGGGAGGGTCCGCGCCCCACCCCTCACTCAGGTGGTAGCACTGGCTGGACGCCTGGCCTGCCCCCTGCACTAGGGCGCATCTTGAGAAATCCATTAAGCGAGTCTTTAAAAACTGCTGGGGCGACTCTTTTCATCTGTTTGTATTACGATGTGCTTCACACGATTTGTCAGTCTGAACAGCTCTCCCCAAGGCACATCACTGAAAAAAAAAATGTCACTTCTCTCATATTGCTTCTGAATTCGAATGTACATAAAGTTCTTTTTTATTCAAATCAACCATGCAAAATGCATGAATCTTCCCTAATAAGCTAATAAAACGTTCTCCTCCCTGAAATAGGAGGGTCAGGAGAAAGCTCTGATGAACCGCCTCCATCCATCAGCTTCCCTCCCCTGCCCCCATGGGGCCAGCCTCCACCTGTTCCTCCCCTGCCCCCTGTTGCTTCCCTCCACCCCAAGTCAGATCAGGCCTCACCTGTGCTTGGAACCCTCCCATCCTCTTCCCCTTCTTTTAACTCCGAGAAGGGCTGAATCCTTCCAGCGGTCCAGTAGCCCTGCATCTGACTCCCCATCACCTCCAGAACCTCATTTCCTCTACACACCCCTACCCTCCACATGCACCCTCTGCTCAAGCCTCAGCGTCTTCCTACCCTTCCTCAGGCCCCACGTTCCTGCCTCAGGGCCTTTGCACTTGCTGTGCCCTCTTCCTGGGATGCTCTTCCCGACGCCTCACCTCCTGTGGCTCCCAGCCACCTTCTGTACAACAGCAGTCCTGCTCCCCACTGTTATGTTCTCCCATCTACAGCTGTCATCTGTGCCCCATATAATGGAGCCTCTGGGGAGCAGGGATTCTGTCTCACGCAAGGCTCTCCCCCGGAGACCAAGGGCGTCTGTCATCTCACTGGGGGGCGGGGGCCTTCTGCTCAGACCCAGCTGTACCAAGATGCTCCAGCAGCATCAACCGTCCCCTTCCACCTCTCAGGTCTTGTCTTCTCTCTGGGCAGATTCTCCCGAAGAGAAAGGTGGGGGCCCAGCAGCCACAGAATAGACCGGCACCCTGGGCTCAGTCCCTCAGCTTTCATGGGCCCAGCTTAGCCCACACACTCACCCCTGAACCAATCACCTTGGTCACAGGGGCAGGCGGGGCTCCTGCTAAGCAGGTCTCGGTCCACACCCTCCCTGGAGCTAGGATGGGACCTGGGCCCCCTCCCCCAGAGGACAGCTGCAATACTGCTACCATGCCCAGGGGCCCGAGAGTGGGGCAGGCCAATCAGCAGTGAAGTTGGCCAGCTGTCAAGGGTGGCGAGGAGGTCTGCAGCCGCTCCCGGGCCTCAGAGGGCGGCCCTGCCCAGGCGGAGCGCTGCAGTCCCCAGTCGGATGCCTGGAGGAGGCAGTGGTGCCATCGAGGGGGCCAGGTGCTGAGGAGGAACCTGGGCACAGCTGTTGAGAAGCCCACTGTCCTGTGGCTGCCCCCGAGAGCGGTGGGGGGGGGGGGGGAAGGGGTTGCAGCCACACCTGTGACAGCGATGCAAGACTCAAGGCAGAGCCAGGCTAGTCCTGGGCCTCTGAGGTTCCTGCATCCTGCTGAGCTGGGCTGGCCCCTGGGACCAACAAGCGAGGGTTTGGCTCCACTTCCTGCCGGGGCACAAGCACCCGCTCCAGCCCTGACGGTGGGACCCTCCCCTTCCTGTGAACCTCTGATGAACAGAACCCCTTTCTTGTAGAGACATTTCCTGCTTTGGTCAATTCTCAGCCAGCACCTTCTCAAGTTGATGTCCATGCTGCCCTACGAAGGATTTCTCATTCCTCTTGTTTCATCCATTATGGGCTGAGTCTCTTTAACTCTAATGGGGCATCTCATTTCTCCTCATTCCAAAGACATGCCTATCAACCACTTAGAGGTATGAACCAACATATTTCCCTTTTTTCCCTGGCTGCCAGGAAGCTTGTACATAAAGTTCAGTTCATTTCAGTCGCTCAGTCGTTCTGACTCTTTGCGACCCCATGGACTGCAGCAGGCCAGGCTTCCCCGTCCATCACCAACTCCCGGAGCTTGCTCAGACTCATGTCCATGGAGTCAGTGATGCCATCCAACCACCTCATCCTTTCATTCCCCCGCTTCTCCTCCTGCCTTCAATCTTTCCCAGCATCGGTGTTTTTCAATGAGTCAGTTCTTCGTATCAGGTGGCCAAAGTATTTGAGCTTCAGCTTCAGCATCAGTCCTTCCAATGAATATTCAGGACTGATTCCCTTTAGGATGGACTGGTTTGATCTCCATGCAGTCCAAGGGACTCTCCAGAGTCTTCTCCTGAGAGTATATAAAGTTACTGTTCAGTAATCTCTCACTGTGGCACGGGGTGCTTCCTTTTGTTTCTCACTTACTGATTAGTCTTCTTTTCAACTTAAAGCTTTAAGTTTAATTCAAAGCTCTTTTATTTAAAATCATATTCGCGGTCCTAGGTTTTGGCAGTTGACAAGTAACAAATCAGCAATGAATAATGACATGCTGCTTGCCACCTGGCTCTGAGACCTAAGATCTCCTCCTTACCCTGCTGTGAGTGCTCTGAGCTGGTCGCTGCATCTCACAGCCTGGGTTTCTTCTTCTGTGGTAGGGGCTGGTCCCTCTCCAGGTGTTGGGAGGGTCAGGAGCAGCAGAGGACTGGGCAGCCTCTATGCTAGGGCGACCCTGGGCGAGCTGCTGACACTCTGGGCCTCAGTTGAGGGTTGGAAGTCAGGACCTCAGCCCACCCGTCTTGTCTTGGATTTGTCCAGTTGGGATGCCGTGGTCTTGGGCCCCAGGGACCCCCTGATTCCTCAGACTCACAGTGAGTTGTGACGTCACAGGGAGTGAGCCGGGATCCCTGAGCAGGAAGGGATGGATGGGGAGGTGCTGTGCCCCAGCCTGGAGTCGCCACAGTCCTGCTCAGACCTGCCTCCTTACCTGCCCTCAGTCTTGGCCGCCCTCCCGCTCTGAGGTCGAAAAGAGGAAAGGATTAACAGACTGTGGATCATTCAGCCGACACTTGCTAAGTGTACCAGGGGCCCCACACTTACTAATGAATACAGGCAGCCCGCGCTGTCAGCAGAGAGGCATCCATGCTCTCAGGAGCTCAGCCCCCTGGAAATGCAGACAGGGTCCGGTGACAGCCCGGTGACGATGCCTGGACGGGGCCCCGGGGAGAGGTAGAGCCTCGCAGGGGAAGACACGGGGGCAGCCCTGCGTGTGGGCCCCTGAGGACTGGCTCTGAGCACAGACCCGAAAGACGGTTAGAGGTCACCGTGTGGGGAAGGAAGGGCAGACCGCCTTCCAGGCAGGGGGACCCCAAAGCGGAAGGGACAGGAAGAAGGGGACCCGAAGCGGGGGGAGCCACGGGGGCTCCAGGCCGAGGGGGTGACAGGAGCTGGTCAGCTGGAGAGAGGTACAGCGTGAGGAAACCCCCACACTGCCTCCGGAGGCTCGCGTCTGGCCGGGGGGCTCCAGGTGGAGACGAAAGGTCCCGCCCCAGTCCCTCATCAGCCCGGGGATGTGTCCCAGGGCGCTGACGCACAGGAAGCCCCAGCTCCGGGCGGACCCCGCAGGCTACCTACCTCCACACCCTGCCCTCCAGCCCCCGGCTCATCTTCAGGGTCCTCTGCCCCCGGCCCCCCCGGGGCTGAAGGAGGAAGGGAGGGGAGTCCTGCACAGCTGGCCTCAGACCCCGTGGGCTCTGCCGTCTGTCAGTCACGGGGCTGCGTGGGTTTCAGGTGACACAGGTCCTGGTGCAAAGCCAGGGGTCCTGGGCTGGGGGGTGTGGTCTTTAGGGCCCCACAAGGGAGGTCATTCACCCTGAGAATCAGCAAGGGATCCCCAAGGATGCCCCACCAGCCAGATGCCCTGGTGTGGCTGTGGGGACACAGTGACCCCACGTGCCCCGGGGCCAGAAGATTCCGAGAGTCCTCACAGAGCAGACAAAATGCCACTGCGCCCGGAGCCCCCTTCTCCCGAAGCCGTCGTCACTCTGGCTGAGACCAGTGACCCAGAAAACGCAGCCTCCTCTTGGTGGCACGGCTTGGGGCGAGAGGACAGCCTCGCTGACATTTGTGCTGGTGCCACAGGGGCTCACGGAGTGGCATTTCATCCCTTCACGTCGGGTTTTGCAAATCTGATCAGACTGGTGCCTGGTCCGAGCTGACAGCCTCACTCAGGGGGCTGCTCACAGGTCCAGGTGAAGCCACCAGGCGCGGAGTGGCTGAGACAGACCACGGAGCTATTCCCGGGCCCTCAACCCTGCGGGGCCTCAGGCAGCCCTGGGCCTGTGGCTCGACAGCACTGCGCAGGCGTGGAGCCTGGAGCCTGGCTGGACTCGGCTTCTGTGGGCCCTGGCCAAGCTGTGTGAGCAGGACGGGGCCCTCGGGCAGCACAGTCCCTGACCCACACGCGGTCTCACCGTGCTGCAATCTGCCACACTCGCTTGAGCCCACACAAGCACGCCGCCAGCGGAACCCAGTTTCCCGCATCTTCAGGGTCCTGGTGCTCTCTGGGCTCCCGTAATGCCACACCCCCAGCTGCCGTCCCACCCTGTCCACTACCCCTGCATTCTCAGCCCCACATTCAAATGGCACAGTCTGTCAAGGCTCAGTCAGACCCCCTCCACCCTGCAACTTGGGGAACCACTGGCCCCCCGGTATCTCTGCTCCTCTCTCCAGCCCTATCCGCTCAGCCTCTGCCCTGAAAAGCCAGCTGTGGGCACCTCGCACTGACCACACACCTAACCTATCTGGAGCTTCCCCCTGGAACCACCCCCGCTCCCAGGACAGCCCCTGCCCATCCTACACCCCAACATTTCTGCAGAAGGAGGGCGGCAGCGAGCTGCCCCAGGGAGGCTTGGTGCTGCCAGGCCCGGAGCAGAGACGGAAGCCAGGAGGCACCTTTCCACCCAGGGCAGGTGGGCACTCTCCCCAGGGTTGAGGCTGCCCAGTGACCCCTCTGCTCCCCCGCAGCATGTCGCTGGAGGCACTGAAGAGCCTGCTGTCAACCACCAGGCACTGGCAGGACTTCGCCCACATGGAGCTGCAGGGCGCCTGGGACCTCTTTGCCACCACCCACACCTACCCACAGGGCGTGGGCCTCCTTGCCAGGTAGGGGCGGGGCAGGGCCAGGGGAAGGGGCCCGTCCTGGGTCATCCCTGCCCAGAAGGCTGGGCTACGGACTACAGCAACCCCCAGGACCTGCTGCGAGCACAGCCCCAAGGACTCACGCGTGTGCACAGAGGGCGCCGGGGCATGGATGGCGCGGGCTCACTGGCACACCCTGGGAGCCTAGAATGCAATGGCCCCCACCTTGGCGGGAGGCTCCTAGGGGACCAGGGCTAGGTCCACTCCCCTGTCCATCCCATGCTTGGCCCACACCTGGCAGCCAGTGGGTGGCCAGTGGGTGCAGAGGGAGCAGGAGAAGATCAGACAGGGGCGTGCCCACTCCGCTCAGAAACACTTCTGGCCGCTGGGCCCCTGGGTTGGGTGGTGGTGGGAAGGCGGACATGGGCTGTCCCATGAGCCCGGCCCGCCCTTCACCCTGTGCCCAGGGCCATGGTGCAGAACCAGTGCAGGCAGATCAAGGCGCTGACCCTTCAGCTGCTGCCCAACCTGCGGAGCCGGGAGGAGCGGGATAGGAAAGCGGCCATCATCATCTTCACAGAGGTGGGGGCCTGGGGGACCCCTCAGGGACAGCCTGCACCCCATCTCCAGCTGAACCCACCAGGACCTCCCTTGACCAACAGATTCCTCACACCCTGCCTTCCCACTCCCAGCTCCTTGGGGCCCACAGTCAGGGGCTCCTGGTTGGGTCTCCATGTCTCAGGCCCCTCTCCACCTGCATCCTGGGGGACCGTCTTCTACTCCCCCAGCCCTGATGTCATGGGGTCCTGCCCCTGGAACGGTGAAGCCGAAAGGGCAATGGCTGGAACCAGACAGGCACTGGGTGTATCGGGTCCTGGGGCTGAGAGCTGGGCCGTGGCCAGACAGAGTGGGGGCCTTTGTCATTTCCATAATGAACAAAGCCTGGTGCAATGCCACACGCCAACCTGTAGTGACATCTGGCTCTCCCTCAGGGACTGGGTCTCCAGGTGCCCCATGAGTCAGGCTGTGTTGAGTATGTTGCTCCCAGCTTCGCTGTGTGGCCTCAGACAAGGCCCTTTCCCCTCTGGGCCCGTTTCCCCAGCTATGCACTGGAGGACTGAAGCAGGTTGGCGTTGGGTTTCAAACACTCATTAACCAAGACACCCAGAGCGGGGCCGGTCAGCCACCCTCCCCGAGCCCCAGCCCTGGTCCTAGAGCCCGGCTCCCAGACACAGACGCAGGCCCCCTGCGAGAGGCTGCCAGGCCTGACCCGCCTGCCGGGGGCCCCGCAGTTCCTCTACAGCCCCACCCTGCTGGAGGTGCTCCCCAAAGAGGCTGCCCTGTCCGTGCTGGTTCGAAGCCTCAGGGACCCCAGCCCCGAGATCCGCGTGCTGGGCCTACAGGGCCTAGGGAACATTCTTTTCCACCCAGAGAAGGTAAGCGGGTGCGGGGAGCTGTGACAGACGCCCCATAGCGCAGCCGGGCGCATGGGGCCTTTGTGTCATTCCCGTTAGAAATCTGCTCTGCTGGTCCAGGGCACAGTCGGACCTGGGTCCCAGCAGCCAGGTGGTGCCCAGAGGGTGTTTGTTGCTGTTAAGTGACTCACTGGCTGAAAATAAATCTAATATTGTAGAACCAAACAGAGTTTAGGAACCCAATGAAGTTGCCGAAAACTTGTTTGAAAGTTGCAAAACCAGCCTAGTTTGCACGAGGAGTTCCTGATAAGGCGTTTGACAGTAGGAATTGTTCATTTGATGACATGTCACTTCCTGACAGTTCATCCAGACAGTTCACATTGCACCTGAGAGGAGCAGAAAGAACTGGCAGAAAATGAACTTAGCTTTTCCTTTTTAATGTAAAACTGGGAAATGGTCACTGCCACTTAGAAGGTCTGGGGTCACCACTGGTGCACCCACCTACCTGTGACGTGAGATGCCAGTGACTTCAGCGGTGCCCACCCAACCAAATTTGTCTTGTCTGTCCCCCAAGACCCCTCTGACCCCTGGGGAAGCCAGGAATGAGGGCAAAGGCAGGGTAGGGTGGAGGAAGGGAAAGTTGGTCTCCAGGACTTGGTGGGGGGCCCTATGGCCAGAATGGGGACAGACAGGAAGGACCTGGCAGCTGACTGACATGGGTTAGTGCTCCCCTAACCCCGCCCAGGGTCTCAGAGAGGGGAAGCCTGTCCCGTCTGTCCACAACTCCCGGGAGACAGAGCAGGGCTGGAAGCACGTCTCCCAGGATGACAGAGCCAGGGCGAGATGGAGAGGGGTGGGTACAGCGCGGTGCCCAGGCCTGGATGGGGGTCTGGGAAGGGGCCGCAGAGGCACGCTCGGCCCACCGGCGCCCCCTCCTGCAGGGAAGCCTGCTCCGCGGACAGCTGCCGCCCTTCCTCAAGGGCTTCTTCCAGAGCAGCGAGCCAGTGGTGGTGCGCATCATGGGCACCGTGTCAGAGGTGCTGCACCGCCTGGGCGCGCACAGTACGGAGACCCTGGGCCTCCGCATTGCCATCAACACCCGCGCCTTCTTCGATGACGTGAGTGCGCCTGGGAGGGGCAGGCACCCCATTTCGTGTCCCTCCGGTGCCTCCCCCGGCCCTTCCTCGAAGGCCGCTGTTGCCCTGGGGCAGGGAGGTGGAGGGGCAGGGCAGCTCCCCGGGTGTGTGGCGTGCGTGGCACAGGTGGGCCGGCCAGGGGTTGCCGCTGGCACTCGTCCTGCACCTTCAGCTGAACGCCACACCTTCAGTCTCAGCCCCACATGTCCTCACCCTCCTGACTCATCAACCCCTGTGGATGACAGACTCTCCTTCAGGGGAAGACAGAGGGATAAGCCCGCCCTCCCGAGTCAGCATCCCTGACACGTGGGCTGTCAGGATGCGACCATAGGCATGAGAGAGGAAAGAGGGTAGGTCCCTGAGGGTGGCCGGTAACCCTCCCCAGGAGCCGGCAGAGGGGGGAGCACAGCCCTGCCCCCGAGCCCTGACTGAGAGAGGAGGCACAGCCCTGCCCCGGAGCCCTGTCTGAAGAGGGAGCCTCATCCCTGCCCTGGAGCGCTGACTGAGGGGGAGCCTCATCCCTGCCCTGGGGCCCTGACTGAGGGGAGCCTCATCCCTGCCCTGGAGCCCTGACTGAGGGGGAGCCTCATCCCTGCCCTGGAGCCCTGACTGAGGGGGAGCCTCATCCCTGCCACGGAGCCCTGACTGAGTGGGGAGGCACAGCCCTGCCCTGGAGCCCTGACTGAGGGGGAGCCTCATCCCTGCCCTGGAGCCCTGACTGAGGGGGAGCCTCATCCCTGCCCTGGAGCCCTGACTGAGGGGGAGCCTCATCCCTGCCCCGGAACCCTGACTGAGTGGGGAGGCACAGCCCTGCCCTGGGGCCCTGACTGAGGGGAGCCTCATCCCTGCCCTGGAGCCCTGACTGAGGGGGAGCCTCATCCCTGCCCTGGAGCCCTGACTGAGGGGGAGCCTCATCCCTGCCCCGGAACCCTGACTGAGTGGGGAGGCACAGCCCTGCCCTGGGGCCCTGACTGAGGGGAGCCTCATCCCTGCCCTGGAGCCCTGTCTGAGGGGGAGCCTCATCCCTGCCCTGGAGCCCTGACTGAGGGGGAGCCTCATCCCTGCCCTGGAGCCCTGACTGAGGGGGAGCCTCATCCCTGCCCCAAAGCCCTGACTGAGGGGGGAGGCACAGCCCTGCCCCCGAGCCCTGACTGAGGGGGAGCCTCATCCCTGCCCTGGAGCCCTGACTAAGGGGGACCCTCATCCCTGCCCTGGAGCCCTGTCTGAGGGGGAGCCTCATCCCTGCCCCGGAGCCCTGACTGAGGGGGAGCCTCATCCCTGCCCCGGAGCCCTGTCTGAGGGGGAGCCTCATCCCTGCCCCGGAGCCCTGACTGAGGGGGAGCCTCATCCCTGCCCTGGAGCCCTGACTGAGGGTGAGCCTCATCCCTGCCCCGGAGCCCTGACTGAGGGGGAGACTCATCCCTGCCCCGAAGCCCTGACTGAGGGGGAGCCTCATCCCTGCCCCGGAGCCCTGACTAAGGGGGGAGGCACAGCCCTGCCCTGGAGCCCTGTCTGAGGGGGAGCCTCATCCCTGCCCCGAAACCCTGACTGAGGGGGAGCCTCATCCCTGCCCCGAAGCCCTGACTGAGGGGGAGCCTCATCCCTGCCCTGGAGCCCTGACTGAGGGGGGAGGCACAGCCCTGCCCTGGAGCCCTGACTGAGGGGGAGCCTCATCCCTGCCCCGGAGCCCTGACTGAGGGGGAGCCTCATCCCTGCCCTGGAGCCCTGACTGAGGGTGAGCCTCATCCCTGCCCCGGAGCCCTGACTGAGGGGGAGCCTCATCCCTGCCCCGAAGCCCTGACTGAGGGGGAGCCTCATCCCTGCCCTGGAGCCCTGACTGAGGGGGGAGGCACAGCCCTGCCCTGGAGCCCTGACTGAGGGGGAGCCTCATCCCTGCCCCGGAGCCCTGACTGAGGGGGAGCCTCATCCCTGCCCCGGAGCCCTGACTGAGGGGGAGCCTCATCCCTGCCCCGGAGCCCTGTCTGAGGGGGAGCCTCATCCCTGCCCCGGAGCCCTGACTGAGGGGGAGCCTCATCCCTGCCCTGGAGCCCTGACTGAGGGTGAGTCTCATCCCTGCCCCGGAGCCCTGACTGAGGGGGAGCCTCATCCCTGCCCCGGAGCCCTGTCTGAGGGGGAGCCTCATCCCTGCCCCGGAGCCCTGACTGAGGGGGAGCCTCATCCCTGCCCTGGAGCCCTGACTGAGGGTGAGCCTCATCCCTGCCCCGGAGCCCTGACTGAGGGGGAGACTCATCCCTGCCCCGAAGCCCTGACTGAGGGGGAGCCTCATCCCTGCCCCGGAGCCCTGACTGAGGGGGAGCCTCATCCCTGCCCCGGAGCCCTGACTGAGGGGGAGCCTCATCCCTGCCCTGGAGCCCTGACTGAGGGTGAGCCTCATCCCTGCCCCGGAGCCCTGACTGAGGGGGAGCCTCATCCCTGCCCCGAAGCCCTGACTGAGGGGGAGCCTCATCCCTGCCCTGGAGCCCTGACTGAGGGGGGAGGCACAGCCCTGCCCTGGGGCCCTGACTGAGGGGAGCCTCATCCCTGCCCTGGAGCCCTGACTGAGGGGGAGCCTCATCCCTGCCCTGGAGCCCTGACTGAGGGGGAGCCTCATCCCTGCCCCGGAACCCTGACTGAGTGGGGAGGCACAGCCCTGCCCTGGGGCCCTGACTGAGGGGAGCCTCATCCCTGCCCTGGAGCCCTGTCTGAGGGGGAGCCTCATCCCTGCCCTGGAGCCCTGACTGAGGGGGAGCCTCATCCCTGCCCTGGAGCCCTGACTGAGGGGGAGCCTCATCCCTGCCCCAAAGCCCTGACTGAGGGGGGAGGCACAGCCCTGCCCCCGAGCCCTGACTGAGGGGGAGCCTCATCCCTGCCCTGGAGCCCTGACTAAGGGGGACCCTCATCCCTGCCCTGGAGCCCTGTCTGAGGGGGAGCCTCATCCCTGCCCCGGAGCCCTGACTGAGGGGGAGCCTCATCCCTGCCCCGGAGCCCTGTCTGAGGGGGAGCCTCATCCCTGCCCCGGAGCCCTGACTGAGGGGGAGCCTCATCCCTGCCCTGGAGCCCTGACTGAGGGTGAGCCTCATCCCTGCCCCGGAGCCCTGACTGAGGGGGAGCCTCATCCCTGCCCCGAAGCCCTGACTGAGGGGGAGCCTCATCCCTGCCCTGGAGCCCTGACTGAGGGGGGAGGCACAGCCCTGCCCTGGAGCCCTGACTGAGGGGGAGCCTCATCCCTGCCCCGGAGCCCTGACTGAGGGGGAGCCTCATCCCTGCCCCGGAGCCCTGACTGAGGGGGAGCCTCATCCCTGCCCCGGAGCCCTGTCTGAGGGGGAGCCTCATCCCTGCCCCGGAGCCCTGACTGAGGGGGAGCCTCATCCCTGCCCTGGAGCCCTGACTGAGGGTGAGTCTCATCCCTGCCCCGGAGCCCTGACTGAGGGGGAGCCTCATCCCTGCCCCGGAGCCCTGTCTGAGGGGGAGCCTCATCCCTGCCCCGGAGCCCTGACTGAGGGGGAGCCTCATCCCTGCCCTGGAGCCCTGACTGAGGGTGAGCCTCATCCCTGCCCCGGAGCCCTGACTGAGGGGGAGACTCATCCCTGCCCCGAAGCCCTGACTGAGGGGGAGCCTCATCCCTGCCCCGGAGCCCTGACTAAGGGGGGAGGCACAGCCCTGCCCTGGAGCCCTGTCTGAGGGGGAGCCTCATCCCTGCCCTGGAGCCCTGTCTGAGGGGGAGCCTCATCCCTGCCCCGAAACCCTGACTGAGGGGGAGCCTCATCCCTGCCCCGAAGCCCTGACTGAGGGGGAGCCTCATCCCTGCCCTGGAGCCCTGTCTGAGGGGGAGCCTCATCCCTGCCCCGGAGCCCTGACTGAGGGGGGAGGCACAGCCCTGCCCTGGAGCCCTGACTGAGGGGGAGCCTCATCCCTGCCCTGGAGCCCTGACTGAGGGGGAGCCTCATCCCTGCCCCGAAGCCCTGTCTGAGGGGGAGCCTCATCCCTGCCCCGGAGCCCTGACTGAGGGGGGAGGCACAGCCCTGCCCTGGAGCCCTGACTGAGGGGGGAGGCACAGCCCTGCCCTGGAGCCCTGACTGAAGGGGAGCCTCATCCCTGCCCTGGAGCCCTGTCTGAGGGGGAGCCTCATCCCTGCCCTGGAGCCCTGTCTGAGGGGGAGCCTCATCCCTGCCGTGGAGCCCTGTCTGAGGGGGAGCCTCATCCCTGCCCTGGAGCCCTGTCTGAGGGGGAGCCTCATCCCTGCCCCAAAGCCCTGACTGAAGGGGAGGCACAGCCCTGCCCTGGAGCCCTGACTGAAGGGCAGCCTCATCCCTGCCCTGGAGCCCTGTCTGAGGGGGAGCCTCATCCCTGTCCTGGAGCCCTGTCTGAGGGGGAGCCTCATCCCTGCCCTGGAGCCCTGACTGAGGGGGAGCCTGATCCCTGCCCTGGAGCCCTGACTGAGGGGGAGCCTCATCCCTGCCCTGGAGCCCTGACTGAAGGGGCAGGCTGAGGTCTGTTCCTGGAACCTGTAGCCCAGATGAAGGGGTCCTGCTGAGGGTACTGGGCCCCACGTCACTCTGGAGTGGAGGGTCCAAGGTGGGTCTGGCTGGGCTCCGAGCCTCTGCCTTGCAGGAGCGGGACGGGGTCCGGGCAGCGGCCATGGCACTGTTCGGGGAGCTGGTGGCGTCGGTGACAGGCCAGAAGTTCGGCGGCCTGCGCACCCAGGTGCGCCAGAGCATGGTGCCCCTGCTCCTGCACCTGAAGGACCGCTGCCCCGCTGTCGTCACGGTCAGTGGTCAGCGACGGGCCTTCGCCTTGGTGGGGCTGGGGACCCACGGTGGGCAGGGGGCTGCCTGGAAGCCAGGGACACCCCCTGGGCCAGCGGGTCCAGCCCCCTCACTGGTTTTCCTGCTCCTCCCCATGTGCACACACGTGCACTCACACACGTGCCCACGTGTGGCTGTGAGTCTGTGGTCAGGACACCGTCTGTCCTGCTCACTGCTGTCCAAAGCGCCAGGCATGCCCTCGGGCGCAGGTGGTTGATTGAACTTGAAATATGGGCTGAGCCCTACGTGTGCCAGCCACTGCCCCGCACCAGGCCTTAGGAAACGCTCAGCCTTCCTGCAGCTCCCAGCCACTGGGGGGATAAACAAGCAGCCAGTTTCCAAGCAGATGGGGACTGAACACTGCCTTTGGTCCAGCGGGGCCGTGCTGCTGGCCAGGGAGGCGGGTGGGCTCAGAGTGCAGCCTGAAGGCAGCAGGAAGGAGCCGGCGCGCCCAGGAGGGCCGTGCCTGCTGCAGCTTCCTCGGCACCACCCACGCCCAGCGCTCCCTGCCGTCCCCACAGCAGGCCAAGTTCTCCTTCTACCGCTGCTCCGTGCTGCTCCAGTGGCGGCTGCCGCACACCCTCTTCTGCACGCTGGCCTGGGAGAAGGGCCTTAGCGCCCGCCACTTCCTCTGGAGCTGCCTGGTGAGGGCCCGCAGCGGGGAGGGGGTGGGAGGCTGGCCGCCAGGTCCCCGGGGCCGGCCGGCTCTGTCCCCAGCAAGTGACAGAGACATGCTCCCCAGATGAGCCACAGCCAGGACGAGTTCAGCACCCACTTGGCGCAGGCCCTCAGCTACCTGCACAGACGGCACCACCACCTCAAGATCTGGGCAGCACTCTTCATCGGTGAGCGGGGCGGGGGGCCAGGCTCAGGGACCCCCAGGCCTGCCCCGCCTGAGCACCCCAACCCTCACCCTCAACCATCCTCCACTGAGGCTGGAACATGGGTTCCGCTGGCAAGTGAGGAGAGGGGCGAGTGAGGGGGTCTCGGGGGTCTCAGTTCTCCAGTGTGTTCTGGCACTGTCTCCGGCGGTCCCTCACACAGGAGGACTCCTTCCCTATGCCAGGGAGGGGAAGAGGGAGAGAGGGAAGAGGGGAGAGGTTTGGGAGCCCCCTCCCACGGGCCGGCGTGCTCCCCATCTGTCGCGCAGGTTATACCATCTGCTACTATCCCCGGGCCGTGTCCCAGACGGTCAGTGACGTGGACATAAAGCTGCTGGTCTGCAGTAAGGGAACATCCTTACTCCATCCACCCCCATCCGTGTCAGCAGGGAACATGGGCCCCCAAACACAGCGGGCAGGGTGGGGAAGGGGAGTGCCCAGGCCTGGAAGGCCGAGGAGGCGGGGTCTGGGTGCCCAACTGCCCCCACCCCACGTGGGAAGGAGGGCGCTACTCCGCCAGGGCTGTGGGCAGACAGGGCATGGAGGGTACCTCTGATTTGTCCCTCCTTTCCTGGAGCTTTTGAGGATCTCAAAAAGAACCCCGAACCCAGCATCCAATACTTCGCCAGCAGGCAGGCTTCCTTCCTTCAGAAGGTGGTAGCCAGACCAGCCAGACCACAGTGACCTCCAGCTGTCGACCCCCCCCGGTCCCCCTCCCCCGTGCCCACCGCACCGCGCAGCCCTGCCCTGTCCGCACAGAGCTTGGCTGCATGACATCTGTCCATTTGAAAGAAAGATCTAGGTTCAATAAAGAAGCGTCACACCTCTGTGCTCCGTGCCCACCATCCCATAGGCCCCCCGGAGACACTGGCAGGCCAGGGGGTGGGCGCAAACGGTGTGTCCCCCAGAGACAGACTGTGAAGTCTGGGCAGGGACCCCCACATGTGGCCACCAGGCGGCTTCCCGGTGACCGGAGCCCGAGCCACAGCCCGCCCATGTCCTGGGCACTGAGTAGGCACTCCCAAGGCCTCCATGGCCCTTGGGGCCCACGGCTGAGTGGAGTCACTCACCATGGCACCCCCGCAGGCTTCAGTCTGTCTCCGGCTTAGAGCTCCGTCATCACTGGGAGGCTGATGGTGGGGAAGAGGTCCCTTGGCTGGTCTCCCTCTGCTCAGAGGACTCAAAGTCACCCTCCACCCCCGTCTCTAGCCTCCTGAGCCCCATCAGGGCTGGCACCTGGGGTTGGCAGCAGAACCAGCCTGGCCCAGAGTAAGAGCTTCCAGGTGGGCTTGGCCCACCCTGAATGAGCCCCATGGACTGAGGCGAGGGTCTCAACACTCTGAGCCTCAGCTGACCCATCTGTAAAACGGGTAGTAAGACCTTCCTCCAAGACCCCTTGGAAGGTTGAGTCCAGAAGAGGTCCCCGGACTCCAAGGGAGCCCCTGAAGACCCACCTGAGCTTCAGCAGGTCCTTCCTCTCCCAGCTTTGGTTTTTCCATCTGTGCAATGGGCAGGTGGGCCCTTCCCTCGCCTGAGAGAGTCTCCCGGCCGGAGTCCTCCCTAGGGCCTCCCCCAGCTGGCCACTCTCCAGCAGGAGGTCCAGCCCCGCCCAGCCTGCCCCCTGCCTTCCCCCCCACATGTCCTCCCAGGCCCTCCCCACTCGGCCCAGGCAGAGCTTCTTCTCAGAGAGCTCTCCCCACACCTCCCGCCTTGGGACCTCCAAGTGACCCGGCCCTTGAGGGCCTGCCAAACAAGGACCCCACCCCTCATCAGGCTGTCCCACCACTCCCCATTGACTGTGAGCCCCTCGAGGCAGACATGGAGTTGCACCCAGGAGGCCCACAACTTGGACAGTGGATTGAAAAAATACAGCAACTGCAGACTCACTGGTATTGTTCAATATGACCAGGGAGAGGAGTAAAAGACCCTGGGCAGAGCTGGGGCCTCCGCCCACCGTCTGTGAGTCTCTGAATGGCACCACTTGAGGAGGGGCTCTGCGTGAGCTTGGCTTTTCACAGCTCTCTGTTTTGTCCACGGGCCCCTGTGAGTGCCCCCCATCCCACTTGTGCTACAACCCCTGGCTGGGAAGAGGGGCCCCTGAGCCCAGCTGGGGGGTGGGGTGCCATCTCCCCTACACGGAGGCTTCCCTGGTTCTCCCCAGTGGGCAGTGGGCAGTGGGACCTCCTACACGGCCCCCCACCTCACCCCAGTTCATCCTGCCCCTGGGAAGTCTAGTCTCAGTAAAACCTGGAGCTGGGTAGGCCGGGACCCAGAGGCTTCGGCAGCCGATGGTGACTGAACAAGCCCCCGGGGGAACCGAGACGGCTGAAGCCTGAAGTTGACGGAGCAGAGGCCTTAGCAGCAGGGTAGAGGACTCCAGACCCGGGCACACAGGAGGTGCCCACTAACCAGCAGCAACCGTTGACTGCCAGGCCAGCCATAGCAGGCCAGGGGCGGGAGACAGGGCCTGAGTCCCGGTGGGTGGGCTACCATCCCACCCGGGAAAGGCGCGGCCAACATGACCCAGGGAGGGGCCGGCCCCCAGCCCTGCGAGAGCGGAGAGCTGCTCACGGAGCAGGGCAACACCCATGCCCTCCAGCAGGCCCAGCCCCCAACACACTTTCACCCCAGGAACCCCGGGTCACTCTCCACCCCTCCAGCCTCCCCTCCCTGCCACGGGGTGAGGAGTCGGCGTGTCCCTCCACCCCAAGCCCAGCGGGCACCATCACCCCCTCCCTTCTCTGGGCTTCCAAGACTGGAGTGAGGACACTTAGTGGGGGGCAGGACGGGGCAGCCACCCCACCGGACACCTGACCCGGAAGAATTACCAAGTGACCCATCCTGTCCCGCACGGGGGTGATGCCGGTGACCCAGCCCCCAACACAGCAACAGGGCAACTGGGCAGAGCCCACTGGGCCTCAGCCCCTGCTCTGTTCAATCTGGGACGGCCCCACCCTGAGCCAGGGAGTGCAGGGACCCAGCGTGGACGCCAGGGGGCAGCCAAGCATAGCCAGCAGGAAGGGATGGGCCCCGCAGCATCCCTGGGTTCCGCCAGCCCCCCAAGGCCACCCACACCCCATTCCCCAGGCACACGCAGTCACAGGGTCTGGTTTTATTGCCTTCGAGTGTCCGGAACACCTGACTGCCCCAGACCCAATAACTTAAGGTGCCAAGAACAGGTCAGGGTGAGGGGCCGCAGACGAGGGGCTGGGCCCAGTGGTTAAAAAATACACCAGCCCCCAAACAAACAGGCCAGGAAGGAGAGCTGCCCAGAGGCGGTGTGGGCAGGGCATTACAGGACAGCCAGGGACATGGAGGGGTTGGGGATTGGGGGGGATTAAGCCTCAGAGGGACAGTGAGGGCTGAGGGCACAGAGAGAGACACGTCAAACACAGAGACAGACAGACAGACACGCGGGCAGGAGACAGAAGGAAGGCTGGGCCAGACGGCAGTGCGCGCACATGCACACGTGTGCACGCACACACACACACACATACACCTGCTGGTGTGGGCAGAGACAGAAAACACCCGCGAAGGGTGCGGGGGGGGCGGGCTGGACGGCTGGTGGTTAGTGTTCCCGGGGGGCTGGGAGCAAAGGGCAGAGGGAGGCCCCGTGGCGGGAGCCCTGCTGAGCCCGCAGCCAGGCGACCACGTCCTGAGCTACATGATGCAGCACTTGGTCTTGTGCGCGTGGGGGTCCTTGAACCGCAGTCTCTGCTTTGGCCGGTACTTTTCCAGGTAGGTGAGCTGTTTGCTGTTGATGGCACCGCGCCGCTTCCTGGGCAGACGGGACCGGGGTGAGGGGTCAGGCAGGACCCAGGCTCGGCACACGCCCTGCCCCGGAGCTGCAGGCCCCAGAGGCCAGAGAGGCTGGAGCGGGTCCCCGTGACCCACAGAGCCCTCCCACCTCTGGGCCTTTGCCCGGGCCATTCCTACCGCCACAATCACAGTCACTGCAGCCACCGCGGCTGACCTTCAAGTCACCTGGCTATGGCTCCTCCAGGCTGACCACCTCTCCTCCCCAACCCCAAGGTCCCCACCCTCCAAGGCCCCCGTGTTTACCTGGGTACCACCCCCCAAAAGCAGAGGCCACGGGGATGGATGCCGGCTGGCATGGGAGGGAGAGGAGAGGAGGCGGGAGGTGGCCCTCAGGTGCCTGGGTGTGGGGGTACCTAGCACTGCCCACCAGGTGCTCCCGGAGGTCATCTGTCCCCACCGCCAGTAACCTTGGACATGGCCGTGGACTGGCTCTGGTCAATGATGCATGGGCCGGGGAGGAGCAAGCCTGCGCTGCTCTGAGTCACCAGGTTGGGCCCAGCCCCCAGTCACAGGCCTCAAACCTGGAACTAGGGAACCCCAGGCTCAGCGAGGTGCCTGGGGGCAGAGGTGATGGTGAAGGCCTGGCCCTTCCCCTTGGCTGCCTCAGATCTGTGCCAAGGCAAAGAGCTGCACACAGGCTCACGGAGAGGAACCGTGCCCCCGCTGTGTGTGCACACGTGCCAGGGTCCCGAGGAGGCCGGAGCTCCCGCGGGCACAGGCAGACCTGGCCGCCTGACTGGTAAACAAGCCTGCCTCTGAGAGAGAGAGAAGGCTGTGCCCTGGAAACTGTCGTCGGGGGAGCAGCACAAGAAGACACCCAGGCACGGACTGTGCGCGTGTCTCACACACACGCACATACACACTCACGATGGGGGGGCTGGGGCGGGCTCAGGCCCTCTGCACCCACCCCACTGTCCCTGCTGCCACCTCAGGACCCTGCTCCGCCAGGGCTCCTTTCCTGGGGGCAGCCGTGGACAGGAGCCCCCACCCCACAAGGAGAGGAGGCTGGGAGACCTCCATGGGGGCCGAGAATGGGGGGCAGAGCGCCCAGGGGCCAGGGCTTCAGAAGGGCAGTCCTGAAAGATCCTGGGGTGTCGGCTGTCCCGGAGGGGTTGGGGCAGGTGGGGCAGGTGGCACTGGGGGGCTCCTTTCACTGCTGGGCTGGGTTGGATGGCTTCTGGGGGCTCTTCCTCTCCCAAGAGCTGAGGGGAGTGACACCCTGCATCAGGAGTGCTGGAGGCTTAGAGGGGCCTGCCCCAGCTCCCTGTGTCAGAGATGGGTTTGAGCCGGCCTGTTCCTCAGCACCGCAGTTCAGATAGGCCCGTGCAGTTCAGATAGGCTAGCTCCTGCACTCAGCAGGACTGATTCACCCCAGGCTGAAGGAGCCATGGGCCCCAGAGAGGGCACCAGCCAGGCCCTCCGTGCAGCCGCTCCTCACCCTCTCCTCCCAGTCTGGGGAGCAGACCACATACAGCACCTGTCCTCAGTCAGGGCTCGGCAGCCTGAGGGGTGCGCTGGGGCCACAGCAGGAGGCTGCACTGAACTGGGGAAGGCCTCAGAGGACGGCACAGGGCCAGGGGTCAGGAGTACCTCCTGGTGAGGCCCTGGGCCCCTGCGGGGCAGGGAGGGAAGGAAGGATAAGGACCCCCAGCACCCAGACTCCCGAGCCCCCACCAGCGTCCTTCCCACCAGCCACTCACTGTCGGATGAACTGGATGGCGTCCTCGTACTTCATCCCACTCTCGATGAGGGCCAGCGCCACAAGGACTGGAGCCCTGGGTGGACGGCAGGGCCAGGTCACCCAGGCCCGGGCACCCACCCCTTCCCCGACACCTTCACCCTCGGGGCCTGGGGAGGCCCAGGCTTTCCCAGTTTCCTTCCCGCCCCCATGGAGGGCACAGGCTCCTCCTGCACCTGCTGTGTGACCTCAGGTGGGCAGGGTCACCTCTCTGTGCCCCAGGCTCCTCGTGTATAAACATGTAGGTGGGAGGGTTGAAGGAGGAAGAGCAAAGTGCTGGGCTCAGGTCTGGCCATGGATGAGAGCTTGATTCTCGGTTATGAACCCCGTTCACGATTCCCATGACTAGCTGGCAGGTGTGGGGTCTTGTGTCTGGGGAGGGGCAGGGCTGTCAGCTCCTTCCTGCACAAAGTCCCAGTCACAGCAGCGGGGAGCGGGGTCAGACTTTGGGAAGGACTTCCACCCCGCCCCCCCAGGAAGGAAGTCACGTGACATGGACTCAGCACCCATGCCCGATGGCAAGCCAGGCCAAGAGGTCCCCAAGTTCAAGCCAGCCGCCCTGCCCCACTGGCTCACCGCCCCAGGCCGGCCACGCAGTGCACAGCCACACAGCTGCCGGGGTCATCACAGAACTTGTTCTTCAGCAAGCTCAGCCAGTCCTCCACCACTTTGCCAGGTGGGGGCGCCCCATCATCAAACGGCCAGTCCTGCAGAAGGCAACAGCCTGTCAGGACCCCCACCTTGGAGGTGGGGTGAGAGCCGGGACCCAGGCCAGCCTGCCCAGGGGCACTCTGACAAGCACGGAGGATGTTGGGAGCCCCCCGAGGGTGAGGCTCAGGGCACAGGCCCCAGAGAGCGCCCCCCTGCAAGGCTCCTCCCCATTGTCCTCCCCACTGACTGCCTGAGACAGTCTGGGCCCGCAGACCCAAGGGTCTGGTCCATGAGCGTGGCTGACATGTGCTTGCCTGTGTCCCAGCCCCCGGCACAGCGGCCGAGAGCAGGCCGGGCCCTGAGGCTGGAGACCATGCACTTCCCGGGGAGCACGCGGGGCAGAGGGGCCGCCCCAGAATCAGCACCGCTTGGCACAGGGGTGCATCCACGTGTCCACCGAGGCCAGGCACCCGGGTATCTGGTCCTGTTCCCAGGCTCCAGATTCAGCACCCTGGAGGGTCCCTGGAGGACATGGGTCTGCCTAGCAACTGCGTGTCTAACCCAAACCCCTTCCTGCCGCCGGGGAGGCGTGAGAAAGCCGCTGACCCCTGTGCTCCGGGCTACGTTACAGAGTTCACCTGGCGTCCTTCAGGCACACCCGCTCTAGATGGAAGGACCCTGGGTCACTCAGAGGGGAAGGGGCAGGCCTCTCCGCCCCAAAGCTTCAGCCCCTCTCACCACCGTGGCCTGGCTCGGGGGCCTCCCCACAGGGCTGTGGCCAAGCCACCGGGAACCACGTGGCCCATCCCACGGGGCCGGCTGCCTGGCCACCAGTCCCCAGTACCGGGGACCAAGGAAACCACCCCAAGGGTCCCTCCCCACGGCCTCGGGAGAGCCTCCCCAGGGACCCGCCAGGTGCACCCAGCCGACCCCCCGGGAGGCACCCGCTGCCCGGCGACAAGGCCCCAAGCCCCGGGCGCAGCGAGACGGAGAGGAGCCCAGGGCCGCGCCGACGCTCTAGAGATGCAGCCTGCACACAAACACGGCGGGGTGGCAGGGCACGCAGCACACGCCTGCCTCCCCACCCGGGGCCCGGCCACCCCCCACCCCGCCGCACACGGCCCTCACCACAACCGTGATGCCGTCCTTCTCCAGTGGGGCCTTGTCGTAGGTCACCTCACACACGCGCACCACAGTGGTGGCCCCGTACTTCTTCAGGTCCTGGCAGGGAGGGAGGGGGAAGGCGGGGCTGGGCGGGGCACCCCACAGCGGGACAGAAAGGCTGGGGCCCCGCGGGAATCCCCAGCGGCTCACGGGCTTTCGGGCTCGGGGACCTGCGGGGGTGGGACCACTCTTCCTGATGCTTCTGGGGCGACTGTCCCTGAGCTCGCCCTGCGGCAGGCAGTGACCCACCCACCCGCATCACCACTGAGGCGACACAGCTGGGAGCCCGACTTCCGGCATGACCTCCCTCCTCCCGGATGCTCGGAGCCCCGAGCACACCAGCAGCTTGCAGACCGAGACCCCGCGCCCCCAGGCAGGCCGAGGACACGCATGTATATATCGGATGTGTATATATACAAGGCCTGCGCGCGAGCCGCCGCGTGGTCCTGCTCTGAACAGCCTCCTAGCCTAGACGGCAGGGACAGGTCCACCCAGGGGCAGAGCCAGACTCTGCACAGCGGCCTTCAGGGCCTCGGGGAGGGGCACCTCGGGGCAGGGAGGGTGGGCACCTGCCCAGAGGGCGCCCGGGAGGGAGCCAGGCCCCACACACCAGCGGGGAAGCCCCAAGCTACCCGGGGAGAAGTCAAGGCAGTTCACAGCCAGCGCAGGGATATTTATACGCTGCGGTGGGGGGGCTCCGCTGCATGGGGCCCACGTGCACCCACCCCCACCTGCTCCCGGCAGCTATTTTAGGAGCAGTGAAGAATCAGCTGCTGGACCTTGCTCATCGTGCGACGGGACACCACACAGTGAGGAGACCACAGAGCTATTCTGAGAATGCAGGGAGCAGGGGCGGTGCAGGGGGCGGTGCAGGGCTCTAGGGCCAAAGGGGCACCGCAGATTCCTCTGGGCCTAAAGCAGAGAGTGCTGCCATCCAGCCCAGGCTGGGCCCGGACCTCACGACAGACAGAGTGCTGACACCTGTCCCGCTCCGAGCCCTGACCCCGGTCCCGCTCCGAGCCCTGACCCCGGTCCCGCTCCGAGCCCTGACCCCGGTCCCGCTCCGAGCCCTGACCCCGGTCCCGCTCCGAGCCCTGACCCCGGTCCCGCTCCGAGCCCTGGCCCCGGTCCCGCTCTGAGCCCTGGCCCCGGTCCCGCTCCGAGCCCTGACCCCGGTCCCGCTCCGAGCCCTGACCCCGGTCATCATGGGCCATGCAGGGGGACAGCCCTCCTCCACGCGGTCCCCAGCTCAGTGTCTAGAGTCCAGGTCTCCCGACGGCAGGGTGCCCGCTGCCTCCCTCCGCAGTCCAGCATGTACACAGTTGTGAAGCCCTCCTGTGCCCTGGCCCCTGTTCAACCACAGTGAGCACTCAGACGGGCCTATCTCTTGTTGCAGAAGGAGCGGCTGGAGGTCTGAGGCCACGAAAGGCCCAGCACACAGACACAGGCTCTGCAAACAGCAAGGAGCGCTGCAGACGCCACGCTCCTTCGGGAGCCCCTCAGAGAATGGCAGGCTCTGCAAACACATTTGGTCCCGTCCGCCGGGGCCACGAGCAGCAGACAGCTCGCCTACTGGCTCTCGGGGTATGGTGGGCACTCTCTCCCGTGGCCGGCTTGGACTCCTGTCCAGCCCTTCCTCACACAGACACCTGTGCCGGGAGCTCCCAGCCCAGTTCCAACGCAAGGAGCCCCTGGAGCCCATGGGCTTCCTGCGGCCTGGGCTGGTTGTGGAGCTGGTCTTCATGCCCGGTCCCCACCCTGCTTTCTCCAGGCTGTTTAAGCAGCTGATCCTCCCCTGGGGCGACCACCACCCCCTTCTCCTGCTCACCCTCTGTACAGAGGCCAGACAGCCAGCAAAGGGCTCGGGACTGCACCGGCCACAGGCCCGTCTCGTCTCCTACCTCCACACGTCTCTGCTCACACGGCACGGGGCCCGCTGCCCACCCCGCTGACCCCCCGCAGCCCTCACAGCACCCCCAGCCCCACACGCACTCTCATGTGCCTCTCCCAGGGGGGGCCTGTCATCCCACGCTCTCCTCTCAAACGGAGGCCCCCAGCCTTGCCACCAGACGTGTTGGATACTCACCTCGATGAAGCTGCTGAGGGTGGCGTTGGTGGGGTTGTGCGTAATGAGGAAGCGCATGTTCTTGTAGCTGACCTCCACGGGGGCCGGCCGGTTCATCCGCGCCATGGCTGCTGCCCGCAGACGGGGCTGGGGACGTGAATGCAAGAAGGGCCCACCACCCCCCAGAACCCAAGGAGCACGAGATCCCTGCGCTTGTCCGAGAGAGAGAAATGCTTTAAAAAAAAAAAAATCCTGCCCCCCCGGACCCCGCACAAATATTGTGCAAATACTTGGGTGGGGGGAGGATGCTGCCCGGATCACGGGTGGATGATTAAAAAAAGAAAACCCAACCCTTTACAAGACAAAAAGAACAAAAGAGTGCCCCCAGAAGTAAAGCAGGCCAAGTCCAAGCTCCGGCCTCTCAGAGCTGGAGAATTACTAGGGGGCAAAAGTAAAAACAACAACCACCAAAAAAACTCAGCAAAGAAAACTTTAAAAAGCCCAAAGTGAATAGGGCTGCCGAAGCCGTGGCCGGCACTGCGCCTGTCGCCGGGGGCGCCCCCTCGGCATCGGTGGACAGCTAGACAGCCACCTCTGCTCCAAGACCCCAGACCCCCAAGGATTCGAGGAAGAACAAACTTGAAACTGAACCAATGGGGCCGCCGTGGGGTTGGGGTGGCAGGCAGCGGCCACAGGGGGACAGCGGGCGGCGGTGACGCGGGGCCTCCGTCACGTTACCCCATTGGGGTACAGCGAGTCCTGGAGGGGGGCGGTGGGCTCAGGCCGCAGAGCCAGCCCCGGGCCAGGCGGCAGGGGCCATGGGCGGGCGAGGGCAATGGTGAGGCCGGAGGCGCGGGGGCCTCAGCAGCGGGCGCGGCGCAGATGCTGGGCGCGGCAGTGCTCAGGGCTGCCCCCCAAGGGCCTCTCCATGAATCCCAGGCTAGTCAGCGGCAGGCAGCGTCTGGGGAGGGGGCAGAAGGCAATGAAAGGGGGTCCCGGCCCGTGCCCCTCCCTCACCGGACCTTGGTTTCCCTCTCAGGGAAACCACGAGGGTGCTGAACCCCAACACACGATTTCAAGGCATTTGTGGTGACAGAGCCACCCCCCGAAGCCCCTCCACGACGCCCCGCCCCCGCCACCAGACAGGCCCCTCCTCCGCGGAATTCTGGTCTCTGCGGCGTCTCCGAGCCCAGGTCACCCTGCAGCAGCCCCGGTCCTCGGGGGAAGGGGCTCTGGAACAGAGGCCAAGGTGACAGAGCACAGTGGAGGGTTGGGGCAGCGTGGCAGCACCCCCCACAGACACGAGCCACCTTACACGTCTCTCAAGGGCTCCCCTGTGGTAACTGGAGGCTCTGGTCAGCTTCTGCCCTGGGCCGCTGCCCACCACTCGCCCACAGGGCTGGCCACACGATGGAAGCAAACAGGCCACGGCCCCGCAGGAGCTCAAAGAAGCAGGGACAACCCGCAGGAGCCTATAGGCCGGGGCCAGGGCCGGCCGCCAGGCGCTTGCCAAGGTGGCAACAGCACAGGTGGCCGGGAGTGGGGTCCCACCATGACAGGGCCCCAAGGTGGGACATTGCCAGGCCCCAGAGAGAGCCATCAAGCACCTGCAGGCCTGTCTCTCCCTCTCTAGGCCCCAAAAGGCCAGGGCCAGGGGCCCCAGCAGAAGCAACGTGACCCACTCCCATCCCCACAGACAGGCTGGGAGACCTTGAGCACATCACTAGCCTCAGTTTCCCCATCTGCAAAATGAGGGGCCAGAGAAGATGTCCCCAGGGCCCCTCCAGCACAACCCAGTGATCAGCAGACCCCTCCAGCCACTGGGCTCAGCCTGGCCCTGCTGACAGAACCCACACCTGCTTACCAGGCAGGTCCTCCATCCACCCACCCAATACCTCTTACCTCTGCCCCGCCCAGCACCCTCTTCCCCAGCTGCCCACCAGACCGGCTGGGCCCCTGGAGCCTCAGCCCGGGTGCGGCCCGGGCCTGCAGCTGGGACCCGGACACGGCGGGGTGGGAGCGGCGGGAGGCTCCACGGCTGCTCCAGGCTCACGCTCTGCCCCTTGCCCAGTCCAGGAAGGTTATACGTGGGTCCCCAGGGAGGGGGTCAAAGGCAGGGAGAAGGGACCGCGCACCATCCCCGAGCGGTCTTCTGCTCGGAGTGCAGGCGAGGAAAGCGTCAGGCGCCAGGCTCCCTGAGCAGCACATGGAAACCTGCCCTCCTGGGGCTGCGGGAGGTCCCTGTGTGTGCATGTTTACAGAGGGAAGGGAGGGAAGGGGCCCAGGGAAGCCACAGGACAACAGGCCTCTCCCGAGGGCCCGACCCGCCGCCTCCCCACCCGCAGCTGCTGGACATCTGGGGAGACCCCGGGGCAAGGGCAGACGGCCTGGCTCTCCTGCCAGCTTCCCTGGAGGGCCACCCCACAGTCCTGCCCATGTGAAACCTGTCACCGTGTAGGCAGGGGCCCTGGATCAGGCTGGCTGGGGGCAGGGGGCAGGGGGCAGGGTCTGGGCTGAGCCTGGACCAAGATCACTGCCCAGCTGGGCTGGGGTCTGGCCAGACTCCCTACTTGTCCCCTCAACGTCTAGGGCCCCCCCGCCCCGGTGAAAGGAAAAGAGTGCAACCCCCCTTGCTGCCCCCAGGCTGTCCCACAGTGCTCAACCAGGCCTGCGGCCTCCCCCTGGGGCAGAGCCCCCCGCCCCCCGCCTCGTCCGAACCACACCACCCCCAGCTTGAGGTCACCGAGCAGGCCCCCAGCCAGGGCTAACCCCAGTCCACCAGCCAGTACCCCCTGGCCCACCCCCACGCCATGACACAGGCGCGCTCCTGGAAGCCGGAGGCCCCTCCCTCTGGCCTTCCCACCACCGGCCCCACGCGGCTGTCCTGGGGCCCCACGCGGCTGTCCTGGGGCCCCAGTCGCCCTGCACGCAGGCTCTGAGCTCTGCCACATCCCTGACAGTCCTCCTTTCCAGAGCCATTAAGGAGAGGCCCCGGCCTGGCCCCTGCTCGCAGATGAGTAAACAGGCCAGGGCGGGCTGGGGGACTTTCCAGGGCCCTGACCAGGCCGGGCCCGGGAAGAGCTCCCCGTGGGAGTTCCCAGCCGCAAGTCCCCGACGCTCATTCCCGGCGGCACAGCTGACTGACAGCTGGAGTTTGACTCCAGAGGGCTTCGAGAGAGCGCCAGCCTCCGTGGACCCGGGACCCCGTCCGACATGGGGGAAGGCTGCAGGGCCAGGGCTCATGGGGGTCCCAGGAGAGCTAAGGAGGGGGTGCGTGGGAGCACCGTGCGCAGGACCGGGCCGGGAGGGCGCGGGTGGGGCCGTGGGCGGCGACCCCCTGTCCCACAGCGCGCCCACCCCACCGTAGTGCGAGTGCAGGAGGGTCTCGTTCCGAAGGCGCGGCTCCCTCCCGGGGCGGGGCTGGGGTCCTCCCGGCACGCCCCGCCGCCCCCCGCCCTCTCGGCCCGGCTCACCGGCAGGCAGGCGTCCTGCCGCCGCCTCCATTAGCGCGGGGCCGGGCAGGGCCGGGGCGCGGCGGCCGAGACTCAGTGCGCGGGGCACGCCGGCCGCCCCGCGGACGCTCGGCGGCCGGGCTGCGGGGGGGCTATTTATAGCGCCCGGGCGTCACGTGGGCGGCGTGGCCGTGACCAGCGGGCGACCCGGCTGGTAGTGACTCCCACACCTGCCGCCTAAATATAACCACAGGCCATCCCGCACGCCGGGCAAACAAAGGGCCGTCCGGGAGAGGAAGCACCGGCGGAGGAAGGGGAAACGGGCGGGGGCGCTGCCCGCGCACCCCGCCTTCCTCCGCCGTGCCCGGGACCCTCCAGCGGCTCCCCCAGCAGGGAGTGGGCGCTGCCCCAGGTCCGGAGAAGCTCAGCTGGGGCCAGAGCCCTGGCGGGGACCTGGGTGCAAGCCCGGAGGGCAAACTTCCTTTTGGGAATGGAAAGGAGGGTGCCCCGTGGCCCAGGTGGGCTCCGGAAGCTGACGCCCACAGGACGGAGATGGTGACCGACACCTGGTCTGGCCCTGCCCTGAGCCCTGCCCAGCTCTCCAGCCTCAAACCCCAGGACCTCTCTACTTCCTGAGCACCTACTGTGTGCCAGACACTGCTGTCCCTCACTGAACCCTCGACACACCCCTGGGGGTGCTGCCATCACTCCCTCCCCCCCAACTGCCCAGTATGCCGGTGGGGAAACTGAGGCAGAGGGACACTCGAGGGAGCAGCCTTCCCCCAAGAAGGTCTCCATCTCCCGCTCATCCTCCAGTGCTCAGTGCAGATGCCCCCTCCCCCAGGAGGCCCTCTGTGATGGGAGACCCTCCCCTGGGTCCAGGCCTGAAACCCAGCAGGGTGCTGGCTTCACCTCCTAGAAGCACCAGCTCAGGAACACACGCGCTCCCCAGACTCTGAGCCCCGAGAGCACGCAACCGAGCGCCACAGGCAACCATGTACCTGCCCCAACCAGCCCGGGGGCCCACGGAAGGGAGTGGAGCAGGGTGGGTAGAACCCCCAGCACACAGGGTCCCCAGAGGCCTTGCCTCGCTGGGAACCCGGCTCCGAGCCCAGCTCCCAGCCAGCCAGCCTGGCCCCTGCAATCATCGGTCAGCGCCTCATGGGCGGGGTGGGAGGAACTGGCCAGGGGCCCAGCCCAGAGCAGGGCCAGGTCCCAGGCTCTCCCCACACACATACCCAGAGTGTCAGCCAGGCCTGCGGACCCGCGCTCCCCCACCCGCCAGGCAGAGCCCCACCCGAGCCACGCCAGGGCCCTGCCCACCAGCTCAGGAGCCCTGGGGCAAGGGCTCCTCCACCCAGAGCCAAGGTGGGCTTGGCCAAGGACACCCACTCCAGTGCTCTTGGGTCCCAGCTTCCAGCAGCCTCTCCCTAAAGGCCAGCTCTGAGCACTCAGGGCCCCACCAGTCTCCCATCTTGACAGCTTCCTGAGAGTTTGTCCCCTCAGACACTGTGCTGGACACTGCACGCCTTGAGCAAAGCCCATCGGTCACACTGTATTAATAAAATAGCAGCTCAGAGGGGTCGAGGGACTTAACCCGAGTCACACAGCCGACAAGCAGAGGAACCAAAGTCGGGCTGAGTTTTGCTGACCCCTGGAGACCCTGACCCTCTGGAGACAGGACCCCTGGGCAAGCTGCTCTCCCACCACGTCATGCTGCATCCCCATCCATACAAGCTGAGAGGTCCCATCAGCTTTGTGGACCTGCACCCAGGACCCAGAGCCCACCAGGCTGCTCAGCCCGCAAACCAGCACCCCTCCCCCCCCTCACTGGGGGCACCCACTCTGGCCAGGCCTGGGGGGCACCTGCTGGCCTGGCACCATCCCAAGCCCTTCGGAGAAGTCTATTTTTATCAGGAGCCGTTCCTGGAATCCTCCCAGTCAAGCCCGAATCCACATGCTGCTTGGGGGCGGGGAGGGGACCCAATAGGCCAAGCCCACACCCACCCCCGAGGAGTCTCCCCAGAGCCCCCTGCCCCTGTGCCCACAGCACCGAGGGTCCAGCCCCCTCACCGACCAAGTTGGGCTGCCTGCCCTCCCTACAGCCACAGGCCCTTCAGAGCAGTTTCCCCACCCCCTGAGGAACATGTGTCCTGAAGGAGGGGCCCAACTCCACCCGCTCCCTCTGCGCAGGGCCTGGCACCAGGAGGCCCCCCACTTGCTGTGGAAGGAACAAATGACCCAACGTCCTGGGCAGAGCTCCAGATCTGGGCAACACCCAGAAGCCATCACGGGATCGCAGCCCAGGGGAGCCTCAGAGGTCACCCGCGCCATCTCATCGCCAGCTTGCACACCTCTGGTGATGGGGGGCTCGCTGCTGTTTGGTGGCACCTTCCACGCTGGGCAGCTCCCCAGGTTATACAGCCATCCCTCTCTAGGGCCTCCTGCATGGGCCCAGCAGGAGGCACCCTGCAAAGCAGAATAGGCCAGCACAGCAGGCACTGTGGAGGGCAGAACTGGAGGATTGGGTGTTCAGGGAAGGCTCCCTGGAAGAGCTGGCCGGGGAGGGTGACAGGCATGCAGCTCACGTCTGGAAGCTCATCATCAGGCTCAAGCAGCTGCCCTGACTCCCTGTGTGACCTGGGGCTCTCACTTGCTCTCTCTGGAGCTTGAGACCTCCTCTGTAAGTGGTGACACTGCCAGGAAGGGAAGCCACTTTCCAGTGGTGCCAGCTCCAAGCCAGTCAAGAGGCGCCCAGGCTCTGACCTGGAAGCGGAGCTGTTAGGAGCAGGCTTGAATTTCCACCCAGGGAAGGCACCTGTTCTCTGCCAGGATCTGGGGATGAGAAGAGGGCTGCAAACATACTGTCCCTAGACGCTGCACGGGGCCGCCCTCACCACACCGGGTTCAATGGTGCCTCATGGGCGTGGTGCACGCTTGGCAACCAAGTGGCCGGCACCTACATGCCATTAGCCACCAGCACGGCCCGGGTGGGCCACAGCGCCACTGCGGACTCAGGAGCCGTAACTGCCACCTCCGTGGGCAGGCGGGTGGGTGTGGGCGAGGCTGCTGGGCCCCGGCCTGGCCGTCACCAGTGGTGGGCGCAGAGCAGGCAGCCAAGTGAGCCAGAGCAGGCACCTCGGGTCTTCTGAACCCCGTGGCCACCCCGAGTCCACCAGGCCCACCCGAAGCCTCCCTGGTCTCAATGGCACCACCGGACAGGCACCCTTCACCTGGGTGAGGCACAGCCGGGCTCCCAGGGCCCTGGCCCTCCCCACCTTGGCCTCAGCTGGCCTGGCCTCACCATGTGGGGCCTGGACCCTCCCTTGAAGGACCCAGCACGAGAAGAGAGGGCAGAGGACGGACAGAGGGCCAACCTGCCCAAGGGGTCTGGGGTTGAGCCCGACGCTGTCTGCGACCACCTGCCCCTGGGGTCCCGGCTCCTCATCAGAAAGAGGTATGACAAGCCCTGCCCAGCCGGGACGAGGGCCCGTGGGCACTAACGGCTGGAAAACGGGGCCTCTGTGGCCACCAGGCAGCAGCTCCGAGGAAACAGGGCAGTGGGGGGAGCAGGACTGCCAGGAGCTCTACAGGTGTCACCTTTGCCCCCCACGGCAGGGGCCCCCACCGGAGCCAGCCCCCCCCCCCACATCCTGTCAGCTCTTCCTGCTGGCGGCTCACGGCTGGCGGCACATGCAGGGTCAGTGGCACATAGAAGCGGTGGCTCCAGCTGCCCAGGCAGGCTGGCTGTGCCGTCACACGGTGACACGCTGGCCGCAGCTCACCCCGGTGTCCAGAACGAGGGGGCACTGCACCCCTGGGGCTGCCTGCCTCTGCTCGAAGCCCCACCACTCACCCGTCACTGACCAGGACCCCCTCCCCCCACCTGAGGCCTCAGCCCTGGCTCTGAGCCCAGTCTGCCACCCGGGTCCTACCTGCAGCCTCCCCTGCTCCCACCCCTGACCTCAGGACTCCTCCAAGGGGGACAGGGGAGCCAGCATCTGTTCATTCATTCATTCATTCATCTGATTCACAAATGTTCACTGAGCATCTTCCTCCACTGCCGGGTGCTGGGCTGAGCTGGGGGACACATGGGGAGAAGTCACCAGTAGATGCAAAAAGCCTGCCCTGCCCTCTCCTGCCCCAGCCCTGCCCTGATGGGGCATCTGGCCACCCCTCTGCACCCCAGCCCCCACCCTGAGAAGCCACCCCCCTGACTGCCCAGCACAGGTAGGCTGGATAATATTGTGGCTGCCCAGAGGGGCTAGGAGTGCCCACCCCCAACCCTGTGCAGGCAGCATTGCTGAATCTGGGGTCACCACACAGAGACCTCACTCCCCCGGTGCCTCAGTTTCCCAGGCTGTCACCTGCAGGGTCAGAATGTGGCATTTTCACAGTGCCACCTGTCACCGGCTACCAGGTCCCACATGGACCACACCGGCCAGCAGCCCAGCCACCCCTCCCCTGGCTCCTGCCGGGGGAGCATCACCCCCCTGCAACTCCCCCCTCGACTCCAGGGGTGGGCACTGGGGGCCAGGGGTGAGCAAACCTCCACGACCCCAGGTGGGGTGGGGGTCGGTGGCAGGACACACAACCAGGCAATGGACTGAGTTAGAAAGGACACTGGTGGAGGGTAAGGGGGTAAACACGAGGCCTCTCAGAGGACGTGGCCTTTGGGCAGAGACTCAGGACGCACACGCACTGCACGGGTCCCCGAGAGGGGACGCATCAGACCCCGCTGAACCCCGCGAGAAGAGCGTGCCACTCCAGGACCTTTCCACCACCGCCATGACCATCACCCTCAGCCTGCACACCCCCCGCCTGAGGCGGAAGACCGAGTGCCCTGTTCCACATGGAGCCAGATGGAGACGCAGAGCAGAGCTGTTTGAGACCCGGGTTCCTTCTCTTCGCCCCAGTGAGCCATGGAAACCTCACAGTTGGGAGCCCGGGCCCAGGGGCGTGCTAACGCAGACAAGGCCTTCAGTGCAGCCACAACAGTGGCCCAGCAGCAAGCATCGGTGTCATCCTCCCAGCTCCAGGTCCTCAACTCAGAGCCCAGCGGCTCTCGGGCTCAACACAATTAGCACCAACCCCTCAGGGGGCTACTAAAACCCAACAGTAATAGGCTGACAGTCCAAGCTGCTACTCGTTAACAATAAACATGAATGATGGTAGTTCTTGCTTGTCGAGAACCTGCTTTCTGACGAAGCCCTAAGATAGCTGGAGTCAAAGGCCAGGAGGTCCTCACTACCTGGCTGGGGGTTCCGCCTCCCTGATCCGTTTGGTACAAGGTGGCTGGATGAGGCCCAGCTGGTCACTGTGAGGCTCAGAGTCCCAGTCTACATTAATAGCCATACCAACCACAGATGCGCATGGGTCAGGCTGTCGCCAGCCCCAGAGCACCCCCTAAGGCACCTGCTGACTAGGTGACCCCCCAGCTGGCAAGGACTGCCACCTCCTTTCACTCCCCAGCATGGTGACACATGACCATCCATGTGGTCACTGTGTCGTGACCCTTGTCTAAGAAGAGAGGACATGGCTGCAGGGGGTCTCGGTCACTACCCAAGGGGCAGAAGAACCAAGCTGGACAGCCCCCTGCTGGCCCTAGGGCCCTGCTCTGCACTGCGACCCTGTCCCACCGCTGACTGTGTGACCAGCGGTCCCGGTCACCCTCGCCCTGTGCCACTGAGGCAGGGATCCCACACCCCAGAGGCCCAGAGAGCACAGCAGTATCACAGAGCCTGGAAGGAGAGTGTCCAGTTTGGGCTCAGGAAGGAGAAGTCCCCCTCACCCCATTTGACAGAGGAAACCACTGAGGCTCCCAGCTGAGCCACAAGCATGAGCAAGAAGGCCTGGGGACCCCAGGGCCCTGTGCTCTCTTGGGCTCTGCCCCCACAGTGTCCCCATCCCAGTCCCCACCCACCTGAGCCTGCAGGGAGCCCACAGACACTCACTCACTGTCCCGCGTCCTGAGTCCTGCAGGCCTGCAGAGGCCGCGCCCCCAGCCCAGCTTTATCCCGGGCCTGGCCTCCCGCCCTCCCCGCCCTCCCCACGTCAAAGGCCCTGGGACCGCCCGCCAGCCCAGGAGGCGGGGGCTCAGGCAGGGGCAGCCCCGGAAGGACCCGGGCTCCCAGGGCAGTCCCGGCGGCTGAGCGGGGCGGCGGCGGTGGGCGGGGGGGGGGGGGGGGGGTGGCCAGGACACAAGCTGGAGGTCACAGCGGGCACCCCGGTCTCGGGAAGAGGGCAGGAGAGCCCCTCCCCCGTGGGCTGGGCTCTGGGGCCCACTGGGGGCAGGACAGTCCCCAGGGCCCTGTAACCGCTGGCAGTCAGAGCTGAAGGGGACAGGCGGGGCAGGTGGGCGGCAGCAGAGCCGGCGGGGAGGGGTCAGAGGCCCAGATGGGGCCTGCGGCTGGCAGGGTGGGCGCTCCGAGACACAGCCTGGGGGCTCCCCAGGTCTCTGGCCTGTCTCCCCACTGCCTGCTGTGGGCTGGAAAGGGGCTCCCGGGGCCCTTTCCTTGCAGAGGGGAGCTCACTGCACCTCCAGAGAAACAGCCAAGCCCTCTGCAGTCTGCCCCCTACCTAAGAAGTCCCCCAGGAAGCCCCCAGCCTACTCAAGGGGGCAGCCAGTTTTGCCCAGAGCCCCGCTCTGAGCTCACTGCTCAGTTCCTCCTCTTGTCCTGTTTCCTCCACAAGGAAGTGGGGAAGAAAGCTAACAGGCAGGTTAGCCCACCCACCCAGGCCTGGGAGCCGGGGCCCACAAAAGCACTAAGGAAGTGGGAACCCCCGCCCGTGGGGGAAGGGCTGTTCCTGCTTCCCAGGGTCAGGGTCACTCGCCCCTCCCCCACCAGGATGTTGCCCCAGTCACGGTGACTTCAGGAGGGGTGGAACCTACAGGGCCGGGGTGGGGTATGTATTTCAGGCTCACCCAGCCCCCAGGCCTGTACTTCCTGGGGGCAGAGGGAGGCCATGCCCTGCTTACACCCAACCCGGTGCGCAATGGGGCCAGCTCCCACCCTCTGCCACGCATTCGGCCGCCCACAACCTCCCCCTCCCTGCCCCATCGCTAGGTCCCCGCTGGTCCCCTCCGTTCGCCACCCCAGACGGAGGCCCTTCCCCAACGGCCTGTCACCCAGATTCAGCCCATCGTGACTACCCAGGGCCTCAGCCAACCCCCGAAGCCCTCTTCAGCAAACCCCAGCCCTCTGGCCTGACACTGCCAGGGTCCCCCACACAGACATGGGGTGTCCACCATTCTGAGCCCAGGCCTCCCACCCCCTGGGGACCCTGGCATCTGTATTCACACAGGCAGCTGGGCTGACCCGGGCGGCTGGGAGCAGTGTTCTGTAGGCCCTGCCAGGCCCCCAGGCTCTCTGCTTGGAGAGCCCCCAGCCCCAGGGGCGGGGCAGGGATCTGGTTATCTGGGATGCAGGGCCCATCACACTGGGATTCTAGACAGGAGGAACAGAGCTTCAAGCCTGCCCCGCGCTCGGAGTTAGACCTGCACCCACAGCCCCTGGCACGCTCCTCCTGGGCCCCGTGGGGCTGGCACCGACTCCTGGCACCATGCCACCCCATCTCCAAGGCCCCTAAAGGCCAATGCCCAGAATGGGCCTGGCCTCCGGGAAGGGCACAGAGTTTCACGGATCCACTTGACGCTAACGGCCCCTGAGAGGCCCTCGAACCCGCTCCCCCCCCGCCCCCCGCCAGCTCAAGCCCCTGCCAGGAACACAGAGGCCCCGAGGAGGCCCCTGATCCTGGCCTCCCGAGAGCTGAGCACTCCCCAGGCAGAGCCCCAGCCCCTCCTGCTTCACGAGCACATCACCAGGACCCTCAACAGGCAGAGGGACCTGGGCTCCCACGCTGGGGCCTCAGAGAAGAGGGGTGGGAGCTGGGGCCTCACAGACGGTCCATGTGGCCTAACAGTCCTCACTGCCCAAGAGGAGGCTGCCCGCCAAACCCTCGCCCGCCAGGATCAACTGGAGACCCCACAGGGGTCCTCAGCTGGCAAGGGGACAAGGCCTGCACGAGTGCCCAGGGAATGGAAGTCCTCCTCCCCTGGCCGCTGGGTGCCCTGGGCCCATCTCCTCCCCTCTCTGGGCCTTCTGAGCCAGCAGCAAGGCGCAGGATGAGAAAGCAGAACTGCAGTCCGTAAGTGCCCGCAGAGCGGTCATGTGGCCCGCTGGGCAGGGGTGGGGTGCACACACGATAGATGGGTACCAGCGAAGCCCACCTTGCCGGATGGATCCTGGTCAAGCTGGGCGATGGCCCCCAGCCCCTCTCCGTGGGGAAGTGGCTATGGCTAACTCCTGGGGACAGTGAGGGGACAGGGTCCCTGAGGGTGGGCAGGAGAGCCTGAGCAGAGGAGAGGGGCTGTGAGAAGCAGCCAGCACCTGGCAGGCACCCCCTCCTGCCACTCCAGGGCACCCCGATCCCAAGGGGGAGCAGGGTCGGCTCCGCCCCAGCACCCTCAGGCGGGGTCGCCAGTCCCCTGTGCCCACCCGAGCCCTCTACACCCACCAGGGAGGCGGGGAGCCGAGCTGGCCCCTCCTCCTGCAGGACCCTGGCGGCAGGGTGCCAGGGAGCTTGGGGGCCCAGGGGCAAGTGGACCTTGGAGCATCAGGGTGTGATGGCCACTGCTGTCCAGCCCCACACCCAGGAGCCTGGCCAGAGCAGGACCCCCTGCCTGGGTCACAAGACAGGAGACTGTGGCCCAGCTGAGCCCAGGTCCACAGGACCCCCGGAACCCCCAGGCCACCCTCAGCCACCGCCCAACTCACCCCTCCTCTTACCTCCCACGCACATCCCAACCCTGGGCCCAGGGTCCAACCCCATAAAAGGGGAGAAGGCCGGAGGCCCCCTCCACGTACTGGCCCCTCACAGGGCCCTTGTCGCTGGGCCCTCCCACATCCATCCCCAAACTGGCACTGGAAGACACCCGGTTCCCCATCGCCTGGATGAGGACA